TTCCTTTGCCCTTTTGCAGACTTCATGAGTAGCTGGAAGAACATTACCACATGTAAAACGTAGGGTGGGGTTGAATGACAGGTTATAAAACACAGGCAGAAATGTACAGAGTATGGAACTTATTTTCTTAAGGTAGGTTGTTCCTTGTACTTTGGGACATCCTTCCTTGGAAGGTGTGTTTGGCCTCCTGATGGCTATGCTGAACCTCCACTGACACTGAGACCGGGTTTGCTTTCCCGCTCCTCCACATGCAGCTGCTGGGTGACCTTGGGCCAGTCACACTTCTCTGAAGTCTCTCAGCCTCACTCACCTCACAGAGTGTTTGTTGTGGGGGAGGAAGGGAAAGAAGAATGTTAGCCGCTTTGAGACTCCTTAGGGTAGTGATAAAGCGGGATATCAAATCCAAACTCTTCAAACTCTTCTACTGAATACTGCTTGCTGAGAGAGTTGTTTTGATCAGGTCCCACTTGCAGGTTTCCTCACAGGCGTAAAGTTGGCCACTGTTAGAACAGGTTGTTGGACTAGATGGGCCACTGGCCTGATTCAGCAGGTTCTTTCTTAGGTTCTTTTGCCATCTTTAGGTTGATAAGAAAAAAATTAAATGCTATGACACCTGCTTGTGGTCTTCCCAAGGGCTTCTGGCTAGCCACAGTAAGAACAGGATGCTGGACTGGATGGGCCCTTGGCCTGATCCAGCAGGACTCTTCTTATGTTCATCATGACAAAGACCACCTTTTCCTGCCTGTCTATATACGAGTTTGTTATTCCGGTACCCTGGCATTGTGCTTAACTCTTATGCTTTTTATGGTCTCATTACTGTTCATGGCTGTCCTTGACATTATCTGCTGCAGTTTGTATTTATTTCATCTGATGGTCTGCGTTTTCTATTTCTTTCTCTCCTTTCTCTCCTGCTTATAGGGGGATATGCTTATATTCTATTTCTTTCTCTCCTTTCTCTCCTGCTTATAGGGGGGCCTTTTGTCCAAGAAGTAGCACAAAACCTTATTTTACCTCACCTTGCCTCTGGGTTTCATTCAGATAGCATGGTTCATTAGTAACAGAGAATTAGTCATGAATCACAGAATTGAAAAGTCGGAAAGGGCCCCAATATTAGATTATGATAAGTCTTGCATGTTTCTTCTTTAAGCAGGATTTTTAAAAGATAAAATATATTTATATAACGCTGCAACAACTGGATAGCACCACTTTGGTTGTCCCTGGACAAGGGACCTATGACTAGGTTGACAATTTGGCTGTAGTGACATAAGCATTTAGAACATGTGTTTGTATATATCCTGACGTCTACTGTATGCAGCCTCAAAATAACAAAAACTTGAAAGCTTGCTTTCTCTTTAAGTGACAGAACTGGAGCGAGGGAAGTTGCCTAACACTTTTTACATCTTGAATTGTGTCACACAGAACTAGAAATAGTTGAATTTACTCATACTGTGAAGGGAAGAATCACATCCTCTGGACACATTAGAATTCCCCACTGAAACAGTACAGGGTGATCCAAACGAGACTATACCTCAGCGCACAAGGTTGTACGCTTTGGCCTTCTGACAAAGGGAAATGATGCTATGAGTTCAAGAGTTCCATGAGTTCAAGAAGCCATGCACCCGTTGCCCCAAGGCCTTTGGAAAAATCAAATCACTTAAAAAACCCATGCAACGCCCTCCCACTTCTAGCTGTATATTTCTATGTGATATTCTGCAGGGTGTGCTGCAGGATTCTGCCTGCACTCTTAAACTCTCCTGCAGAAACAACATAGGAATACATATTATTTGTAATATATGTTTACCCTTGAGCAAATAACCAGTTTTAGGCTCACTGAAAACCCTGACCGCTGACTAGAACAACACATAGATCAGGGGTTGTAAATGTAGCACAAGGAACAAATGAGAACAAGGATTTGGGGAGGGTTGGGGAGCATTTACCACAGCCAGTAGAACAGGATGTGGTGTGTTCATGGTTGTGCCCATGCTCAGGGGCATCTTACCCATAGAGGTTAGTGGCACAGGGCGCCAGGGCGCCAAGTTCTGGAAGGAGCCAGGGAAGAGGAGGAGGCTGGATGTGGTGCCTCCGGGCATCAGCTTGCTGCACTCGCCCGCCTCCGCCATGCTGCGCCGAAGCAGCGTCGCACCCACAGCCTCTGTCTACCGTGGCCACCGCGGCACAAAGCAGCCAGCTCAGCCAGGAGGCTCTGCATCCAGCCTCGACCTCTTGCCCGCCCTCCAGCCACTGCCTGCCTGCTCCAGCCCTGTCGGCAGCGTCATCCTCCCTAAAAAAACCTGGGAAATTGGGGGAGGGGCGCCGGAGGGAGCTTTGCACCACGACGCCGGATATGCTTAAGATGGCCCTGCCCATGCTAGTCTTTCCAGGTTGCCAATGTGTCCATAGGCCCCAAACAATACGAAGATCTGATGTAGATGCACATTAATTAAAATTTATCCCACAGATGTTTTCAACTCTAAACTCTTTCCCGTCCTTCAAATCTTCCTGGAAACCCACCTTTCTGTGTGGTGGAAACCCACCTTTCTGTGTGGTGTTTGGTTTACCCTCTTAATACTTATTCCCAACTATAACCAAGGTTTAAGTACGTATGAATTTGGCCAAATTCTTCCTTCCATTTTCTTAGCTATCCCACTTTCACTCTCTCTCTCCCTGGCAGATTGGAAGCAGAGAACTGCATGTGCTGCTAACACAACTCTGAAAAGTGGCACATACACAAATGGCACACTGGAATACTTTTGTTTCTCCAGGCACATTATAGAGGTGAATTAAGGATTGTGCATCATAATTTACAAAGAGGAGCCTATCAGCCCAAGCACAATCCTTGCTGTTGTGCCCTTAGCTGGGGAATCACTTGGAGAGGAAGTGCTATTGTGTTTTTATACGTGTCACTGTGCTATGGTTTGGTTTGGTTTGATGTATTGTTCTAAATGTTGTTAGCTACTTTTCTGTTACAGTGGTGCCTCGCAAGACGAAATTAATCCGTTCCGCGAGAGTCTTCGTCTAGCGGTTTTTTCGTCTTGCGAAGCAACCCTATTAGCGGCTTAACGGATTAGCGCTATTAGCAGTTTAGCAGCTATTAAAGGCTTAAAGGCTTAGGGGATTAGCTGCTAAAAGGCTATTAAAGGCTATTAAAGGCTTAGCAGATTAGATAAAGGGGGGGAAAAGCGAAAAAAAAATGAAGCAAGCCCATAGGGAAATTCGTCCTGTGAAGCAACTCAAAAACGGAAAACCCTTTCGTCTAGCGGGTTTTCCGTCTTGCGAGGCATTCGTCTTGCGGGGCACCACTGTATTTCTTTTGCACATCTATGGAAATATGAACCTTTCTCTAAAAAGGGGTGGTGTTATAGGTTTTGGGGGGACCTCCCCCCCAACATTAATAAATGGTAGGATTTTGCTTAAGATAAAAAGGTAAAGGACCTCTGGACTGTTAAGTCCAGTCAAATTCGACTATGGGGTGCAGCGCTCATCTCGCTTTCAGGCTGAGGGAGCCGGTGTTTGTCCACAGACATCTTTCCGAGTCATGTGGCCAGCAGGACTAAACCACTTCTGGCACAAGGGGACACTGTGACAGAAGACAGAGTGCATGGAAATGGCGTTTACCTTCCTGCCGCAGCAGTACCTATTTATGTACTTGCACTGGTATGCTTTTGAACTGCTAGATGGGCAGAAGCTGGGACAGAGCAACGGGAGCTCACCCCATTGCAGGGATTTGATCTGCCAACCTTCTGATCAGCAAGCCCAAGAGGCTCAGTGGGGAACCACCCCAAACCCTAAACATTAATAAATGGTAGGATTTTGATTATTTGGGATATGAAGGGGAAATACAAGCTGCAGAGGGATTTCTGGGCTAACCTATGCAAGAATACCTGGCCCAGCTAAGGTCATTAAGAAATAAATACAGGGCCATTGGGGGACATTTGCAATGCAAGAGAGCTCCCCTGCCATGAGGTGTGAACAGAGACAGGAGATCTGGAAGGTTGCCAAGGTAACTGGGTGTGATGTCACAGGAAGAGTTTGGCACCTGAAAAAAAGGGCAGAGCAATCTTGGCTGGTTGGTTGAAGGCAGGCTGGGAGAGATGCCTTGAACTCCAGTGCTGCCCTGCTGCGGGGAACAAGACCCTCTTGAGATGACCATGCTGTAGGAAGTAGACTTCCTCCATCTAAATCCAGGTGTAGATATGTGGACAAATCATATTTCTTAAAGGCACAACAGCCTCTGCCACATCTTCAATTCTACAAAGGAGCACAGACACTGGCTGAGGGCCAAGCCCCCTGGAATCCTGTACACGGCTCAGCACGGACTGGGGTGGCCTGTAATAATATTATTGATGGGGGTAGATTAAGGATTGTGCGCTGTAGTTTACATAGGCTGTATTTTACAACCAAAGTACAGCCCTTATTGCTGTGTCATTACTGGACATCACCTGCGCACAAGGGAACAAAGGAAAAAGACAGAATCAGGAAACTGTATTTCAGTGCGCTGGCCATGAATTGGAAGTTCATTAAAAAAGCAAAGCAGAATGCATTCCGTACTATGCCTTTGGAGGAAAACAATTATGGAATTTTATCTTTAAAAGTCACCCGGCCACACCCACACCAAAGATTTAAAGTGCATTTAGCAGACATGGCTTCCCTGTAATAAATTACAGTTGCTGGCATTCTACGTGTGCCTTAAATGTGCTTGAAATGTATGTGACCACAACCATCAGAGAAGAACTTCAGACTTGAGATAATATCCCTGCCCAGTTAAAGCTGAGTGTTTTCCTTTCAGTCCACTTATGGTTACTAAATTCCAGGTGTTATTGAACGCCAATAGGATAGCCACCCTTAAACGAAACATTTAAAGCATTTTGATACATGAAGTCAGTTTTCCCGTGTCTGCTCTGCTATAAGAGGACACAAAACTTACATAGGATAAAATGTACATCCAATTTATGATAGCTCCGTTCTGCTTTCTGGCCAACATTAACAATGAGACACATATGGACCTTTCCAGCGTAAACAGTCTTAGAAAACTCTGTAGAACCTATGAACCTCATTTGCCTAAAATGAATGGATGGCATTACTCCTTAACTTCTTTTTTTCAATCAAGGTAAATAGAATCGTACCTGGTTCCCAAGCGATCTGCTGGTTTCTTTGCCAAGAACGCTTTACAGATATCTTTTGTTTGCTCATCAAAGTTAGCGTGCTCAAACTTCACCTCATCTTCTATGGTTCTTCTTTTAACTTCACTTTTATCAACTTTCTCTTTGAAATCCTTGAATGGAGTTCGACCAGCAACCATCTCATAAATACTACACCCCATAGCAAACCAGTCCACTGAGTAGGTGTAATTCTCTTCATTTAGGATTTCAGGAGCCATGTATCCATTAGTTCCAGCCTGTGACAATAAAAAGACAGCTTTAGTAATCCAAAAAAAGCAACGTCTTTTGAGGGGGGGAAAGATTCTTTTGATGTACAATTGCATTTTCAGCTGCAATTACTAATAATGTAAACAATCATCTCTTGATACAGATGTGTATCATAGTTACAGCCAAATTATTTGCATAGCATGTTTTCCACAAATGCATCTGTGCTGAAAGCAATTCACATTAAGAAGTCTAAATACAGGAATACAATAATGATACATAATGAAAAGTATAATAATTGTAATAGAACATAGGAAAAAGGCAACAATTAACAGTTCACTTAACACACATCCCAATATAAGGGAGCATAAGGCTCACCAATGGGTCAAGGAAAAATACCCAATATATTCACACTGAAAAGTAGTCTTCAAATATATAAAGGGCTGTCACATCGGATGGAGCAAGCTTGTTTTCTAATGCTCTGGAGGGTAAGGTAAAAAAAAAGGTAAAGGACCCCTGGGTGGTTAAGTCCAGTCAAAGGTGATTATGGGGTGTGGCGCTCAACTCGCTTCAGGCCGAGGGAGCCAGCATTTGTCCACAGACCGCTTTCCTGGTCATGTGGCCAGTAGGACTAAACCACTTCTGGCACAATGGGACACCATGACGGAAACCAGAGCGCATGGAAACGCCTTTTACCTTCCCACCACAGTGGTACCTGTTTATCTACTTGCACTGGCATGCTTTTGAACTGCTAGGTTGGCAGGAGCTTGGACAGAGCAATGGGAGCTCACCCTGTCGTACAGATTCGAACCGTCGACCCTCAGATCAGCAAGCCCAAGAGGCTCAGTGGTTTAGACCAGAGCACCACCCAGAGGGTAGGACCCAAACCAATCTCTTCAAGTTACAAAAAAAGGAGATTCTGACTAACTAAACCGAGAAGCCCTTACTGACAGTAAGAGCTGTTTGACAATGGAACAGACTCCCTTGGAAGGTTGTGGACACTCCTTCTTTGGAGGTTTGTAACCAGAGGTTGGGTAGCCATCTGTCATGCATGGTCTAGTTGACATTCCTGAATTGCAGGGGGTTCGTCTAGATGATCCTCGGGGTCCCTTCCAACTCTACAATTCTGTTATTCGGTTCCCTCACTGCGAGAAGTGAAGCTACAGGGAACCAGGCAGAGGGCCTTCTCAGTAACGGCTCCTGCCCTGTGGAACGCTCTCCCATCAGACATCAAGGAAATAAACAACTATCTGACTTAGAAGACATCTGAAGGCAGCCCTGTTTAGGGAAGTTTTTAATGTTTGATATTTTATTGCTTTTTTATTCTGTTGGGAGCCGCCCAGAATGGGCGGGGTATAAATAAATAAATAAATAAATAAATAAATAAATAAATAAATAAATAAAATTATTATTATTATTATTATTATCCCAAAGCTGGTGATATATGTAGCAAAGCAATGCCCCTCTTTTAATTGGCAAATTAATCTGAAAAAATAGGGGTTGTATTGTTGCTTGTTCTAAATTATTTTACTTTTTAAAAAATCAATTCCCATTTTTGGATAGCTTTTATCTTATTTTGAGAACTTTTTTTAAAAAAACCATTCTTAGTGAATCTGCAAAAACTTGGAGATACTGCAGAAATTTGTTCAATTAAAATGCACCTATAAGACATTTCCCAATCAGTTATGAAGCTCAATGGCAGACCTTTCAAGGCATTAATAGCCTATCCTAGCCCACAGTGTAGCTGAGATACTAAAAGGAATATAGGAATAGGAAACCACTGGAACAAGCAAATAATAATTATGTGGAACAGAAGCACAGAATACTTTTACAATTTGTCTTGGCACACACAGGGTACAAAGTATAAGTGGCACTTATTCATAGCAGCTTGGGTTGTGCTTGAAATGCCATTGAAACAAGCTGCAGAAGCCTTAGGACAGTTTAATGGCTGCATACATGTTTAATTCTTCAGTACCATTTGTGAAGCTGAGATTTGGGGCAGATCTACACTCATTTATAACGTTAAAATGTGACACCAGAGGATGCTGCAGAGCAGCAAGTCACAGACAAAGGGAAATTGCCATTGAACCTTATACAGTGGTACCTCGGGTTAAGTACTTAATTGGTTCCGGAGGTCCGTACTTAACCTGAAACTGTTCTTAACCTGAAGCACCACTTTAGCTAATGGGGCCTCCTGCTGCTGCCGCGCCGCCAGAGCACGATTTCTGTTCTCATCCTGAAGCAAAGTTCTTAACCTGAAGCACTATTTCTGGGTTAGCGGAGTCTGTAACCTGAAGCGCATGTAACCTGAAGCATATGTAACCCGAGGTACCACTGTAGAACATTCAATTGAATAACGTTTAGCAGATCAATGGAGATCCAGTCTTGGAGAATAGCTTGATTCCAATATTCCCATTGGAAATACAGATGTGGTCATTTTGTACCAGAATTCACAAAGATCTAATTCCTCAAGGACTAGGGATGGGGGAGAAATGTGATTCAGTTCAAACCTGTATCTATCAAATCTATCAAAACAACATGAGAACCAAAACACAACCATTGTTCAAAATTTGTACTTATCTGAATTGAATGCAGTTTTCCAACCAACCAGTGTTTACAAGAAATGAACATTTTAGGGGGAAGTATGTATATATAAAAAAGAAAAATGGGAAAATACCATATGATACAAAAACGCATACTATGCAGAGTTATTGCTTACAACTATGAGTACATAGCGGGTGGCGCTGTGGGTAAAACCTCAGCGCCTAGGGCTTGCCGATCGTATGGTCGGCGGTTCGAATCCCCGTGGCGGGGTGAGCTCCCGTCGTTCGGTCCCAGCTCCTGCCCACCTAGCAGTTCGAAAGCACTCTTAAGTGCAAGTAGATAAATAGGTACCACTTTATAGCGGGAAGGTAAACGGCGTTTCCGTGTGCTGCGCTGGTGCTGGCTCGCCAGAGCAGCTTCGTCACGCTGGCCACGTGACCCAGACGTGTCTCCGGACAGCGCTGGCCCCCAGCCTCTTAAGTGAGATGGGCGCACAACCCTAGAGTCAGACACGACTGGCCCGTATGGGCAGGGGTACCTTTACCTTTACTATGAGTACATTCATCAAAACTGTATACAAAGCTGATAGGGAGAAAATTGCACTAAAATGCTGGCACATTTTTTGTTGACTGAACTAAAAAGTTTCATGAGCCCATTTTTTAAAAAAAAACACCCCTCATATTTTGTCATTTTGTCACCCCCCTCAGTAATGACACTAGGGTCGGCCCGTACCCCCCACACCCCCTTCCTCCGCCACTGAGTCTTAAAAAATCATTTCCCCTTTCTTTTATTGAACCTCACGCTTCCAAATCTAGGAACAGTGCTCTCTCACACATTTTCTCTCTTCCCTTTGGTGCTCTTATGAAAGGTTTTGTTCATGATTTCTATGCATGCTAAGGTTTTTCAGATATGTTCTTTTCTGGATTTCCAGAAAAGTATGCACGTGGAAAAACCCAACAACAAAACTGAGCACAACAGACACACAACTGTGGCTAGCTGTTATGCATGCCTAGTTATGAATCTAATGGAAGGCGTGAGTTTAACTAATTGGCTTGTTTGGAGGTTCTAGCAGGGGAGCGCAGCTATCGTATACCCTTGACCGAAGAACGGTACACTCCTGTCTGGGATGGTCGTCCTCTTCCACCGAGCGCACAGCTTCGGGAGGGACGCACATGGAACGGTGAGGGAGGAAGGGGACACCCGCCTAGCCAGCCCGATCAGCCGAATCAACCCAGGCGATCAATGGGGTGATAGATGTCACAGCCAGATCGCCCTCACATCTTGCCCTAGCAGGAAACCTGCAGAAATAAAATGGATTGCTTGCCTCTTCTGCCCGTTGGCGGGTGACTGTGCTGCTGGGGTGGTGACGAGATCGCACTGGCCTATCTATTCTGAACGTATTCTGAATGTTCTTATGTGATGCCAATAAAGGTTATTTGACTTGACTTGACTAATTGGCAGGTGGGATAAGATGAACGCAATGTGGATTATGTCAAAAGAAGGGAATGCTTACAAGTGTGATCAGTAAGCAGCATATTTGCAGCTGAAACAAAGGCTGAAGCAAATGCGCACCTCAGCGCATTAGGAAGACAAATGAGAAAACAGTGGATTCTCAGCAATACATAGCTCTCATATGGGCATGTCCATAGAAAGGGATGGAGGGGGGGGGAAGCTCCCTTCCATTACACAACACTTTTATAGCTTATCCCAGCACACATGGGTCTATCAATGAATGCTCAATTGGAACTGCTCCTCTTTGCTTCTGGTAGCTACAATTGTGCCTTTCTATTGTTCTTGATGGTTTCAGCTGATGGATTTTAAATGCAATTTTAAATACGGTTTTATTGCATTTTAATCTGATTATTTTATTAGTATAATCCACTCTTGGAGCCAACTGGCTGGAAAGCAAATTGAAAATAGAATGAATTAATGACTGAATATAATATTTTGAGGAAAAACCAGCCATTACTGTTTTAAAACACATAGGCGCAGATTTTTCTCCCCACGCTTATAACAGGTTTCCATTCTTTAAATAGAAGTCATCTTATAATTGTTTGTTTGTTTTATTCTTAGTTGGAGGGGTCAACCAGTCAGCTGGCTATGTGTTCCACTTTACAGAGGACTATCTAAAGGGGATATCTCTATGAAGGATTGCCTAGTCTAAGTCCAGTTTAAAGAATACAGGCATAAAAAGGGAGAGAAGGGGCCTTGACGCTGCCAATCAGACTGAGTAGGCCCAAGGATCAGTCTTCCACCAGTATGGAGAGATGTATTGTATTTCCATTGAAATGATAGCAATAATGTCTAAATGTGGATCTGTACATATAAATATAAAAGGGACGACAAAGGACGAGATGGTTGGACAGTGTTCTTGAAGCTACTAACATGAGTTTGACCAAACTGCGAGAGGCAGTGGAAGACAGGAGTGCCTGGTGTGCTCTGGTCCAAGGGGTCACAAAGAGTCGGACACGACTAAATGACTAAACAACAACATATAAATTAGCATATGCAAATATTTGTGGTGTAGCCAACTAAGTTGTGCTCAGAATAGACCCATTAAATTAATGACCCTACGTTCAGTCATGCCCATTATTTTTTATGGGCCTACTTTGAGTAGGACTAACATTGGATGCGACCTTTTGTCCCCTTCCTCCCCCTCCATGCATTTCCTTTCTATCTGTGATGCATAAATGACCACCCTGACAACCAGTCCTCCTGGTGAGTCACTGTCTTCACCCTGGCTACAGAACTGAGATTAGGAAATGGGCTATGATGCGAGGATCTCGAAAGAGGCTATGTGATGAAAATAAACGCCTGAAGAAGGAAGGAGAGAAGATGCAGTGAATGGAGGAGGAGAGGAAAACAGAAATGGGAAAAGGTGACTCAGGGAGGGGAGGGGGAATCTTGTGCAGAGCCCAAAGGAGGAAATGCTGTGTGCTGATGGTAAGAAGAGGCAGTCAGGCAAGAGTAGTAGCAAGACAAAAAGGAGACCATACATTGATTGAACTAACCCTTCAATTCTCCATACGCGCATCAAACCGAACCCAGAAGTGACCAAAAAAGTAAAAAATAAATAAATGCAAGGAACAGGGCAGGGCAGAGGTGGGGCAGGGGCACAACAGGGTGTTTGCAAACTTTTTCAATTGTATATGATTTCACTGATGTGTGCGGTGCCTTGAAATGGGGATGTTACGTAACCGGGGGTTTAATGAAAGCACCAGCCAAACCTCCCTGGGGAGAGCATTGCACAAACGGGGAGCCAGTACAGTGTGTGTGTGTGTGTGTGTGTGTGTGTGTTCGCCATTGGTAAAAGGGACGCAGGTGGCACTATGGTCTAAACCACTGAGCCTTGCCGATCAGAAGGTCGGTGGTTCGAATCTGTGCAACAGGGTGAGCTCCTGTTGCTCTCTCCCAGATCCTGCCAACCTAGCAGTTCGAAAGCACACCAATGCAAGTAGATAAATAGGTACTGCTGTGGTGGGAAGGTAAACGGCGTTTCCGTGAGCTCTGGTTTCCATCATGGTGTTCTGTTGCGATAGAAGCGGTTTAGTCATGCTGGCCACATGACCCGGAAAGCTGTCTGTGGACAAATGCCAGCTCCCTCGGCCTGCAGCGAGATGAGTGCCACACCCCATAGTTGCTTTTAACTGGACTTAACTGTCCAGAAGTCATTTACCTTTACATTTTTTACCTTTGCCATTGGTACATCATTTTTCTACTGTGATTAATTTTCATCCTATAGCCAAGACACAGTAAGGAGGAAAACCTAGAAGGAGGAATGAGAGGAAAATGCATTTGGGGAATATTTTAATTAGAACTATCTTTCACTTCCAGTTTCCAGGATTGCTTGGGGCAAATCATATGCTTTAAATGTATTTTTAAATGTATGGTGTGTTCACTGCCCTAGTTCAGCAGTTTCACACTGGAGTTTCTCTGGCAATCTTTGCTGACCTGAAATTCACCATTCATCAATAAAAGATCTTCAAATAGAGGCTCCAACATGTTTCATAGGAAAGAACTTACTGGTGTCTAGGCACAGATTAAGTTTTGGGGGCTAGATTAAGCAGCAGAGTAACTTTTGGAAGTTCAAGGTTATTATAGATTTCTGCAGTTTTGGGGTCCACCCTTTTGTGAAAGGGTTTTCAAAGGAAATTTGGATCCAAAGTGAAAATTTCCATTTCAGTTTTGAATTCAGACTTTTTTTTTAACCTGTTTATATTCAAAATGATACAATCTGGAAAAGCTAAGAAAATCAATATTCTGCACATCTCTAAGTTTGCCTTTTTGGAGAAATGGATGCTGAAGGTTACACTTAAATAAAAGATCAAAACAATATCTTACCACAATCCCGAGTCATTTTATGGAATTTAGTCTTTTTTATTTCAGTGGTATATGATTTCTAATTTCTGTATTGAGGATTATGGCCCAATGAGAAAACTTAAATACAAGTAATACTAACACTGGACTTTTATAGTCGTTTCACCGTATTTTAGCAACAAAGGTGAAAATGGTCTGTTTGCTATAGACTTGATTCCATCATCATCATTATTATTATTATTTTAAATCAAATTCTGGTTGCCGTGTTTAAAAATATATATTTATATTTATTATTTTATGAATAAGCGTCATGCATTATTACAATATATATGTAACTGTTTGATGAACTTAACCCAAACCACTTTCACTCCTATAATATATTAACCCTTGGTGCAGCAAAACTGTGAGTAAGGCACACATTTGTAATAAATTTTTAGGGAGGCTTCGAACTACAAAATGTATGATGCAATTACAGTAAACCACAAGCAAAACAAACACACATGCACAAAAACATCTGGAGCATTCAGTTAAAGTGAACAACTAAATTACAGCGAACGAATTGACATGTCAGTGTTGCACACAAGATTTCAGATTCAGTTGAAATCTGCTTCTCAGAAAAGGGAATGGAACTGAAAAAGTGAATTCCTCCAGTGGGGTTGTGCATGCCCCCATCCGTTGTATACTAGCTTCAATACAAACAGCCTGGCTTGTAGTAAGCCAGAGTTCCACTTGACATTTGACCCAGGGAATTCTGGCTTAATGCTAGTTAACAAACCAGGAAAATAAGCTGGGATGTTTGGACGTAATGGGGAAGCCGTGGTTTAATATAAACCAGAATCATCACACTGAAGCTGGTGTAGAATTGCAGGAGGGGAGGACTGACGAGGTTTATGATGGTTTACAGAACCAGGAACGATTGTCTGAACAGTGCCATTGTTTTTACCCTCAATGGGCTGTGGCTGTAAGCCCAAAAGGAAGTAAGTCTCACTGAACACAATGGGACTCACTTCTGGAGTGGACACTCAGTGTACCGTATTTTTCGCTCTATAGGACGCACTTTTCCCCCTCCAAAAATTAAGGGGAAATGTGTGTGCGTCCTATGGAGCGAATGTGGGCTCCTTGGCTTCAGGGATAGCAACGTGAAGCCTCTGAAGCACAGAGGGAGAGTTCCCCCCGTGCTCTGGAGGCTTCGCGTTGCTTTCGCTGAAGCTGCCTGAAGCCCCCGGAGCGCAGCGCGAACTCTGGAGAGTGCCTGGAGAGCGAGAGGGGTCGGTGCACACTGATACCTCTTGCTCTCCAGGTTTCACTTCGCTGGAGAGGCGCTGCACAGTTTTCCCTCTCTGCGCAGCGCCCCTTCTGCGAAGCAGGAGAAATGGAAGGGGCTTCGTTGCTCCTGCCGCTTCGCTGAAGGGGCGCTGAGCAGAGAGGGGGAGTTCCCCCTCCTATGGTCTGGTGCGTCCTATAGAGCGAAAAATACGGTATATCATAATCTGATTGCCTGGATATTAGCGTACCATTCTACAGCAGGAGTTGAATTTCAATGGTCATATCAGAGAAAGAACTGCTGACCCTTTCTCTCAAAATAGCAGGCGCTTATGAAGTCAGAGATAGCGCCCAGGGGTCACATTTGCAGGCTGAGGCAGTACATTTTTAACTGCATAAGTCTCATTAGTGTTAATCAGATTCCGATGGCTAAAAGACAGTGTATTAAGAACGTAGCCACTGGTTTCCAAAGCAAGAGTAAGTTAAAGGAAAGCCAGTTAAGTTGCTCCCTTCCAGGTCAAAAGAGAAAAGAAAAGCTGCAGACTGGTTTTGTTTTTTAAAAAATGATAGGGCAGTAAAGGAAGCAAAAGTATTAGGGAAACAGAGGACAAGTGAATGGGATCTGAGGAACTGAGAGATTGTGGCAGGTGGAATGAAAGCATTCCCACAGAGGCCAATGGGTGAGCCTCTTTCCTCGGCAGAAGGGTTCCATTTCAACCTCTGGGCATCTCTAACTAAAAAGTAACAGGTGATGAAAAAGGCCTGGGATAGCGGAAAGTCACTGCCAGTCAAAGTAGGCAATAAAGGGCTGGCTGGTCAAATCAGGCCGTTTAATATGTTCATTGTCATTTGGGTGTCAAGCAGGCCCCTTTGGGAGGAAGAGAGAGGTGTAAATTCAATGAGTAAAGTTAAATAAATAACTGGTCCTATGTTGAAAAGTGATAGGACCAGGTATTTAAGTAACTTTATTTACTGAATTTACACCCCTTTCTTCCTCCCAAAGGAGCTTCCTCAAGCATTTAAGCTTCACTCCACTAAATTAAATAGGCGACTATCAAACACAGATATCAGCCCAACATACCTCACAGGGTTGTTTGTGAGGATACGGTGGAGATGGGGATAACTCTGTATGCCACCTTATGCTCCTTGGAAGAAAGGTGGACTATAAATGCAAATGATGATGATGATGTAGATAGATTAAAAATAAATAAATCAGGTTTCTTTCCCCATAAACCTCGGGTGGTGAATGTGTAATTCTCCATATTTTTGTCAGACTCCAGCTCTCATCAGCCCTAGACAGCCTGCTAATGTTTCAGAGATGACAGGATGAAGACCAGCACCTTCTGGAAAACCACAGCACAGCTAGTCCTGCTATAAACTGAGGTAGGCAAGTATAGTTCTCCACACCCTGGTGGAGACTGCATTTGTTGAAACACCATACCATTCCAGAGCTCTTAAACAGACAGAAGCCCTGCTGTAGCTTCAACATGCCCCCAACTTGTGTTGTTACCTTGAGGAGGCCATGTGAGAATTGCCCAAATACTCATACTATTTGTCCAACAGTGACTTCAACTCGCCCTCTCTCTTCCTATTGGGCAGGAAAACTCCACTTTCCCCATTCTGTCCATATAAACCTCTATCACGTCTGTTGATTTTAAAAAAAGGACCTGACTACAAGTTGCTGTTGTTTAGTCGTATCCGACTTTTCTTGACCCCATGGACCAGAGCACGCCAGGCACTCCTGTCTTCCACTGCCTCCCGCAGTTTCGTCAGACTCATGTTGGTAGCTTCAAGAACACTGTACAACCATCTTGTCCTCTGTCATCCCCTTCTCCTTATGCCCTCAAGCTTTCCCAACATCAGAGTCTTTTCCAAGTTACAAGTTACACAACACAGTTGCTAATCGCATTGTTAATGTACTTTAAGAAAACAACAACTTAATACTAGGCATAGGAGCTGGGTGGGTGGGGAATTGCCCACAGGAATGCAGAGCATGGGATGGTATAATAATAGTCTTCCTTTCCCAGCTGTGAGATCAGTTAAACCACACACCCCAACAAGTTAGTATTAGGGGGAAATATTCCATTGGTGCCATTGAGATCCTTTGCCCTTAATGCTAATTGCTGCACCGTGATGGTGGTGATGGGGAATAAATTTTCAGGAGTGCTGTGTTCCTGAAGACAATTGAACCAGCCCTCTTGCACATGTTTTAAAAATCCTTATGTGATTGCTAATGACATCATGAATATAATGAGTGGTTAGGCCTAAAAAGATTGTAGCCATTTGCTGAAAATTCAACAGCATTTTAGTGCACATTTCTCCTAGTATTTGTGAGGATGCTATCATTTTAAGTGAATCAGATGAGACTGGAAGGGACCTCTAAGCAGGAGACTGATTCAGCAATAAAGAAGCTATGGCTTCCTTTAACAGGACTCCTCAATTTGTAAATAGTTAATCAAGGTTATCTTATGTTTATGGGCATCCTGGATTCTGAAAGTTATTAAGCTAAGAATAACACAATATGCACATTCTTTCCAAAGCAGTTTTCCCTAGCATAATGCATTATTGTTATTTTTACTAATACATGCATTTTTATATGTATGCATTTGTATGCTAATTGGCTGAATGACAACATTACAAAATTCAAAGAAGTGTGAATTTTGAAGGCTAGGTTCGTTTGGTTCACATATTGCTTTGGAAATTGTGAATTAGGTACGTTCACTTTTAAATGTGAACTGAATGGAATTCCTCCTCCATCCATAGCTCTAGCTGATAATCGTTTGGTAGCCTTTCTCCAAATTTCCCTCTTCACTGCAAGGACTATGACAGATAGGAACACGAGAGACTCCTATGTATCCCTAGAATGTAGGAATGCAACCACGACTTGCATCCCGCATTCTTCTTTTATTCACTGCCTCCATCTTCCTTCTTCTGCACCATTACCATTTCACTGGGAAAGGGAGATAGAGGCACGCGCAACAGAACGTGCTTTCCTTTTTGTGCTAACAAATTGGCTCCTCAAAAACTCCCATTCTAAAAAGAAGGCAGAACTACTTCACTAATCTAATTTGATCATAGAAACACGGATGGGGGAAATTGCCGGCCAATTAGATATTTAACAGTCCTGCCCTGCAACAAACTATTGCAGCATGGAAAGCTTCTGTTTAGGGTAGGATTCCAACCACTCTGTTCTATTCCATCTTCCCCATCTGTACTGTACATTTAAAGCAGCATTATACCATTTTTAATGGTCACAGCTTCCCCCAAAGAATTCTGGGAGCTGTAGTTTTTAAAGGGTGTTCAGAATTATTAGGAGCTACAATTATCAGAGTAGCTTAACAATCAATCCCTCTTCCCAGGGAACTCTGAAAATTGCAGCTCTGTGGAGGGAATAGGACAGGCTTCCTCAACCTCGGCCCTCCAGATGGTTTTGGCCTACAACTACCATGATCCCTAGCCAGCAGGACCAGTGGTCAGGAATGATGGGAATTGTAGTCTCAAAACATCTGGAGGGCTGAGGTTGAGGAAGCCTGGAATAGGAGGTCTCCTAATAATGCTTGAGGAAGGATCATGGTTCAGGCGAGGTGCTTTGCATGCAGAACTCAGGTTCAGTCCTCAGTCCTGAACTAAGGTTCTGTCCTCAGCATCTCCAGGTAGGGCTGAGAGAGAAGCCTGTCTGAAACCCTGGTGAACCACTGTCAGTCAGTGCAGACAGTACTGAGATAGATGGAGCAGTGCCACAACTTCATATAAAGGAACATTGCTATGTTCTGTCTCTGGCAACATGAAAAACCGCTTTCAAATGTGAACCAGAAAGTGACCTAGCCGGGTGACCAGATGGTTCATTCTACCCTTTGTATATCTATGCTTCTCCGGCTTCCTGTTCAACTACTCCACCTAGTTATCTGTCCCACCCCCACTCAGGGATCATCCACACTTCCGCTTGACCCCTTGCCACTTTCCTTCTATGGATCTTGTTTCTGCCTCATCTAGGGGTGTGTTGTTGTTGTTGTTGTTGTTTTGCACTTGCACATATCTCAGGTTCTTCCGAGTCTGCTGGTACTTCTCTCAAGTGTGTGGTGCATAAGAAAACCCAAGTCAGTATTAGTATATAGTTCAATCCTAAACATTTTTACTTTATGCATAATTAACAAACAGCTGGGATCACACCCACATTTGTATATTATACTCAGGGTTTCCCCACCCCCCAGCCAGAAATCATTGGAACTTTGTTCTGGCACCTCTCAGGGAATAAAAAAAATCTTGAACAAAGAGTTCCAGCACCTCTTTTTCTAGAAAAATAGCACTGATTACATTACCTCCAACACGCTTTTATCTAATACTTGCTGGTACGGTGTCAGCAGAAAAATGGGAGAGCATAGATATAGCAAGGACTACTAGTGGTACATAAAGCATCTCTGTCCACTTGGCATACAGAGACAGTAGAAGCAGAGCTTCTCAGAGACAAGGGTTATCTATGAGGTTTTGCCCCCACCGTAGTGTTAGCCCCAAGTGTAGTGATAATTGGAAATAGAAATGAAGGCTGCTAATCATTAAGGGAGAAAAGGCCATAGTTAAGGTGAGAGTTATATCTTCTATCCCAGGTCACCCCTTCATCTGGGTTGAGAGAAGACTGGAAGATGACATTGGCTATTTCATTCTTGACTATCTCCTGACCATTCATGTATCATGAAGTCACCAGTGGGAAGGAACACATAAGGGATCTGATAATTTACCATGCAGAAGCTTTCTTTATCCACATCTCCCATACCACATGATCTGCAAAATAAAATACACCCAGTAATATCCCCTCCTGCATCAAAATAATGCAGAAATGTAGCATGAATTGAGGGCTATCTTAAGTCTTCTTCCCCTCTTCATTTACATTTTCTCCCCATTATCGGGGGTGGGGGGGTGGGACAGCCACATAGTCATGTAGGAAGTGTTTATGGAGCCAAGTACATGAGCTAGCAAACACGTTAAACAAAACAAAACAAAACAAGAACCACATTCTCTTACAGCTTGCTGGGAGAGTTTCATTGCTTTACAGCTCATTTAGCAGTATTTACAGGGAAAATAAACTATTTGCATAGACAAACAAGTTTAAGTGTGTGTGTGTGTGTGTGCGCACGCGTGCCTTAGAGGGGCATTTTAATTGTTTGAGAAAGGTCAGGTGTGAAACTCCACCCATTCTTTCAGGGTTAAACAGTGGCTCAGATATGGAGGGAAACATATTATACTACGTATATTGTGAACCAGATGTCTTCCAACAATTAGTGGCCTGTTCCTATAAACAATCTTATATACACAACCAGATGTACACAACACTGACTTGATTATACTTTCACCTGATCTTTTAAAAGTTACAAAAGCATGTTGATTCCTTGGTGATGCCCTATAGATTTGCAAAATACATTTGCACAATGTAACCCTGGCAACATCTATCACCTGTTGCAAGACGCAGTAGAAGATTTAGATATGTAGCTTGATTTTGTTTAATAAACATTGCCTCTCTTTTAAAAAGTGGCTCCATTTTTTTAATAACACATGCCCCAAAGCCATGCACGGCTGCTTGCATTTAGTAGCACCAAAGAAGTTCAAGCAAACTGAAGTGATTTTTTTTTTTTTTTAGAAAGACAAGGCATCCAAAGCTGAAAATTGTTTTATGCACTGAAGAGAGAAAAAATGTCCAGCTGAGTGCATTGTATTGCTCATGTCCTGGCAGAAGCAGTGTGGTATTTAAGCTAAGAGAACTGGGGTGGAGTGGGAGAGTCACAATGCAACCCTCCCTACGGGGTCCGTCGGCATAAGGAAAGTGTGATTAAGATATGTCTACCTTTTCCCACAGCTCTTTACAAAACAAACCCGATGAGTCTTGTAAACCAAACAGAGATGCAAATCTGTGTGTCCATCCTTTATTTGCCATGGCACAAGAACTGTTGAACAGGGGGAAAAACAAGCTGAATTTAGCCCTATCAGCTGTTTTGTAGCGCTCACTCCTTCCTCCCTTCACGGGGTGCCGCTGACTGCTTTGTTCTCCATTCCAGCTGTTCCATTCCCCCCCTTCAGTAGTGGCCTTAACAGACCTTGGAGGAATGTAACATTGGACCACAGGAAGCTGTCCAATGTGTTTGGTTTTCTTTCCCTCTGCTTATCACTTACTTTGCCATGGGCTGCCTAAGAGAACAGCAGAATATTAACCTGCTTTTTGCCTTTCATTTCAATTGCAATTTGGTAATAATATGTTTGGCTTTTGTCCAACAATATAAGGATTGACAATTTCCTGGTATCTTGTCACTGGGGAAAAAATTCCCATCACAATTAGAATCTGCCACAGTTAAATAAATAATACTGGGGGGGTGCCTTCTAGATGTTCTTTGCTTCCTATCTTGTAAAACCAAACAAGTTATAGTTCTATTGTTTGTGCGTTTACACGTTCATCATTTTCGTAGAGACTTCTCATCGTGAGGTGAGAAGCCTCTGTTAAAAAAGAAGGTGCAAAGGTTCAGATCTTGGTCATACTAAATACAGCTTAACGCAAGGAAGGAGGGTGCGACTCCTTCCTTCTCACTTACAGAAACTCTAGATATCAAGAGAGACTCTGAACAGTTATTTGCTAAAAATCTTTCACACTGTCTGTATCTGTAAGGGCTCCAGAAGCACCATCCCATGAAAAGGTTTACTGAGAAATAAAACACAGGATAACAGGCCAGTTCTGATACTGTGTAGACACCAACACTGCTATTACACCACAGATTAGGGATGGGCAAAGATGCTGAGTGCTCAAAAATGTGTGTGGGGAGTGAGCAAAGCGATCAGGGTATTGCAAAACCTCCCAGACTTTTTGTAGCACTCAACAAACATCTGATTGTTTCACTTCCCTTTCCAAGCAGGGATGGGTGGGGTGGGGGAGCCAGGCTTATTCCCCCACTGCAGAGCACATCCAGCGGGCAGACTTCTGTCCTACCTTTCGGGCGAAGTGCAAGAAACTGTTCTGAACTGAACTGTCTTTTTAAAATGTGTCCATCACAAGCAAAAGAGTTCAAACTTTTCTCTGCTTCCTTTTTTAAAACTTACTTCTTTTTTTGAGATGGGAGGGCATGCATTTTTTAGCCACCCTTTTTTTTGGGGGAAAACCCACACTGAGACTAACTCTTGTTTCTCACACAGATTGTAATCTAAAGTACCTTTCCACTTTTTTTCACTCATGTGCTGGGTGTGACACCACCCACCCATCCCGGACAGAGATATCTTGGTTAATGCTATCCGGCTTACACTACTGAAATGTGTTGTACAACAGGATTACGAAGAAATTTCAATTGGTTCAAAACGCAACAGGTATGCTGCCGACTGACACAAGTCAACCCTAACATCTCTCACCAGCTTTAAAATAGCCTTACTGTTTTTTCTGTGATGCAATTCAAGGTACAATTCAAACCCGAGGGTGAGGGACATTTTTCAGCCACAGGGCCACATTTTGTTCTGGTGGGTGGGGCCAGAGGTAAGAGTGAGCAAAGCAATAAATGTGATTTTTACAGGCGGCTAGTTTCTTGACACTCACACTCACACACCCCTCTATATACTCCACCCAGACAAAAAGCAGCAGTAGCAGCAGCATCCAATGATACATTCCAAGCAAGCAAAAATGCCCAAGGAGGGTACAAGGCAATGTCAGTGAACAGCGTGGCCTGATGAAGTTATAGAATGTGTCCAGAGCAGCTGTTTACCAGCTCCATCTGCACCGCAGGCTGAGACCCTATCTGCCCACAGACTGCCTCGCCAGAGTGGTGCATGCTCTGGTTATCTCCCGCTTGGACTACTGCAATGCGCTCTACGTGGGGCTACCTTTGAAGGTGACCCGGAAACTACAACTAATCCAGAATTCGGCAGCTAGACTGGTGACTGGGAGCGGCCGCCGAGACCACATAACACCGGTCTTGAAAGACCTACACTGGCTCCCAGTACGTTTCCGAGCACAATTCAAAGTGTTGGTGCTGACCTTTAAAGCCCTAAATGGATTCGATCCATTATATCTGAAGGAACGTCTCCACCCCCATCATCCAGCCCGGACACTGAGGTCCAGCTCTGAGGGCCTTCTGGCGGTTCCTTCACTGTGAGAAGTCAAGTTACAGGGAACCAGGCAGAAGGCCTTCTCGGTAGTGGCGCCCGCCCTGTGAAACGCCCTCCCACCAGACGTCAACTACCAGACTTTTAGAAGACATCTGAAGGCAGCCCTGTTTAGGGAAGCTTTTAATGTTTGATGCATTATGGTATTTTAATATTTTGTTGGAAGCCGCCCAGAGTGGCTGGGGAAGCCCAGTCAGATGGACGGGGTATAAATGATAAATGATGATGATGATGATGATGATGATTATTATTATCATAGAACTGTAGAGTTGGAAGGGACCCCAAGGGTCTTCTAGTCCAGTCCGCTACAATGCATGAATCTCAGCTAAAGCATTCAGTCCAGCGGGCCAGACAGAAGGTCCACATTTGGCCCCTGCATCTGAGCATCCCCTTTCCTGTTTCATAGACATATGGCTTCATATGTTCATTGATATAAGAAGAGTCCTGCTGGATCAGACCAAAGATCTATCTAGTCGAGCAACTGATGCCCACAGTAACCAACTCAATGCCTCTGGGGACACCCTGAGACAGGACATGAAGGTAAGAGTCCTTTCCCACTGTCATTTCCCCAGGAACTTGTGTTCTGGGGCATGGATGCCTCTGATCCTGGAAGCAGTATCTAGTCAATATGTTCAGTAGTTATTAGCAGGCTGGTTCTCCATGAATTTATCTAACCCCTTTTAAAGCTGACTGTGCTAGTGGCCATCACCTTATTGTGGTAGTGCAGTGGCACAGCGTGGTTTGCTGGTGCTCAGGGCACGCATTCGCACACCAGGAGCCAGAGGATGAATGGAGTCTGCTGCGCCAGCCCAGCCATTACCACCAATGCCACTGGAGTGACATCAGCCTCAAGCCGCTTTGCAAGGCTGATATGATCGCAGCCTCGCAAAGCTTCTCAAGGTCTGGCAGGGCAGAATGAGCAGCAGGAAAATGTGCCCAGAGCCATTGCCCTGGCAGCGCCCCCTACTATGCCCCTGCGGTAGTGACTGCTATACTTTAAACAATGCACTGCATGAAGTCCTTCCTTTTGTCTGCCTCAAATCTCCCACTCTTTAGTTTTGTTGGACGACTTCACAAGAAGAAGAACAATCTCTCTGGAGGCATGGTAACTATCAGGTTTCCTCCCTGGTCACATTTCCTACCTTCTTAACTAAGGTACAATTTAACATGGGCTATTGTGAGAACAAAAATGTTGCATGAAAAGAGATTGTGCAACTATAGATCATACACTAACTATGTGGTTAGCTTGTGAATAGCTCCCTTAAGCTGATCAGAATTATATAAATATGAATGCATACAGCCCTCAGGGGCTAGTCTGTTGACAGGGCTTGCACTGTCTTCCTTTGTTTTTAGCATTTCCAGTAAATATGAGAGAGCTTCATTTTGTAGCCAACATACAACAGCCTGTGGCTATGCATCCAGGAACCAGCCAATCAATGTCTGCTAGTACAAAAGCAATCCAATGCTATATTGCTTCTTATCTGAATTCATTTGTTGACTCAGCAGAGATTTCTCATTCATTTGTTTTGCAAATGTCCAATTTTGCAATGGTGCAAAGGGAAAGTTGGATTTAAACACAGCTATTGGGGTTTATTTGTTCTTCTGTGGGCAGGTGGTGGCTTAAGTCTATCGACTGACTAAAAATGAATAATGCATTTTGGTTTTGTGTCCTGGAAGTGCAGAAGGAACAGGATTCCAATGATTAATGGTCCACTAGACTCTTCATTTGGGCATGACCAGGGTAGAGAAAAATCTGAAGCATAGCATAACCCTGTAACTAATTAGGCTAATTTTAAAGATAAATTTATATTAAGGAAATTTAAGGGCCACAACAATGTGATGAAACACTAGACACTCCCACTTAAGCCAAAATGCTTTAACTTCTGCTTTTCTGACCTGTGTTTGACCAGGTCTGACCAGGGGCATTGTTGGGGGGGGGTTGCTCAAGGGGCAAGACCTGGATCTCCTGTTCTTTCTTCCACCCGCTTTTTAAAATAAAAATAAAAAGAGTGACTTAGGAAACTGCAAAGCATAGTCCTGATAAGAACCCAGCTACCTCCCATCTTAATTTCCTAGAGGAATTTATACATATAATTTATATATATAAATATGTACACTTTATGCAAATTTGTGTCCTGGGGTTGTCTCCTTTAAGTACACAGCCTCACAACCAGATGGCTCTCTTAGCTACTGTTTTTAGAAATTAGAGGAGACCAGGATTTGACTAAATTTGCAAAGAGTCAACAAGTGTGGCTTGTGGATTTCAAGGGGTCCCATATCTCCCCACCACCACCAATTGTTTGTGGATTGGGAAAAGGGCTTTGGGGACCATTTTTTCTTCTCTGTCTGATAGAGCCATAATTTCCTCTAGTGTGAGCAGTCTCTTTCTCTCCAGTCTCACTATCATGCTGCAAAAACCATTTGGCCAGAGATAACTGCAGCAGAAAACACATTGGTGGGCACACCATCGCAAATGATGCTCTCTTTTAACACTTTCCAAAAATTCCAGCTGTCTCCAGAGTTGTATTTCTCTCCCTCTCATTTCTGAATTGTTTGAACACATGCTTTTTTGGCAAAACACAAACCAACTCTGACTAAACACCAAAACCTTGGAGAAAAAAATACATATTCAAGGAACCTAACTTCCAAAACAACTCATATATAACATTGAGCTAGTCTGTCAGTTTCTAATTTTTCAGTCTTTAGTTCAGTTCTCCACATTTCCATATCAGCTTGGTTAAAAAAAAAAAAAAGTCCTCATGACAATTAATCAGCATTTAAGTGCACATTTCTCCTAATATACACATTTGTATATGCAGCTTTACCTAATGTGCATATTTATGCAAATCAATTTTACCTGAATTAATGCATTTTAATGTTATTTTCACGTACATGTATGCACATGTTAACCTAGTCTATGCATTTTTGTATATATTACTTGGCTGGAAAACTATATTGCAAAATTTGGAGAAGTGCGAATTTCAAAAGATTGCTTTATTTCAAATCTGCATATTGTGCTAGAAGTGTAAACCAGATAGGTATGTTCACATTTAAACTCCACCCCCCGCCATCCCTGCTCAAATACGTGTAGGTGGACAATCAGATATTGGACAGCAATCAGAAATCAGTACTAAATACTCCACATTCCAAAAAGCTGTCCCTGGAGTCTCGACTCAGATTGAAATACAGTGCTACCTCAGGTTAAGTACTTAATTCGTTCCGGAGGTCCGTACTTAACCTGAAACTGTTCTTAACCTGAAGCACCACTTTAGCTAATGGGGCCTCCTACTGTTGCTGCGCCACCAGAGAACAATTTCTGTTCTCATCCTGAAGCAAAGTTCTTAACCTGAAGCACTATTTCTGGGTTAGCGGAGTCTGTAACCTGAAGCGTATGTAACCCGAGGTACCACTGTAACATGCTATGTGGGCATCTTCCCTAGAGAGAAAGGCGCTTCCCCCTGCTGGACAATACAAGAGATACAGATAAGGTGATCTCCGCATGCAAGCATATATCTGGAGGAACACCCTCATTGCAATGCTCTTATGTGCCCACTGTTGTGGATGCATACTGCATACAGATTGGAATGTGTATTCCCATCTGGGATTATACGTTGCTGCAAGAGGTTGGTTGTGTGGTGCTATAGCTGGTCTGGGGCCAGAGATTACAGAATTATTCTATACCATATTTGACTGTGTTTACACTCCTGTTTACTAGCTGAGTTTCCAGTGATGGGTTTTTAAAAAAGCTGTCCTTCAGTGACTTTACCCCAAATGCATATGTACTTCCTTATAAAATGCTACTGTCTGATGTGTTGTTTCTCGAACCAGCTTCACACCAGTTGGAGTTCTTAAGCCATTCCTAATTCATCCCTAGCCAAGGTGTGAGCATCTTTACACTGGGTAAAGACATACCTGCCCTGTCAATGCCCCCTGGTGTGTACACAAACAGAAATAAATCTTACACTAATGAAGCTGTGCTGATGTGAACTGCTAGAGGGGAAAGAACTGTGAAATGCACCAGGGGTGGGGACAACATCTTTGTGCTCTAAGGCAGAAATGTGAATATACCCTCAGGCTAGCATAGCACTTTAGCTTGCTTCTTTTATTGTTCCAGTATCAAAGTTCTCTCTTGATGCTAATTTCGTTTATGGTACGGTCCTAATATAAGTCACCCATAGAACCCTTAAAATAAATCCACAGCAGTGTTTTTTTTAACATAGAAAAGAAAGGTACCGTATTTTTCGCCCCATAGGATGCACTTTTCCCCCTCCAAAAATGAAGGGGAAATGTGTGTGCGTCCTATGGGGCGAATGCAGGCTTTTGCTGAAGCCTGGAGAGTGAGAGGGGTCGGTGCACACCGATGCCTCTAGCTCCCCAGGCTTCAGGAAGCTATCCACAAGCCTTGCAAGCCCGGCGGGAGTTCCCGCGGGCTCACAAGGCTTGCGGGCAGCAGCCTGCAGCCCGAAGCACGGGGCGCCCTCCGGAGGGTGCCCCCTGCTTCGGGCGGGTGTCCGCAAGCCTCGCGCGCCTGGCGGGAGGTCCTGCCGGGCGTGCGAGGCTTGGGGCGGCAGCCTGCAGCCCGAAGCATGGGGTGCCCTCCGGAGGGCTCCCCATGCTTCGGGCAGGTGTGCACAAGGCTTGGGGCTGCAGCCGCGGCTGGGGGGGGGGAATATATATATTTTTTATTCATTTCCCCCCCCAAAAAACGAGGTGCGTCCTATGGGCCGGTGCGCCCTATAGGACGAAAAATACGGTATACTTCTGGATCTGGTGAAAAGGTCCCTGGAAATGATGCACTCCATTAAAAGAAGCTAGCACTGATGCCTTGGCTGCCAATTGTGCTTTCAACGTGATTTCTAGGTTTAAAAGGACCAAGGAATAACTTGTGCAGAATGTTAACCAAAGGGCATGTAATATGCTAATGAAAAAAACCCCTCCTGAGGTAGAACGGATAAACTTGAAATTGCAGATTCACAACCTGTAGCTAGCCCTTTGTTGCCCTCTTGAAATTAGAAAGCAATTCCTAAAAATCAAAACAGCTTTTCTGATGTTTTCCTAAGAAATGGAATTACACAGGAAAACAAAGGGATTTTTTGGGGGGGGGGGGATAGGGGCACTTTGTGCATGAGTTTAACCAAAGTATGCTTTTGTCCTATTCAAATATTATGATGCTCTGTCTTCAAAACATGTAAGATGACGCTCTGTACAAGTTACACTGACACCTGTGCACATTCCCAACATGGTACCCATGTCCTATGTCACCCACTGGTGTTTTGCCTATTGCTTGGGAAGGAGTTACATGCAAAAAAATATTTTTGTCATCTTGCCTGCTTCCTCAGAAACTCTGGACCCGCAAAGATCTAATTTAACCAGCTGTATAGTTTTATTGATTTTTCCAACAGCCTGGTTGTATTTTAATTGTATTTTGGTTGCTTGTATAGTCTTTTGTTTTGTTTTGTTTTGTTTTGTTTTGTTGTACACCACCTTGAGCTGCCCACTTAACAGGCGGCATATAAACATTTAAACAAATAAATAAAAATCAACTGTGAAATGGATGCTTTGTGGTGCCCAGAAAAGTTTCTTAGATTTCCAAATGTTGCCCTGAGACCAGAAAAAGTTAATGATCCATGATATAGCTTGATATAGCAAGAACCCAATGTTGTCATACTGCACGCGCGCACACATACCGTATATAGAATTCACCTTTTACAATTTACAGCTTGATCCTTTGAAAAGAACATTTGGGGTGAAATGTTTGTGCTGTTTTATTGATTGATTGATTGATTGATTGATTGATTGCATTTATAGGGTGCCTTTCTGCTAAGGCATCCAAGGCAATTATAGCCACCAAATATTCATATAAGGATTGCAGCATTTATTTTGGTACAAATCTTTTTAAGATAACCCAGGAGGACAAGAGGGAGGAGCCACAGAGCACGCATCATTTTCTCCAGCTGCATTCCACCTGCCTTAAAAATCATAGGAACATAGGTAGCTGCCTTATACTGAGCCAAATCATTAGTCCACCTAGTTCAGCATTGTCAACTGTGACTGGCAGCCGCTCTCCAGCATTTCAGACAAGGGTTTCTCCCAGTCCTACTTGGAGATACAGGGCACTGAACCTGGGACCCTCTGCATGCAAAACAGATGCTCTACAGTGGTACCTCGGGTTGCATACGCTTCAGGTTACAGACTTTGCTAACCCAGAAATAGTACCTCGGGTTAAGAACTTTGCTTCAGAATGAGAACAGAAATCGTGCTCCGGCAGTGCGGCAGCAGCAGGAGGCCCCATTAGCTAAAATGGTGCTTCAGGTTAAGAACAGACCTCCAGAACAAATTAAGTTCTTAACCCGAGGTACCACTGTACTACTGAGATGGCCCTTCCCCTGTCAGCAGAATGTCTGCCGACATTAATGTCATTACACACTCAGCAATGAGTTTACTGAGAGCGCAACCAATGGCGGTAAGGCAAACCCACTAACATTAGTGAATATATTCCAAGACTTCTAACTATGAGCATAATGCATATCTTAATGTTAGTGAAATTAAAAACCATAGGTAAGGACTAGAATCTGGCTTTATACGTGGAGGATAATAATCTTCGGATAATGGCACACACCCCAAGCTCTTCTACCATTGAACATCGTAGCAAGCAAACAAAGCAAGCAAGCAATCTTTTGGGAAAGCTCATTTGGCATTACTGATTCTCTAACTGAAGAACTCCCAATAAGCTTTGGAGAAATCTCAGGATCCCCCAAAACCACATTTGAAAACTAGCGATTCCAAACAATAGTTTGATCACCTCCTTGAGCAAACAGAGATTACAAAATGGAAAAACATGTATGGTTTCTGAATGAAGGGTACTTACGATAATCAACAAAGTCTTCATCATCAGAGTTCAATTTTTTGGCTATAGCTTTCTCACTAGCCACTCTTCCTAAAGTAGAAGTGGGCTGGACATCTTTTCACGGAAACATGAACGACACAATAAGTCCCTACCTTTCCCCCTTTCCCAAAAGGGTGGGGGAAGGGAAGATAAAGGAGGCAATTTAAGTCTGTGTACACAACATACATTTAAAGCACATGACTTACCCCAAAGAATCCTGGGAACTGTAGTTGGTTAGAGGGCTGGAAAATGAAGCTATGTTGGGGGTAAACTACAGAACCCAAGATTCTTAATAGAATAAAGCAAGGACTAGACATTTATTTAATAGGAAGAGGAAGGAGAGCAGGAAGCAAGAGGAACAACTCAGAGAATTGTTCAATTTAAGACAAATCTAAACAAAACAAAACAAAAATAGTTATCTATAGGTGAGCAACTTGCTTTCGGCAACATGATTTTGGACTAGAATGCAACTGTAGCCTCATTGGCTGTGGAGCTGCTGCTGGTTATTGTTGTGTGAGGGAAGAAGACTATGTTCTTCTTCACTATCTTCTCTGGGTATTAATTTTTATTCCTTCTGTGGTCTTCTCAGTCTTTCCTTTCATAAATCTTCAACTCTTTCCTGCTCTCTCCTACCCTGAATATCTTTTTTTATAAAACCTCTATCAGAATCTTTACAGAAAAACCTCCTAAGGCACTTTTGTAGGAGCCAAAAAAAGGGGTTGCATACCCTCCAGCATGTCCCAGAGGAAAACCAGGATGCAAGTCTTTCAGGGCTACCATCCCGCACAAGACCATACTGACCCAAAATGGGATGCCCTGATTAAATCAGGACAGTTGAGGGGTATGGAGTTGCACAGCAGGCATAATATCTCTCTGTGCTCCAATTTATAGGGTTACACTATTTATACAGCGGCACAGCTAATTCAACACTAACGAATGGCTACTGTCATCTAGAATGTGATGTGTCCTTAATTCAAAGAACAGTCTTCTATTTGAAGCTGTCTTCTATTTGCAGAGCTGGACCAAGTCCAGTTTTAATGAACTGTAAGAAGGGAGAGCAAGGCCTTGCATGGCCGTCAAGTTAGCACCTGGAGATGCACTATATTTCTATAGTAAATTATAGTATTTGCATCCATGCATATAAAGTAGCATGTTTACATTTTATGCACACCTGTGTCCTCCTTTTTATGGGGCGAATGATGTATACATGGCCACCCTACATATTTAATAGAGTTGTCAAATTAGAGTCCTTATGCTGGTCTATGGCATTTCCCCATACTCCTTGACCTCAGCTTAGCAGTTCCTGCAACTCATAACATGAAGGATGACCCTTTATCAAAAGGCAATCCAGCAGTGGCCCATTTTGTTAGATACAGGTGAAATACAAATTGTCCACACACTCCAGTTGTGTCTGTTTAATAGACACAATACCTGTCTTCCTCACTAAGAGACCACATTGACATTCATACAATTTGTACCATAATACATCAATAGGTTTGACTTCAGGTTAATAGTCTTTTTGGCTGGCATTAATACTGCCTACCTTAGGCATAATACTGCCTTCCTTAGGAATCACATCTCTCAACTTTGCTAACATGTTCTGACTCCCAAAAGTGGCCTGATCCAGCATGCTCTTCTTATGGTCTTATGGATGTGAATACTTGAATTCTGACATACATGAAAATGTTTCTGTGGAGGAGGTTCATTCTTGTGAAATGCGACTTCGTGAACTGTTTGCTCTTGTCACACTATAATGGACTCATTTCCCTTCTGTCAAATGCTGACAGGCATGAAAGGCTGACCAGAGTAAGGGCCTCTGGCAGAAAGATGGGATGAAACATTAAATGGGTCTCCAGCTGTTTTTCGACTACAATTCCCATCAACCCTGACCACTGGTCCTGCTAGCTAGGAATGATGGGAGTTGTAGTACAAAAACAGCTGGAGACCTAAGTTTGGGAAACCCTGCATTAGTGCAAACAAAAAACTGGCCCCACCAACCTCAGTCTATCCTTAACAAGCCCCACCTGCCGACCTATGTACAACCAATCCAGGGGGTGGCACTGCCTGTCATCTACCTCCCCCTTAGTCTCATGTGTTGCAGCGTTGTAGTAGAACTTAGCAGGTAGAAGATGGAGACATGACAAAAACTAGAAAGTGCCTTTCTGGCTCCACCTACTGTTGGTTTTCCTGTCTTCTGCCCTACCAGTGTCAACGGGTACCACCTCCCCACTCAGATATCATAAAAAGAACTTAACTACACTTTACAGCCCAACTAGAAACACTCAACCACTGCATTCCTACTTTTGAGTACACCATAGTCTTATTACACCAGTAAGTCACAGATAATGTATTGCAAGCCTTGAGCATTTATTTTAAATAGCAAATTAAAACCCTCCTTGAGAGTCTGTCTTCTGCGCACAAGCCATATTAAGCTGTTCTGACTATTCTGTTTTAATAAGCCCCCCCCCCCCGCAACTTTGATAATAATACAGGGTTAGTATTTTGAGAGTTCTCTTTTGATCTCTCATCAGTTACTTTTCCTGCAGGAAATACAGCCTTTTATCAAATTAAACCACACTCTTGCTTAGCTTATGCACCACAACTATCAACCAGTACCAAAAAGAGATATGCTTTAGACCTGGAACACACTCTTCCTTTTGTGCACTCACAAACCATGGACCTGCAAATTCAAAAGGGCCTACTTATTTCTGGGAAGTTACCGTATATACAGAAGTATGACTAGGACTTACTCTAGGTTGTTTTCATGACAATTGAGCCAACACTTTTAATGATAGACATCTGACTGTGAAATACAGTCACATCACACGCAGCTCTGTTATAGCATACAAGCTTCCATTTCATAAACCAGTTGATGAAAGATCCAACACCACTAAAATCTATTTCAATAAGGAAAGGAGGGCAGTATTCATGAATCCCAAATCAAAACATTCAAGCAATATATAGGTCTATACAACATAAAGCATACTGACATTCCTGTTAACAGATCTTATATTTGGGAAGTTTTAAAAAAATGCGAAATGCTCTCAAACATGCTCTGACGACAGATACTTTCAACATAACCCTATAAACTGTATTAGAGCTTTTTTGTGTTAAATTGAATAGTTATCCCTATTTGCCATAGGAGCCAACTCCTAGGGGCCGTGGGGGCTTTGGCCCCCACAATAAAATATGATTATGCAAGGCGGGGTTTACCTGGGCCCCAACAATATTTTATTTAAGTTGGCACCCCTGTCATTTGCTCATATATAAGATGGTGGTTGCACAATAAAATTACAATAAGAAAGGTGTACAGGGCAATGTAAATACGGTAAATATATTTGCCTCACTGTTTAGGTTTACATGCTATATACAAACCAGGAAAAGAATTCCAGCAAGCTATTTTTTGCTGCTGTCGTTCTAATGTGCGTTACATTATTAGGGCTACCTGCAGTGATTATGAACTGATCCTTATTTAACCTGTCTTAACAGCGGTTACACAAGAAACGTAAATTGGATAACAAATACAGCACATTATGTACCATATTTACGTTACCCAAAATTTATTGTATAATTCCCACTTAAACCTCGAGCGCTTTGTATCACAATCAGTTCATAACCCTCACAGCTAGTGCCATTAAAGCTATATACTAATGGCCAATGGTGCTCTTCTTTTTGTTTGCAAATATACAATTGAATGTGACATGTTACCAAACTCCCCACCACTGGTAGGGGTTTTCGTACATTTTGACCCAGAATGTGCAAGTGAGTATGTGGTAGGTTGGCTGTGGGTTGTACTGCTGCAATAAGAATAATATGGAAAAACTGAGATGATATGAGATAATCCTTTACAATATGGGTGAGCAATAAGAGGGAATCTCCACTGAAACAAACAATAGATGCTCTTGTGCCATTCCCATTCATTTCATTTTTTTTATAAGATATTTATTGAAATTTTCAAAATATTACAAAATAAAAAGAAAAAAAAGAAAAATACAAAATAAAAATAAAAATAGTTAAAAACAACTCAATCTTTCCATTACTTATTTTTCATTAGCTTATTTCCCGGACCTCCTCACGCCTCCCTTTTTTGTATTCCAGTTCGGTTTGTTGGTTCAGCAAATCCTTCCCCTCTTTGTTTATCCAAGTCTTTAATCTTAAAGTATTGTAACGTTAAATTTTTACCTATTAGTAATCCATTTTTCATATTCCCTTATAGTATTACAGCTAGAAACCACTTACTTTCTATCCAACAGCATTCTAACATTCATTAATTTTACAATATTTCTGTAAATAGGCTTTAAATTTCTTCCAATCTTCTTCCACTGACTCTTCTCCCTGGTCTCGGATTCTGCCAGTCATTTCCGCCAGTTCCATATCACCTTCATCTGCCATTCTTCCAGAGTGGGTAGATCTTGTGTCTTCCAATACTTTGCAATGAGTATTCTTGCTGCTGTTGTGGCATACATAAAAAAAGTTCTGTCCTTCTTTGGCACCAATTGGTCGACTATGCCCAGGAGAAAGGCCTCTGGTTTCTTCAAGAAGGTATATTTAAATACCTTTTTCAATTCATTATAGATCATCTCCCAGAAAGCCTTAATCCTTGGGCACGTCCACCAAAGGTGAAAGAATGTACCTTCAGTTTCTTTACATTTCCAACATTTATTATCGGGCAAGTGATAGATTTTTGCAAGCTTGACTGGTGCCATGTACCACCTGTATATCATTTTCATAATATTCTCTCTTAAGGCATTACATGCCGTAAACTTCATACCTGTGGTCCATAACTGTTCCCAGTCAGCCATCATTATGTTATGTCCAACATCTTGTGCCCATTTAATCATAGCAGATTTCACCATTTCATCCTGAGTATTCCATTTCAACAGCAAGTTATACATTCTTGACAAATTCTTAGTTTTGGGTTCTAACAGTTCTGTTTCCAATTTTGATTTTTCCACCTGGAAGCCAATTTTCTTGTCCAAATTATATGCCTCCATTATCTGATAATAATGAAGCCAGTCTCGCACTTTGTTTTTTAATTTTTCAAAACTCTGTAATTTCAGTCTATCTCCATCTTGTTCCAAAATTTCCCAATATTTCGGCCATTTGGCCTCCATATTGAGCTTTTTCAGAGCTTTCGCTTCCATCGGTGACAGCCACCTCCCATTCATTTCAATGGGGCTTGCACAGAAAACCTTTCCACTGGTTTGTGTCTCCCTTATCAAGTAGAATTGGCACCCATTACATTAAGGCTTTTACTCCCCAACAATTCCTCATTTTGGAACTCCTCATAGGCTGTTAACAGAAACATCTGACTTGCATAATGCCTTAAAACCTAACAGCATTTTTTTTTGCAAGGTATAATTTCTTTTTAAGCAAGCGTGCCAGTCAAATTGCTCCACCGTGCATCCAAATAGTTAATAAAGTAAATCCTCTTTCCATCTGTCACTTAGAATGAAATGACCACATAAGATATTTAGTGAAGAACAAATCCCAAAGGAATTAAAGGGGGGGCTCAGTGCATTGGAAATAGAACAAGCTCTCCCAACTAGCCAAGCAGCCCTGCACGGTGAACTCTCACTTACCCTCTGGTTTATGGACTTGCCTTCCTTGACTTCCACTGCCAAGCCAAGATCAGACAATCGGCAGTGGCCATCATCATCCAGGAGGACATTTTCAGGCTTCATGTCCCTGTAGACAATTTGGATGGAGTGAAGGTGCAGCATCCCACAGGTGATCTGAGCCGAGTAGAAGATGACCCTATCCATTTCCAAGCCTCTTTCGCCCACATTGTAAATGTGATATTTAAGATCCCCACCATTCATCAGGCTCATGACAAGACACAGGGCGGCTTTGCTCTGATAGGCATAGGACAGCGTGACAATGAAACGGCTGTTGACTTTCTCAAGGATCTCCTTCTCTAACAGAGCCATCTTTTCACCACCTTTTTTCTTTAGTCGTTTTTTGTCCAGTTTCTTGCAGGCATACATCTTGCCAGTATTTCTCACCTGAATGGCACAGACCTAAAGCAGCAAGTTTAATGAAAAAAGGAAACGTCTTAAGTAAGCGATGCAGACTTGGAACTGGAGAGACTATATGCCCCTTATTGTTATTTTCACAATATCCATTGCTTTCAGTTTTGATTTTTAAAAACACACACAAATACCCCTTAGATTATATACTGTATTCTTGGAGACTATTATGCCATTTATGGGTTCTCTACAATGCTTTGTAGATTATTTGAAAGGAATGAATGGAGCCGCAGTAGCAGCCGTGTTTCCATTGGGAAACCTATTTCATCTCATGTCTTATTTGCATAATTTATGTTCTTAACACTTACTGTACATTGCCCAGAGAACTTTTTACTGGACAGTATAAAAATACTGTAAATTAAACAAGCAAGCAAACCACATGTAAGACATTTTGAGGAACAAGGAGGAAGGGATAGTTGTGAAAAATAAATGAACCCCTGCCTAATGCTTCTGAGTACATGTTAGTGCAGAGATTATCAGAGAAAAGGCTGAATATGGGCTTACGTCACAAGAGATCTTGCGCATGCAGAGGACTGGCAAGTTGCCCAGTGCCTGTTGCCTGCTAAAGGCCATTCATTGCATGGCCTAGGCCTATCTGCTTCCCCAGGAGATGAAAGAATAGCTCCTTACCTCTCCAAAGCCTCCTTTGCCTAGTACTCGGAATTCGTCAAAGAGCTTCTCGTTTATAGGTTGCCGCTCAAAGCCTTTCCATTGCACAAACTTATCAAAGAATGGGCTAGTCTGGAAGTCATCAAAGGGTTTCCCCTTGAGATAGGCATTTGTCTCTTCCCTGGCTGATAATGTGACTTTTTCAAAATCATCCTTGCCAGCTGCCTGGCACTTGCTTGACAAGTCTGCACTGAGAAATTTCAGGTAGCTGTTGCTGCAATTCTTCAAGTACATGTTGACTATGCCTTCTAGGTAGCTGTCCTTGATGTGGTCCTCTGCCAGCTCCCAAGCGACCACTTCGTCCAAAAACTCTCTGGCCTTCAGGTACTCAGGCACCGTTTCCAAGAATTCCCGGAAAAAACTCTTGCCAATGGGCTGTTGCTCGCAAATGGACTCGTAATCCATAGTCATCGACTTTTTGATCTCCGCACATTCCTCAATCTTGGGCAGAGCTAGGTTCCTGCGTCTTTTTTGCATCTCCTTGGCATCCACATCGCCGCTTTTCCTGGCCTCAAGGTATGCTGTGTTGGCGATCAGGTTATCCAGTCCCCCCATGTCACACATCTTGGCGATGTACTAGGGTGGCAGAGCCTCACTGGGGCAAGAACACTGGCTTGCCTTGGGGTGGCTGCCTTGGTATGGCTCTCCCTGCGCCACTGCCTGAGTGTAAGTGCAGGCTACAAACACATGTTAGGGAGACCGACTACTTTAGCATTAAATACCTCTCAAGGATTTTCACTAAGTACCTTTAGGTGTATGTACCATTTGTGGAAAGTGGCTGGTAAGAGGTTTCTCTCTAAGGAGCTTTGGGTTTGCTATCTATAGCTAAATGGATGACAGCCCAGGAGAACCTCATCACGGCTGCCACAACTATCTGGCGTACATTTCTCAACTCAGCTCCTACTCTTCCTCACACAGGCCTGAGACCACTCTGACCTCAGTTTCAACCCCAGGTCCATAGAGAACACATGGCATCATGCCCTTTCAGAGAGCTGATATGTTTTCCTGCCCACCATCCCTGGTACCTTGATTCTCCAAAGCACGTCCACCATGTCTGCAGGCTCTGAAGCTGGCTTTTTAAAAGGGAATTTGAGATTTTCTGTGTTTTGCAGTGCTTCAAAAGAAAACATTCAGCAAAAACGACAGCTATCTTCGGAACCACATAATTATTTGAAGTGGCAAATTGAGAAGGAAGTATCAAAGGCTTTAGTCAGATTTCTTTTAAAATGCACCATTCAGTCCTAGAGTGAAAATCTACCTCAACATACAGATAGATGCCATCCAGGGAAATAACAGTATTGTGAGCTGCACTTTTATACTGCACAAAATCTTCGTTGTTGTCATGGCACAGCTCCCTCTGAAGGAACCCAAATCGGCTTAGACAAAGAGCAAGCGAAGAATAATTGGTGCTCTAAAAATAAGGATGATCCCATGTACAATCAGAACAAGAGAGTCTGTTTCCTTCGCAACATGGCAGAAGTTGATTCTCATTTCCAAAATATAACTTGGGTGTCACAATTCTGGCTCCTGAAATTGAAAAGCCCACTTGAAACTAAGTTTTTACTTCAGTTCTTCCGTGATTCTGACAGAACTAATGGGATTACAATGGGAGCTGATAGTGACCCCTATATTTAGATGTCCTAACACTTCTTTACAAAGGATTGCTGTGATTTATTTTAATAACTCTCACACCTCCAGTGCTGGGGAGCGGAGAGGGGAGGGGTCACTCTCCAATTGTCCCAAGGGGTCAGTATACACAGTAGGACCAGCCTTTGCTGTGTTCCAGTTAGAAGAAGAAAACATTTTCAAAGGTCATTTTTCCTGTTCTCATTTGCATTTATCAGGCACACTGTGGTGATCTGTCTAAGCAAGTTACAAGTCCCAATGCAGTCTCAGGCATGTAGCCAAAACAACCATACATTCATAAGGCTTGCCAGTGGACATACAGCTCCTGAAACATGATTTCTGCTCAGGCACACTTTGTACTATATTTTTGTAGCAGAAACTGGAACAAAGTTAGTAAATTAATTAATACCACTTCAAAACTAGTCAGTGGCTCAGAGGTTCAGACCAATTCCAAAACAACCCTATAAAGACCAAATGTGTTCATACTTATGAAGCTTGACTTACTTTTGATAGATAGTTAAACTGAATAGTTTCCTGTATATTTGTAGTGAAGTGTTCATCTTGTGGCATCCAGGATCATTTGAGATACATGTAGAAGACGGCAGTAGGGAACGGGGGCTCAGAGGCTTTGTAAGCAGCATGGAAGCCCTCAAGGGCATCATTGTGCCCATGGGCACCCCAATGGCAAACATTCAGGGGACAGCCAGTAAGTTCCACCACTGCTTAGACTGTATACCAACTTGTGCCTACTTGATCCAGGTTTATGTAAAGAATACAACAATTTTGCACATCTCAATTCTTATGGGGGGGGAATGTGTTCTTCAGAAGTTTATAGCAAATAGTAGCAGCTTTCATGAGATTGAACTGTTGTAGAGGTGAGACAGAAAGTTGGTTTATGAAACTGCAGTTTTGAACTCAAGTCCATGCAAGGATGGAAACCTCAACCTTCATTTAAGCTACTCAGCAGGGGCTGGTATTCTAAGCCTGGATTTGTATGAATGGTGAAATGGTTCATTCAAGGTTGAAGTGGGTGCCAGAAAATAAAATGGCTGTTTCAGCACTGTTTTCAGTATTTTAAATGCTGCAGGTTAAACTCACTTAAGTTTCTGAAACCAACGAGATTTAAAGGAGCTCAGTCTAAATAAATAAATAAATACATACTGTAGGTCACATGGAGTCAATATTACTGCCTGATTTTTCCCATTATTATTCTGCTGCTCCTCTTGGGCTATCTATCTGGAAAGATAAGATATATTCACATTGGTCTCATCTTGATTATAATTAAGAACAGGGTTTGCTTATTTGTTTGCTAAGGGGGTGGGAGGGCAAATATGTAATAAATGATTATCATGATCCAAAGGGCTACACGTGAAATGCACTGGGGCTCTCCTGCACCTCCCCTTTCCACAACAACCTGTCCTGTTATCCAAGTGTTTCTGAAGGTTAAGGGGACCGTCTGGCATAGGAACTGTTGCACTGCAATGGGATACAGCCAGAAGAGAAAATTCATACACATGCAAGTATCTAGATCCTGGCTTTTGGGGGGAGGGGTTTACATATACCATACAGCAGCAAATATTTGCTAACTATCAGTCATTTTGGGATATGGGTGGCACTGTGGGTTAAACCACAGAGCCTAGGACTTGTCGATCAGAAGGTTGGCGGTTAGAATCCCCGTGACGGGGTGAGCTCCCGTTGCTCTGTCCCAGCTCCTGCCCACCTAGCAGTTCGAAAGCACATCAAAGTGCAAGTAGATAAATAGGTACTGCTCCGACAGGAAGGTAAACGGCGTTTCCGTGTGCTGCTCTGGTTCGCCAAAAGCGGCTTAGTCATGATGGCCACATGACCCGGAAGCTGTACGCTGGCTCCCTTGGCCAATAAAGCGAGATGAGCACTGCAACCCCAGAGTCGGCCACGACTGGACCTAATGGTCAGGGGTCCCTTTACCTTTATCGGTCATTTCTGTTAGTCTTCAACTAACAAGACTTTTTAATGTTTGCATTTTCTGTTATATTGCTTTACGGAAGAAAACAACCCGAGCACTTCACAAGGTAAAAGGTTCAAGAGTGAGTGTTGGAGAAAGGGCCATAGGTCAGTGGCAGTGCCTCTGCTTTACATGAATAAAGTCCCAGGTTCAGTCTCAAGATAGGGCTGGGAGAGACTCCTGCCTGAAGCCCTGCAGTGCCGCTGCCAGCAAGTGTAGGCAATACTGAACTAGACAGACCAAGGCTCTCACTTCGTATAAAGTAGCTTCCTATGTTCTTACGAGAAATCTGTGAGAAATACATATTTAAGAATATCAATTTTAACCTTATTAGTGCCAAAGTAACAAATATTTATAAATACCTAAAGGAAATATTTTATCATAATGAAAGAAAGCAAAAAAGCAAAAACAAATGCATCACCAACAACTATTTATTTCAGTTGAATTCCTCAGTTCAGACAAAAATAAGTGGCATTTCTAGCTGGAACTGCTTTGAACATAGATAACTGTGGGCCTCATAAGTTCCAAAGCATTCCTAAACAAATGTACAGAGTTCACACTAAACGTTTAGATACATTCTTCAACACTGTGTATCTAACGTTTTGATGAAACTCACGCTGATCCCACAGACCAACACAAAGATTTCAAATCCAACTCCATAAACCTGCATCAACCTAGACCTAAATAAATAAAATGGACTCTCCCATGACATGAATGCTCCCTTTGTTCATGGGGGAATATGTCTTTGGTTGCACATCATTCCAAAGAAGTCCGAAGAAGAACTGCCAGTGCTTTTATTTGCCTATTCTCTGAACCACCCAGTCCTGTTGGCAGAGGGGGCAGCGGTTGTTCTGTTTCACCCACAGTGACATGCAGCAGTTGTGGAAGGAATGATTACACTCTCCCCAGACCACTGAAAGAAAAAGAAGAAGAAAACTAAACTTGAGTCAGCAAGTTAAAAATGGTTAGATCTAATACAAAGTGCTAGCATTTATCTCAATATAATATTCAGTATTGCTGTAGGACTTTGCTTTTTATAAATACAGTCATGGGAAAAAGAAAGCGACCCTCTTTGAATAATGTGGTTTTACATATGAAGACATAATAACAACCATCTGTTCCTTAACAGGTCTTAAAATTAGGCAAATACAACCTCAGATATGTCATACACATAACATATCACACCATGTCCTGATTTATTTAACAGAAATAAAGCCAAAACGGAGAAAACATGTGCGAAAAACTAAGTACACCCTTACTGCTTCCATAGAAATTAAGAGGCCAAGTAGCAGACAGGTGCTGCTAATCAAATGTGCTCACTTAATTGATCATCAGTAAGTGTGCCCACCTCTATGAAAGCCAACGTTTTAGCAGTTTGCTGGTCTGGAGCATTCAGGTGTGTTATAACACAATGCCAAGGAGGAAAGATGACACAATGCTCTTAGAGAAGCAAGTGCTGCTGCCTATGAAACTGGGAAAGGTTCTAAGGCCATCTCCAACCAATTTTAAGTTTATTATTCTACAGTGAGAAAGTGGAAAACATTCAAGACAGTTGCCAATCTTCCCATGAGTGGATGTCTCAGCAAATTCACCCCAAGGTCAGACCCTGCAATGCTCACAGAAATTGCAAAAAAATTATCCCAAGAGTTATATCTCAGGCCCTACAGGCCTCAGCATGTTAAATATTAAAGTTCATGACAGTACAATCAGAAAAAGATGGAACAAGTATGGCTGGTTTGAAAGGGTTGCCAGGAGAAAGCCTGTTCTCTCTAAAAAGAACATGGCAGCATGGATTAGGTTTGCAAAGTTGCATCTGAACAAACCACAAGATTTCTGGAACAATTTGTTTGGCCATAATGCACAGCGCCATATTTGGTGGAAACCAAACAGCATATCATCGTAAGTACTTCATACCAACTGTCAAGCATGGTGGTGGAAGGGTGATGCTTTGGGCTTGTTTTGAAGCTACAGGACTTGGAAACATTGCAGTCATTGAGTCAACAATGAACTTCTCTGTATACCAAAGTATTCTACAGTCAAATGTGAGGCCTGACAGCTGAAGCCTGGCTGAAACTGGGTCATGCAATGGGACAAGGATCCTAAGCACACCAGCTAATCTACAACAGAATGGCTGAAAAATAAAAGAATCAAGGTGTTGCAATGGCCCAGTCAAAGTCCAGACCTCAACGCAAGTGAAATGCTGTGCAGGACCTTAAGAGAGCTGTGCATCAACAAATGCCAGCAAACCTCAATGAATTGAAGCAACGTAAATAAGAATGGACCAAAATTCCTCTGCAATGATGTGAGAGACTGATAAAGTACTACAGAAAATGATTACTTCAAGTTATTGCTGCTAAAGGTAGTTCTACAAGCAACTGAATCATTAGGTGTACTTAGTTTTACACACATAGCTTTTCCCTTTCATCTGAGGTTGTATTTACCTAATTTTAAGATCTGCTAAGGAACAGATGATTGTTATTATGTCTTCATATGTAAAACCACATAATTCAAAGAGGGTGCACTTTCTTTTTCCCATCACTGTAGCGATGCTCCAAAGCAGTGTCTTCCAAATATAATGAAACACCTTTTTTTCTTGAACAGCAGGCGTTCATGCCACCCAGCATGACACAGAGTGGTTTGGGATATGGCCTTGGAATGGTGGGATAAATCTACTTGTTCAAAGACAGGAAGCCAAGAGTCTGACTGAGCATGTGAGAATTTGGGTGTGCCAAAGTAGTTCAAAGTAGCCTAAGACTTTACAGCACATGAAGAATTGTTGTCTAAGCTTATTAGCATTTCTTACTCAAATACTTCACTTTTACAGATTTCGCTATCAGCACCATTCAAAAGCTATTATTATTGTGTGGAGACCGTCCAAAATATACTTCCAGAATACCAGGCAGAACCTGCACTATTTGCTTTTAAAAGCTGAGGTATACATTTTTATGTTAAAAATAAGTATTGCAAATTTCTTCTACGTGAAGATTTCAACCCACCATTGAATCCTCAAAATCAGCAAGTAAAAGTAAGTTGTGAAACCAATTTTTTTTTGTTTTAAGATCCCAAGATTTCTTTCAACAAACCATTTTTATGAAAAATGCCTGAAGATACAACAGACCTCATCAAATCAAATGTTTTAGCTTATGTAACTAGTATTTCATGGTTACATACCCATACATAAAAGACAAACTGCAGATTTCCTATGGCCAAGTATTTTATACAAATGTATGTCATTTTACATTAATGAAGCTTTCCTGAATTTTATTGCACAAAAATAAGAGCTATTTAGCTGAAACTTTAAAAAGCACCCCACTAAGAAAAAGCCTTTGGTTGAATAACAAGAGAATGAAATCACAACATACCAACACAATCTTCTTGTTTGTTTTCAGCTTGACATCTAAGGCAGGCATCTAGATGTAAACAAGGACAAGACTAAGTATGATGTTCTGAAAGCAGCTCTGAAAAGTGTGTTTCCAAAGCATCTACAGTCACTGACAAACATTTAATGGTGCAAGCATACTGTGTCATGTAATCTAAGCACCTCAAGATCATTAATCTAAAACTTACCCTAATGCATGACCTTCCACTAACTCAGCCACTTCCACACCACAAAAGCTTGGCTCTTCCAACTTACTTTGGAAAATTTAGGGTTCACACTGGACTATGTGGAGAAATGTAGTGAACAATCCAGTAGTAAATTAATTCACTGTGCAGTAATTCCTCTTCCTAACACATCACTTCTTAGAAGAATGCCCTGGAGCAAATACACTGAGTTAGCCAGTGGCGTAGCGTGGGGGGTGCAGGGGGGGCCGGCCGCACCGGGCGCAACATCTGGGGGTTAGGGGGCGCAAATCCACAGGTTAGGGGGCGCAAATTACTTGCCTTGCCCCGGGTGCTGACAACCCATGCTACGCCACTGGAGTTAGCTCAGTTGGTAGAGAATGAAACGCTTAATCTCAGGGTTGAGCCCCCTAAAGATTCCTGCATTGGCAGAGGGGATTGAACTAAATGATCATCTTGACACCTTCCAACTCTACAAATCTATGATATTCCGTGCAGACAGTATGCCTCTGTGTAAGGTACACTGGACTGCTTTGGGAAATTGGCCCCCAAACACAGCCACATTGTTACTTCTATGGTTATTACAAAAACACCTCAAATGGAAGAAAATGTAACTGGAATCCACAGGATTTCATTGCTGTCACCCAGATGCGTAATTTAAGCATACATTTTATAAAAGAAAAATTAATACTGCTTCTGGTGAAAAGATGAATGGGCATTCTACCAATTTAGGGAGCCAATTGTCCATAGGCACTGTTCACAGAGAAAGCGTAGCTTTACCAGTGCTGCCCTCAGGCCAGAAAGGGAGTGGGATCACCATGAAAACGGATACAGCACAAAGCAAGCATCCTACATATAGTGATGCTCAAAGTCAGAGACAGCATCCTTTTATTACAGACACATTAAATCACATATATCTTCAGGAACAACAGCAAATAGGAAAAAAGGACTTGTAAAAATGCACTGAAGGATAGGATATAGGATCTGCTCTAGTGATATGTACAGTTCATAAGGGTGATATTTGGTTACCAAATAGGAAAACCAGCCAATTCATTTATTTTGCACAAGCTTACTCATGGGTATGCACATTGTAACAAATCTTACTGCATTCCCATGGTGATATCTTCTTAAGTGAATACATAAAAGACTTGTTAACGTCCAGGCATAACCTTTTATAATCTTATCCTGAACAGAATCATGGAGTTTATCCATAGAGTCTTATGAAAATGAGGGAAGGCAGTGGTGGTGGTTTGCTTCCTCAGAACCTCGGGATCCTATGGCTGTGTTAGGATCGAAAAGGAGCAAGCAGCATGTTCTTCTCTTTAAAATAAAAACTAGAAATGCTCCAACCATTTTAATTTTAGGTCTCTCATTGTCTACAGCGGCCTAGATGCTCTCTCAGGGGCAAGGCCCCATACGTGAGCATAGGAAAGCAGCTAGGAACCTCTCGTCTGGCCCAAGGGTGGGGAAGGGGCGCAGGGCAGGCCTTATCTCATCAAGGCCCATGTTTAGGCACAGTTTAGTTGCCGGTAGCGTCGGCAGGGCTTCCTGAAGCAGCAAACAAAAAGGCCCGTTCCCCCTCCCTCCTACCCAGGGGGAGGAAACGCCGGCGCCCTGCGGCCTTCGCAAAAAAAAAATCACGAGAGAATAAAACACTAATATTGCCCGGGTTTGGGGGGGTGAGAAGAGACACTTCAGGAACCCCTCACCGGGAGGAGACGAGGCCTAGCCCGGCCCCACCTCGCCCAGGGCGCCTGAGAAAGGACGGAGGAGGCCGCCGCCGCTGCCTCCTGAGCGAGGCCTTTGTTCCGGGGCCCGGCTTTCGCCGCTCCCTCGTCTTACCCATGACCTGCACCCGGCAGATGGCGCAGGTGTCGCACTCCACGTCCCAGCTCCACATGGCCACGGCGTTCCACTTCTTCAGCGAGAACATCTTGTCGACGCCGCCCGACTTCGAGCCCGAGAAACCCGCGTGAGGAGCCGAGACACCTGGCTCGTCCCCGTCCTCCACGTCGGCCATGGCTGGGGGCGGCAGGAGGAGGCGGCGGCGGAGGCGACGGCAGCAGCTGCTCGCTTAACCGCCCGCCTGGCTCCCCGAGCGGCGGAGCGGAGCTCTACCACCACCCAGCGGTGGCGAGCGGGTTGAGGCCTAACGCGGGACGGGGCCTGAGCTCTGTGCGGGGTCGATTTGCAAGCCTCACCGCAGAAACATAGGGTGGGGGGCGGTGTCTTGTGCCACAGGCGCAAAATCCTCCGTTATAGCCCGTGTTAAATAAGCAGGGAAACGTGCCGCCGTCTCCAGCTTTTGTATATGCACAGCTGCAGTGCCGGATTTATGTATAAACTAAACAAGCTATAGCTTAGTGCCCCACTCTGTTGGGGACCCCCCAAAATAATTAAAGAAAAAAAACCCTGGATGTACATTTCCAAAATATAAGATGAAAAACAAATAAAATAAAACCTACATACAGCAACAGTGTTTTGTGTTTTGTATGGACGTATGAGGTCCATAAATTACCATATAGCATATATTCAACAACAAAAAAAACAGCTGGATATATAAAGGGCCCCATTACCTTCAGTAGCTTAGGGCTTCATCAAACCTAAATCTGGCCCTGAGCTGCTCATATATATGTATGGAAAAAGAGGGTGCATCCTTTTATCACGAGACCAGAGTGTATGTTGCCAAGTTTATTTACTCTGTGTAATGCATTTATAGCCCTTTTTCTCCAAGGAGCTAAAGGTGGCGGACAAGGTGGTTATCCCCCATCTCATTTAATCCCAACAACAACCCGCTGAGATAGGTTAGACTGAGAGGCAGTGACTGGCCCAAGGTCATCCCCAGTCAAGATGTGAACCCTAGTCTCTCAAGGCCCTAGTCCAACACACTAACCACTTAAGTGGCTGCTCATGTGTACGATGCCAGTAACGCAGGAGGTTATGTTTTGCTTTGAGACCAAGGACAGGAATTCTGCCATAATTTGTTATATGCACCTATGAAAGCCTGATTTTCACTTGGAATAATTCACCTTTTTCACAGCTGTTGCGCACTAGGTCAACATTTTCATTGAGCTATCCCATCATGACCCCAGTATCTGAACTTATTCATTTATAGTTGATCTGTGATTGACATACATCTCCAAATAGCAATGAAAATCGAAGAAGAAATGATACAAGTGTAAGTTGTACTACCAGGAAGGTGTGTTTTTGGCAGTTGCATACTTTTAATCCAATAAAATGGAAGTGGTTGTAAATAGTTATAAAGTACTTTCACAATAAAGTAGTATAAACCGTCTTTGTAGTATTTCAAAGATTAGAACAGCATGTAAATAATTGCTGAAGTATGTTAACCATCTCTGAACCTAATTTCTGCAGGAGGCAAATCCGGACTCCATCACTTGGATTTCTGTAAAATACAAAACAAAACACATCTCAGAAGATTCCAATAAGAAGCAATTGTATGTGGAACAAACGAAAGTAGCTGGATACTAAGGTCTAACACACCAATCCAACAAGAGGAAGTGTACACACAAGTCGTCTCTCCTTCCTTGAATGTTTTTAAGCAGTTATTAGATGGCCATCAATCATGTATGATCTCGTTAAGATTCCTACATTGCAGGGGGTTGAACTAGATGACCCCTGGGATCCCTTTGAACTCTACAGTTCTATGATTCGAAGCAGATACTCTGCAGACATTTCTCTCACCTTAAGAGCCCAGTGCAGGAATGGGGGTTCCATGTGTACAATCCCAGGCGGGACAACTAGGGCAGTGCCCTTCACAATGTCCTATTAAAGTACATGAGTGGGACCAATAGAAAAAATGGGGTTGGGGAGTGGCAAAATCTACCATACACTGCCCTGCCTCTGCCCCACCAGGCTTAATGGAGACCAGCTGCCACTACCACACTCAGATTGTCATCACTATCATCAGTCATTGTTCCGTTGGAAAAGGGAGGACCAACCTGATCTAGCCATGTACACCCTCTTCCCGCCATTTCCACACATCCTTATCTCCTGGATCCAACTTTTTAGCCTGGAGAAATTGGCTCTCAGTCCAAGACACACTACTCTAGAGGCCCTTGCTGCCTCAATTCTCAAGAGGCAGCCAGGAGAAATGGCGGCAAATGAGAGTTCTGGGAGAGGGGAAGCCAAATGGCAGTTGTTACCAATTAAGCAGATGGAATGAACATTACTCTTGCAACTCTCTTGGATGGCACTGTATGGAATGGCCACCAATGGATTATTCCACTCAGTGCAACTCATTACTGTGGAAAGAATTTCAGAAAATAAACATGATATTCTACTAGTTTAACTTTAGTTCTGAGACTTAATACACGGAATTTTGTTCCTTTCCCTTCCTCCCATGGTTTGCAGCTCTCCATCAATTATTTGTTACTTAAGATTGTGGGATCAAGGTCTATATACTTTGGGGAAAGACTGCAGTATTTCTATTATGCTGATGACAGTACAGTCCATGAAGGTCTTATTTATCTTCATTTATCATTAGCTCAGTAGCCTTTGTTTCTAAGCAAACAGCAGCATCTCAGTGCATCTTTGTATTAACAAAAGAGCTTTATTAGTAGTGTCCTGGCAATGGGGTGCCCTTTCTAAAGAGGCCTGGTGCCTGTGCTACAATTCTTTCAGTGCCAGGCAAAAATATGATTCATGCAAGCATTTTAACTTGTTAGAATGTTAGCTTTTAGGATTTTTATCTGTTGTTTGATTATTGTATTTGTACTGTGAAACCATGGGTTCTGCACCACCCTGAAATCTTCAATAGGACAAATGTGGCATATACATTAAATGGTGTATGTGTGTTAATATGTGTGAATAAATAAATAATGAAATAGGGGGAATCAAATTATTGCACCTTTTTCTTCCTCTTTTTTGCTGTTTTTGAACAATTCTTGAAAATTTCCCTGAAGGTCACTGATGACATCTGGGGTGTTACCTCAATGTTTATGTGTGGCATTTTGTCTATAGAGACAAATAATAATATTCAATCAGTCAGTCAGTATACCATAAACAATCATTTTCCATAAATACTCATAACCATGAAGAACATTTAATAGTAAACAATGAAGACTTGTCTGCACACAAGTTTTCATCCCTGGGTGATGACAGAGTCTGACCGTATGGATCAGGGAAAGCCTACACATAAAGATAAGCCATTACAAATAACTTTCAATTTTTTCTTGGGTTGTCACTATCACAGGGATCAGTATTTGGTTAAATGAGAGAAAGTTCCAAATGGGATAGGTCTGAGCAAAGAAGGTATTATGGTGCAATCCTAGGTATATTTGCTCAGAATAGTTGCACTTGGTTCATTCGGGCTTATTCCAACATAGTTGTGCAGTATCAATACATGTACCTCAGGTTAAGAACTTACGGTAATTCATTCTGCAGGTCCGTTCTTAACCTGAAACTGTTCTTAACCTGAGGTACCACTTTATCTAATGGGGCCTCCTGCGCTGCCGCTGCTTGATTTCTGTTCTCATTCTGAAGCACGGTTCTTAACACAAGGTACTATTTCTGGGTTAGCGGAGTTTGTAACCTGAAGTGTCTGTAACCCGAGGTACCACTGTATAAGCTGGCAAATCTAAAGGTTTATTGACTGCAATTATCCCACCTTTCTTTCGGTCCTTAAGAGCTTCCAATATGTTGATTGCACTTTGTTCTCCTATAGCATTGCCATCGATATCAACTTCTACTAGATGGTCAGAGTACCTGATTAGACTATGATAGAAAATATTAACAATGAAAATTGTTTCACAGTTCCACAGTACCATAAATGACAGGAGAGTGTGATTCCATGTCCTGTTAATCAGTTGCCTTACCTAGTCAACAGCTGCACAAACTCTCTGAGGTTTTCTTCTGTTTGACGAAACCTTCCATCTATGGCATTATCAGCCAAATGCAGCCTAGCTAACCATGGGCCAGGGTCAGGTTTCTTACTTTTTTTCTTTGAGACTGCAAATCGTAAGCACATAATTATTATTTCTGATACAATGAAGATAGGCAACTTCAGGTTACTCTGCATCCAGTACGGCTAGTTTTTGAAGCTGCATTCACATGACGTAAACTACAATCCGTATCAATTCTGTAGCTTGTTGACAAATTTGTTGTGTTTTTCCTCAAACCAGCTTCAACTAGAAAACTGGATGAAGAGTAAGCGGTAGTGTTAACATTTATCTGTCTTATTTTACCTTTCCGTTTCTTTTTCTTCCTACTATTTTCCATTGTCGTAAGACTATTTGTCTTCGAAGTAGTGTTCAGATTCACAACTTTTGAGAGAAGATCTGCATCTTTGTTGGGTGCTTAAAATGAAAAGGCAGTAAGTTTAAATTTTGTTGTTACGATTTCTCACAGGCCCTCCTGAAAGATGCTCAGCATCCAAATGAGCACAGCTACCCTGCCTGAATTGTGCTCTCTGAGCTCCTGGATGTTGAGTTATATGAGTCAGTTTTAAATACACTTGGAATCAAGCATTGCCACAGTTATGCTGTGGGGTGGGGTAGAGGGGAGATACTTCTATAACTGCTTCGACTGCCCAAATCCAATTAAAGAACTGCTTGAGTTAACTCCAAGCCTATAAACGCGATCCTTCAAAACATCTGCATGACCGCATCATTAGGAATCTCTGATTCATGCAGCAGCCTCCTAACCATCAGCACATTTTGCTATTTGCAGACATCACTATCAAGCACAGGCTGAAGGACTTCGCCCTGTTGCTTCCTGCACTGCTCTTTATATCCGAAATCAAGTCAAACTATACAGAACTGCCCCTTTTCTCCAGAAGCGTTGCAGACGATCATGGGATTGCAACAAAAAGTCTGGTATTTCCACACTTAGGCTCCTCAGCTAGGATGCCTCCTTTGCATGGGCCTTCTCTTTTGTCTTAACTGACCTCTCCCGGAGCCAGTTCCACTGGCTGCTGCTTGTGGGTTTGCTTTGTAGCTCTGCAGCTTTGCCTCCATTTTCAGTAAATCCATGATGTTCCCTTTCTCTTTGTTATATACTAAGCTTGGATCCTAGAACAATAGGCAAATAGGATCCTAGAATGTAACAACTGATTGGCTTGCAGGAAAAGACCAATCAGTCTCCAGGAGGGAAGCAGAACCAGCCAATCAGACGGGACTCATTGTGTAAATAATGTATATAAAAGCCTGAGGTTTGGGGGGCAACTCATTCACTGTTTTACAAGCTTCAATAAAGAGCATGAACTCACGACAGGACTCCGAGTATATTTCACTCTTATTTTTAAAACTAAAACAATGGGAGGTTCTTGTAGAGTTTTCACCATCCATTCATTCCCTGTCAAAGCCAGACCACTGAGAGATGTGCAATAGCTTGTGCAAAACATCAGGCAGAACATGAGGCTGTGCTTTGATGCTGCACACAGTTCTGGACACGAACCTCAAGAGCCACCAAAGATTTGCTTCCATATATACTTTATATGCATTGCTCTCCAAAGTCTAAGTAGAACAATGAAACTGATTGAAGATGAGTGAATGGTGTCCATATTTCCTTTTTTGAAACTGTCAGTTTCTATTCCTCCTGTTTGTTCTTTTCATTATTTTTCATATAGACGTGTCTTAAAAACAGCCCAAGAAAATGCATGGCCATAATGAACTTTGTCCTGTTTGTATTGTTTTTAGTGGAGTTTTGCCTAGAGCTGAAATATGTAAATGCTTGAGTTGTTTTAAAAATGGCAAATCATACCATTTAATTTTAACATTTAGAAGGTTGCAATCCTATACACACACTTATGTGTAAGTCCCATAGAAGTCAATGGAACTTACTATGTTACAGGATTGCAATGCAAGTTGCATGAGTGAATTGCCCCAAAGGCAATCCTACCTTCAAGGCTGAGTTGAGCATTTGCTTTCTTTACTTGTCCAATGCTTTCTTCAAACTCTGCTATTGGTCTGAGGAGTTCTATGGCCCCCAAACATTGCAAGTGATTACCATTCAGGAACAAGTTGCTGCAATAAACAATTTAAAATGATTTCACAGACAATGGTTAAAAAGAATATTAAGTATTATTTCAACATATTTTCTTGTTTTTAGAAGCAGATTTTCCCCCATTACAGAAATTTTAAACAAAACAGAAAACATTTAGTCTATTTACAAGATATATAGCAATCAAAAATGTTAAAGCAGTAACATCAATGCAAACAACAAAAACAGCACAAGCAGAATAAAAACACTCTAAAACAGTTCAAACCCAGCTCTAAATCAATCAATCAATCAATCAATCAAAACATACCAAATGGCAGTTTGGACTACAAGAGTTGCTAATGTTAATCCACTTTTGGGCCCTAAATCACAGTAGCAGAGGCTCAGAGTTAAAAGCTTTCTATTCCCATCTAATCCATCAGTAAGTCTATTGACACAGTTATCACCACATCTGTAAAGAAAATAATAAATTAGGTAGACAACAGTTTAAAAGAAGGCTGTTTACTCCTACCTTAAACATATAGTTATTTAACCAGTATTCTAGTATTGCACATGGGTTTGATTCTAATTGAAGCAAGTCATTTAGACACATTTCTGGAAAGACTTAAACTGAAAAAATAAGGGAACAATACACAAAAAACTGGCATAAAGTAAGCTTGGTATAAATTAAATTGGTGTGAAGTACAACAGATCCAAAAGAGCAGGGCTACTGCTGGCTGAGCCAATATAAGTCCAGCAGAGGGAAAACAAACCTTTAAAATAGTGTTTGAGTTACACCATCCTTTTTGCAATCTTAACTTATGCTGGGTCACCAGGTCACATGACAGAGCTAAATGGGCTTAGGATCCAGCCTAAATCCACCCTCTCTGGTCCCACCTCTGCCATGTCCCCAGAAAGCCCCTTTTCCCTAGGTTTAAGACAAATTAGTTGGACTTGGTTCAACCAGCTGGTCCTTGACATTACATTTTGACTGAATTGACTGAATTCAACAACCTGGTTCTATTAACAGAAGCCAGACTCCCATTAGTGCAATGGGGCTCCTTCCCACCAGCTTACCTCCATGCCTCCCCCAAATCTGCTTTGGAGGTTTGGGAGATACCATAGAGTAAGTTGTCCTGCCAGACTTAGCTATGTCCACTTCCCTTCACCTGGGGAAGAACTAGGTAAGAGCTTGTTCTCTTCCAGTCTACCTGAGTTCAGCATGTGAAGAGGTTTGAGCTGGTTGCTCCAGCTCAACCACATGGATATCACAAACCACTCTTGAGTTCCTATACCAATAATCTAGGAACTCCTACATGGCTTCCACAGCTCCTCTTTTCTTTAGGGTGAAGAAGTGAAACTAATAGTTTTTCTTACTTGGAATAATCCAGAACAAGAGAACTCAGACGGCTGTAAGGCAGAGCCATTCCAAGTCTCTCCATGCTCCAAAGGTCTAATACATGATGAGTTATTTCTAATTTGGAAAAGGGGTAGATGGTACGTCCATCCAGTTCTAGCAAGATTGCCTAAAACACAAATAAGAAGAACAAAAATCCAGATTTATCCAAACGATTAACGCTTCTAATTTGAATTCTTTGTGTGCTTTGAAAGTGTTTCTACTTAGCTTAGTCCTGCCACACTAAAAGCATAACATTCAATATTCCTGGACACCATAGTTCTGTATTTAACTACATGGTATGAATACAATTTGATGTAATATTTTTCACCCTGATGTACATTCATTCTACCTTTCTCCAGTGCTAAAAATGTTAACATACACTCTCTCTATAGTTTACAAATAGCTACCATGGAATAACAGTTATTTCTCCACTTGTACTTCCCTAGATGGTGGCCAACACTCTAGTCAGGGAAGAGGATTAGACTGACGAGTCAGATGGCTATATATCAGGCCTGTCCAACAGCTCAAAAACTTTGGCTCCCTCCCAAAAGCTCAACTACTCTGATCAATCCTCCAATGACAACGGGTAGATCACTGCCAGTTTTTTTATGCTGTGAGTAGATCGCAGTCTCTTTGGAGTTGGATGGGCCTGCTATAGATCATCTGTCATGGCCATCTGTCATGGATGCTTTAGCTGAGATTCCTGCATTGCAGAGGGTTGGACCAGATGACCCTTAGGTCCCTTCCAACTATACAATTCTATGATCCTATGATCTGTGACACATTGAGGTCCCATGCTTGGTGGTGAGCAGATGTGCATACTCACAGGTGTCTGGTTGAGTCATCAAATTTGCCAGCAACACTGTCCTCTAGACCCACTCCAACCTACTCACACTTGCATATTGGGCCAAGGGCTAGAAAAATGGCATTGGTTTCTCTGGGGTCCAAAAAACACTGTTCAAGTGCCTTTGTTCCTTGCAAATTTCTTTAATTTAGCTGCTTCCAGGTCCAGAGCTAGCAACAAGTGAACTCTTATCAGCTTGATGGTGAATAAGTTCAGCAACAGCAAATTGTTCCCCACTTAAAAGATCATCCCAAGTGTAAGATGGAATGTGGCATCCATAAAAAGGGCTTGGGCATTCTGGAGAACTACATTTCCCAAGGTCCCTGGCACCTGGGTTACAGGTGTTGCGGCCTTCAAGCAAGGCTTTTTGTGGTTGTAGCCAGTGGCAGGTATTGTATGCTTTGTGGGAAGAGAAGGAAGAAGCTGCGATGGCAGGACTCTGAGTCTCATTTCTCCCACCCTCAATAATACACTGGCTCTCTCCTACAATGACTGTGAGAAGCTGATGTCCAGACTGTATTTATTTTATTTTTTGAGTTGGTTGTGAAAGTCTCAGGTTCCTTTACCAATGGCTTGTGTTCAAACTTACAAGGTTTGCAATATCTTGAGGATATAGGTTAATTCCACAGATACAGAGCTCCTTCCCTCGCCGATATCGTTCATCTCGGATAGTCCTCAGTAAAGGAGTGAGATAAACTGGATGCACATTTCTTGATACGCTCTCTACATTTGTAAGCACAAACTAGAGAAGAAAAAGAAAAGCTTGATGACAATCCTGCCACTAAAACTTTACTGATTCCTTTTATTTTTTCCTCTTCCCTCAATTTCCTCAACAGAACTTCCAGCATTAATATAAATAGTAGAGGTAACAGAGGGCATCCCTGCCTTGTGCCCTTCATAATCTCAATGTTTTCTGTAACAATACCGTTAATTATCAACCTTGCCTTTTGTTTAAAGTAAATAGCTTCTATTCTATATCATTATGGAATGGGATGTCCCTATTTTCATCGAGAAATGTTGGAGGGTACATCTTTGACATAGGCATCATGTAATATATAATTACTCACACTGCACTAGTGTGTTTTTGGTGCTCTTTCATAATAAAGGAGCCATCAGATGTTCAATTTGCATGGTTTAATTTAATGGACTTTTTAGCAAATTGTAGGGACGCGGGTGGCGCTGTGGTCTAAACCACAGAGCCTAGGGCTTGCCGATCAGAAGGTCGGCAGTTTGAATCCCCGCGATGGGGGTGAGCTCCCATTGTTCAGTCCCAGCTCCTGCCCACCTAGCAGTTCAAAAGCATGTCACGTGCAAGTAGATAAATACTATTTTTCGCTCTATAAGACTCACCAGACCATAAGATGCACCTAGTTTTTGGAGGAGGAAAACAAGAAAAAAAATATTCTGAATCCCAGAAGCCAGATCCCTCTCGCTGTTCTGGCTTCTGGGATAGCCGCGCGCAGCCTCTTTAGGGCAGCGGGATGAAGGCTCCCCCTGCCCTGAAGAGGCTTCGCACAGCGAAGCTAGAACAGCGAGAGGGAGTGCTGCGCAGTGATCCCTCTCACTGTTCTGGCTTCTGGGATAGCTGCGCAGCCTGCATTCGCTCCATAAGAGGCACACACATTTCCCCTTACTTTTTAGGAGGGAAAAGGTGCATCTTATAGAGCGACAAATACGGTAGGTACCGCTCCAGCAGGAAGGTAAACGGCATTTCCGTGCGCTGCTCTGATTCGCCAGAAGCGGCTTAGTCATGCTGGCCACATGACCCGGAAGCTGTCTGCAGACAAACGCCAGCTCCCTCGGCCTATAGAGTGAGAGGAGCGCGCAACCCCAGAATTGTCCACGACTGGACCTAACGGTAAGGGGTACCTTTACCTTAGCAAATTGCAAATATACAAAGAGAGAAGATAACTTCTGGTTAACCTACCTCAGGAGAGAGGGCAATAGAGTTGCTAATCAGCTAGAACCATGCTTCCCTCTAAAGGAATAATTTGTTGTTGTTGATTAAAAAATACAGTTGGGGTATAATCCCCAACATCATTTGGTTCTAGTTCACAAAGGCACGTCAATTTTTTATTTATAATCCATTTTTACCTTAGTAATGAACATATCATTTGTTACACATTGCTGTAAATCCTGTTTGATAGTTGGACTGACACAACTTTGGGATGCCGTGCAATGCTTTTCATAAGTTTGCAGGAACTTTTCAAGGATATTCATAGCTAAGCCGGCTTTAGGTTTTGGTTTGCCTTTTAGCTTTGGCATGACTTCTTTCCTTGATGTTGTCAGTTGCCACAGAATGTGGACTCTGAAAAAAGAATAGTAGGTTTGAGGAGCAAAGGTAAGAGGTTGTAACTTGCAGGCCTTCCTTAAAGAAATTCATTGTTCTTAAATAGATTAGGCTTCTATACCAAAATCAGGGAAAGGAGCTAGATTCAAGAAAAAAATAACAAGTCATCTGTCCTGGTATGAGGCTGTGTACACATTTGATATAAATTATATATGTGTGCACTGCAAAAGTTTGTTTTAGGGTATCATGTGATTGATCTCCATACTAGTGATCTGATGAAGCAGATTTTTGAGTCCCCCATAGTCTAATTCGAAGGTGTAGGTGCTAATCCTAAATCCAAGCTAGTGTTCAAAATTCTCCAATGTGTCTAGTCCTTTCAAGGTGTTCCACCCCTTGCCCACCAACAGGAATAAAGGATGCAGATGATCCACCTCATGGTGTGATGGGTGCCTTGACCAATAGGAGTGGGGCATACCTCTGACATCGAAGAGGGTTCCCACACAGCAAACACCCCAAAACTTTTACACAGATATAATAGTAGGAAGCAATAGCTTTCATAAACAGATCCTGTGTTATTGCTGAATTCACACATATTCTTTTGTTGGAGAAAATAATAATTTAATCAAACTGTGTTTTGATTATTCTGTTTTCTTTTGAGTCTATGGCCTAGCTAAGCTAAAAGGGCCTGTACCTGTCTTTTACAGTACAGAACTAGCTGCTTTTAGGTACTGTACATAGTGAATGTCTGTTCCAGAACACTGAAAGAATAAACTGTTAGAATCTATGGTGGGCATTGTATGCATGAAAAGAGAATCAGCTAGGCATGGCAGTTGTGATTAATCTTGAATTGTTTTGTAGACTGATGAAAGAGGACATTGGAAGACATTTAATGTACAGGAAAAGTAGTCAAAGTCTTAGTCAAACTTAGTCAAACTTAGTCAAAAAATTAGTCAAATAATAAAGAAAGGCACTTGAAAATGATTATATGTAATCACATGATATTATGATGAGGGCTGATCTGAAGAGCCAAATGATTTTGATTGTTTCAGGATGATGGCATTGGCTTGGAACTATTAAAAATGGTGTGATCCATTGATCAGTGAAATTAAATGACGTGTGTAGTCTGGAAGTGTATAAAAAACATTGTGTCAGATGTGGTTCTTTGCAGCCTTCTCCTTATTTTTGAGGCTGTCCCTGTGTACATTTGTATTTCAATAAAGGCCTATCTTTTCACTTGGAGCCTGCATCCTTTTCCTTTGGGTTTATGTGAGGGTAACCTCCAGTCTGGGAACCCCCCTTTAAATTTATCCAACACATTAAATTCCCAAACTCAGTGTACTGCACACAGAAAACTGAAGCAACCCACAAGCGTTTCAGCTGCCATTTGGATTTATTAGCACAATACACCAACCAGGCAGATTTATTCTATACAGCAGCACTGGTTGCCATAGCAATACCAGCCCTGAATCCAAACAGTCTGTGAGTAGGATGTTAGGACTACTGTAACTGCCTCTGTCAACAGACCAGAGCACATAATTCTGCTACACAGAACAAGCTCTGCTTGCCTTTGTGAACAATGGACCAAACAAAGGAGCCCCAATCACAACCCAATACAGAGTTAAGTGTGCTTAAGGCCACTGAAATTACATGCTGAATTAAGTTACATGCATCTCCCCGTGGTTTTTTTTCTCTCCCCTACTGCATACTCATACACAGCTGAGAAGGCTGCAGTCTTCAACATAAGATTGGGGTGGGGATGGGGGTAAATGGTTGATAAAAACTTTCAACTCAGGCCACTTACCCATTCAAAATCTCCCCTTAAGCTGATTTTCATTGTATGTAGGGTGATTTCGAGCAGGGGCTTGATTTTGAGCAGGGGGAGCGAAATGTTGGAGGCGAAATGATAGCAAAATCCCTGTTTCATTCTTTCAATGCTCATATTTTGCCCTGACTCCATCCACTTGGTGGAGAGAGAGATGAACATTGGGAAGAGCTACATGGCTGTGACTTGTACATACAGTGGTACCTCGGGTTACATACGCTTCAGGTTACATACGCTTCAGGTTACACACTCCGCTAACCAAGAAATAGTCTTCAGGTTAAGAACTTTTATTTCAGGATGAGAACAGAAATCGTGCTCCGGCGGCGCGGCAGCAGCAGGAGGCCCCATTAGCTAAAGTGGTGCTTCAGGTTAAGAACAGTTTCAGGTTAAGTATGGACCTCCGGAACGAATTAAGTACTTAACCCGAGGTACCACTGTATACTTCTCTGCATGGTGCTGGACACTTGGTTTTTAGTATTTGAATGTTTGACTGGCAGTATCAGTTTGCTAATTCATTTTTTTGCAAAGCTTTTATGCATCTTGGTCATAAATTCAACTTCATTATATAAGAAAACATGGGAAGCCAGTTGTTAACATAGTGCTATGAGTTGGGGGGGGGAGGGGAATGGCAGTATGCTGAGACCGTTCTGATTCATGGATCCAGCAAGGATTCAAATGGTTGAAACAGCCAGACAGTGTTGTTGGCATCCACCTGTCTTGAGAGGCAATGGAGTGCACCTCTGGGGACGAAGTCAAACTGCTGCGTTACTGGCACTGAAGTGACCTCCCTGGGATGCAAGCCTGGGCAGTGTGTATGGAGTCCCTGGGCTGCCTAAATGACAAGACACACACGCCACTCAGCCTTGCTGATGTGGTCCAAAAGAAAGCAGAGCAATACGTTTGGCACCAGTTTAGCTGCAGGAGTTGCTGGAAGGAGGCGTACAAGGCACCACCCCACTTTGTGTAGGATTTACGCCTTAACCTTTCCTTCTCTTGAAGATATCCTGCAAAGCAGCAGCAGAGGTTTAGGATCAGGGTTTTCCTTCTCCTAGATGGGCTACCTTCCCAGGTTGACGAGCAAACCTCTTGATAATGGCCCTCAATAATAATAATAATAATAATAATAATAATAATAAAATAAAAAAATTATTTATACCCCGCCCTCCCCAGCCAAGACCGGGCTCAGGGCGGCTGACACCAGGTATAAAAACAATTGATTGAAATACAACTTATAAACAAGATTAAAATACAACATTAAAATATGAAAATACAGCCTCATTTCAGTAGGAACTCAAATCAAAAACTTTTTGGGGGATGAAAACGTCAAGTCTTCACCAAGGCCAACTATCGAGACTGGGCCTATGTGGGCCAGAAAAAAGCCAGGCAAGTCCCCAAACAGGAGCTCCATCACATAAGCAGAAAGGAAAAAGGAAAGAGGGGGAGCGGGAAGGGATCTAAATATATAACAAAAGAAGTGCCTCTGTGCCAGACAGCAAATAGGTTGGACAACCTCCTCAACGTGCTGGCAGTTAGAAAAAAGATACAACCCAGAGGTGAGTTGTGTGTGTGTGTGTGTGTGTAAGTTAGAAGTGGAAGGGAGAGACATGCCTGATTTCTGCTTGCATCCAAGGCTGTGGCTATGAGTGAAGAAGCAAGACCCTCTTGGGGTGTTAATGCTGTGAACCCATTCATCGTGGGCTCAGGTTGTATATAGGTGTAAATAAACCATATATCATAGAGATAATGCAGTCTCTGCTGGCCTTCATTCCAAAGGAAACATGAACCCTCGATAAGAGCCTGCGACTCCTGGATTCTCGCACCACTTGGAGATAGGGATGGTGTGCAACAATATGAAGAGCCCTGCATCTTCACAAGCTCACAAGCAGGATCTGAGGGGAAAACCCCATTTGTGATTCCCAGCAACTGGTGCACAGCCTCTGACAGTAGAGGCAGAACAGAACCTTAGTAGCCACAGAGCCTTAGTAGAACAGAGCCTTAGTCTTATCCCCATAATTTTATAAAGGTAAAGGTAAAGGTACCCCTGCCCGTACGGGCCAGTCGTGGCCGACTCTAGGGTTGTGCGCCCATCTCACTTAAGAGGCTGGGGGCCAGCGCTGTCCGGAGACACTTCCGGGTCACGTGGCCAGCGTGATGAAGCTCTCTGGCGAGCCAGCACCAGCGCAACACACGGAAACACCATTTACCTTCCCGTTAGAAAGCGGTCCCTATTTATCTACTTGCACTTAGGTGTGCTTTCGAACTGCTAGGTGGGCAGGAGCTGGGACCGAAAGACAGGAGCTCACCCCGCCACGGGGATTCGAACCGCCGACCATACGATCGGCAAGTCCTAGGCACTGAGGTTTTACCCACAGCGCCACCCGCGTCCCTCATAATTTTATACATCTGACCAAACCTCTGTTTTTCAAAGTCACAATAGACTGGAACTCTATAAAACTCTAGTAAAAGCAGCTGCTGGAAGACTCTAGTGGCTGATTTAATGGAAGATAAAATACACTAAGCAAACCATGGAAATGGGCTCTCTCTCTAAAACGCCTGATAAAATCAGCTATAAGAATTGCATATTCACATGTTCTAAAGCACAGAGACATTTCTAACTCATTATTAATTTGTGTCACTAACTCTGTAATGTGTGTGCCCAAGATTTACTGTTGAAATAATAAATCACTGAAAAGCCCTAAATTGGGACAGAGAGAAGACACACACACACACATACAGACCATCTTCCTTACATTTGCCCCTCGGGCTTTATTCATCATCACTGCTACATGACATAAGGCGGCATGCAAACCATTTCAGCTCCTAGAACCTGCTGCTTGGGTACCATGGCTGGCCAGGACTTGCACTCGATAACTTTCTAAGATTGCTGGGGCACAACTCTAGTTCTGCCATGAGGGAAGTAGGGTTCCTGCTCTTGGGTCCAGACAGCTATACTGCACACAGGCAGCTCAGGAATGGGCACAAAATTGCTCCAGTCCTTATTTAGCTATTGGAATGGCCATTATCCCAGGAGAATATGGAAGCCATAGCATCTGACAGTAAGTGCACTGGCAGGGTTTTATTTTTGGTTGGATTCTGCAGGTCAGTCCCCAGAAGGAAGATGGGGTCAGCTTGGCTTAGTTTGCCCAGTTGGAGGAAGGAATTGTACTTACCCACTTTGGTAAACACACCAAATATTGCAAAGGAGTTGACGTCTGGCAATTTGTAGGCTTTGTTAATTCTCAGAAGAGTGGGTACAGTGCCCCTCCCACCCATCCCGTTTACCCTTTGGAATTTCTCTCTGAATTTCTCCTGCGCTTCCTACAACTGGAGTGTTTTCAGGTCACCTAGCAACCTTGTGACATGACTGAGGAACAGAGAAAGCTTGTTTTATTTAAAGAGCCAGGATTATCCTGCATTTCAGCTCATATAACCCTTATTCTTGTCTGTTTAATCAGGGATGTCTTAATAACAGAAGAAAGTGAGACGAGATTGAGAGTGTGCAGAGAAAGGAGAGGATTTATAATTTTACATGAATAATTTTTTTATTATTTTGTACCTTTTTTTTTTACCCTGATCTTGCAGAACACTAAAAAAATACAATTAACTGAAATACCATCAGGTTACATTCACAACCAAATTGTCTCCCTTGTGCCTTAGTTTATGTGCCCTAGCTAAACTATCAAATTATACAGAAGTATGTATTTGAAAGATGTGTGTTAACATTGAACATTGAAGACTACATTTGTAAATCTCAATTTCTTTATTTGTATGTGTAAAAATCAATTTTTACAGGAAAACATTCCTCATAACCAATTATAATAATTAGCATGCAGAAGAAAATTAACCTCACTGACAACCCAACATCAGTTACAGCTTGATATTGTATTGATGATTTGTTGTCTGTCTGTTTGAAGTAAACATCACACAGACCCAGTTAAGCCAGTCTGTTGGAGATGAGGAAACCTCATTTTCTGATGTCCAGCCAAACTCAATCTGGCAATGATATGTAATAAGGAAGGATACCTGAATATTTGATAGTGACAGTATTGTCACATCAGAATATAATAAAGCATCGGGTGATATCCAAGCCAAAACTTTTGAATTTAGCTGCATAATCACAACATAGTGCCTTAATCTCCTAGATAATCTTATGATGTGGTGATTGCATCTCCTTAGACATCTACTGTTATCAGTTGTATATATCATATGCAATTTCCATGATGATACGTGTCATATTTCTTAATTCCACCTTCTCATATATGGTAGCCATGTTGGCCCATAATAAATTATTTTATACACCCCCCCCCACCCCCATTAGGGCAGTATATATCCTAGACCAACCAACATCTTACAAAAGAGTGTGCATTTTTTTTTTTAGTTCTCCAGTGCTTTCCCCCCTAAGTGTAAGCAAGGGTACATAGTACTGGCACCTTCTCTCCCCCCATGTTAAAAGTGTGGCACTTACTGTAACAACTTCACACTGAATACCAGACCAGTTTTTCCTTAAAAAAAAAAAAAAAGAGCACTGACCAGAACTCTTCATCAGATGAACTGGCAAAGAAAACAAAGGATGTGGAAGAAAAATGTCTGGTGCTTGAGCCAAGGATAGACCTTGCATTTACTGAGTCTTAAGATGCAATGTGGAAGGGGACTGGGCAGGATCCAACATCGGGTGGGTAGACTTCACTTTCCTCCCCCTCCCCCCGCCTCCCATGTACCACCAAAATCTGCTTCAGAGGATCCCTCAACCCTTTGGAATAGATTTTGAGGACATGCATGAGGGTGGAGGTGAGGAAGGTGAAGTCCAATTGCAAAAGCCAGTACTGCTGATGCATGGGCTGTGTTGGATGCAACCCATTCCAAAGGGGCCGTTAGGTGAAGTAACTCACTTTGACTCCTACTTTTTAATTTTATTTTTTTTAAAACCTACCTCGCTACCTGAAATTAACCTTCAGATTTGTTTATTTTAAAACCCTGTCTGTATTTCTACCTACTAAGAAACTGATATGTTTTGTCCAAGGACGGAGACCCATCTGGGTAACAGCTAGATTCTATATTTTCCAATATTCTTATAAACCATTGTATATGCTGCTGCTTCCCAGAAGATACTCACCTGCCAGAGCCTCATTTGAACATCTTCTACCTCACCCCACACTCTACCATCAAATTTGTTCCCTCTCTATCTATACTGACAAAATGTTCTGGAGAACATGAAAGTATGCACACGCTTTTGCAATACTTCAGTTTGCCTAGCATGGATACAGAAAAATAAGATACGTTTTATGCTGCAAGTTCAACATTTTGTAGTTTTGAGTACCTTCCCTTATTAAGACAAAGTTCCTCCCTACCCCGAGATCTTGAAGGTGATACAATGACTAAGAAGGAAACTGCCCATTTTTAAAAACAGATCTAACATTCTGTGCTATATCCACATTTAAATCTTTAGAATCTAAACACTCTCAAATGTTCATCTACCTTGAAGAATTCATTTATGATTGAAGCCACTGTGTATCAAAGGCTATTTTACACCTGCAGTCCCAAATGTTTATTACATTCACAACAATTTTTAAAAGCTTTGTTTTTCTCACCATATCATCATCTTATTAAAGGCTGTGATTCTATATACACCTAACTGAAAGCAAGTTCCATTGAATTCAATGGGTCTTACTTCTGAATAAACTTGTTTAGGATTCTATTTGAAGTGTTTAAATATGCTAAGATACTAGAAGGGCTAACAGCTATATATTATATGCGATACCCGATAGCGCCTTTAATCCAAAGGTACTTTGTGTTTACCACTTAATTTTGTTAAAATTCCATATGAAAGACACATTTTATAATTCTCATAACCGTTCTTCTGGTGTACTAACGGGAACATTTAGGAATAAAAAGTTTTGGTATCTATTCTTCCAAGGAAATAAATGTTTCATTTAGGCTATACTAGCACACCTTGCATTTTTATATAAAACCACACAATTATTTTAAAGGGATTCTGTTTATCTTGATTAATATAAATGTCATGATATGGTTGCTTGGTTTATTTGAGTTGACTTTTAAAGTTATCTGTACTTGACATGTAATTTGTTTATGTTACAGTCATAGTCATACCCTGTTGCATAGGTTTTCTGCAGAAGTTATATTGTATGTTAACCTCCGATGTTTCCTTCAGTCAAGGGCGCAATGCATTCATAATCCTAATATTTCCAGCCTATGTCGTAAGATGGAACAATAAGCAATTGATCAATATCTTTTTAGCATCCACTTTTTGAGAAAACCTTTATGTGTATATTAAGTATTTAAAATGATCAATCAACATATTAAAAGTGGCTGCAACATGCAAGTTTCAAACTTTAATACTTGTGTTAAGAAAATAAACTTTAAATAAAAATACATTCAACGTATCATCTTGACAAATTAGAAATACACTGCAAAATATACATGTCAACCACAGCTAATTAAGCAAGCAGTCTTTTTAAAAAAATCTCTAGGCTAATCCAAACAGAAACCCTTTTCAATATTTACTACCTAGTTCATACAAAACTTAATTCTGGGTTATCTACTGCATTTGAAATATAACACTGACAAAAAGAATTGCATGGACAGGGCTAGGAAGATCTTTGGCACTTGGCCATATGATGAAAACATCGATACTGCTTCATTGGAACATGAAATATTTTTCAGTGCTGCTTTATTATCAACTGCCTTGTACTTTACGCAATGTGGTACCTTAACTTTTGAAAGTGCATTTATTCCCCATAATAGTTTTGAAGAGCTCAGGTTTAATTTGGTATAAATGTAATTTGGAGGATGATGAGCTTTATTTGCTTGAGAGCCCTCTGTCCATCTCCATGTTTTGATGAATACACAGAATGCCAGTCATGACTCACATCATCAGGTCAATGTGTTCCTTCTGCACAGCAATCCAGTACAACTCTAGCAACAGCAACTGAATAGATAAATTACTAATATAGGAGATGTGTACTAGCCATTCCTGGTAAACAGAGGGCGGTTTGCTGCTATCTATGTATAGTAAAAGGTCAATGAGGCAGGGGAATGGGGGTTTTATTAAGCACTATTCTGAACCTCTCCATCCACAGAACTATGCTTGCATAAGGATCAGAAATTAATCATGCTCTTTTAGAATAAGGCAGAAACAAAGTTACTCAAACGTTACTTTGTGAAGATATGATATACAGACAGAACTGATTAATAGGTGACCCCCGTTTTCTTAATATTAACAATGCCAATTTAAGTTTACATCCTTTCAACAGAACTGTTTGCAGAGTAATGACCCTCAATAATAAATATTATGCATTGACATGGTTCTGGTGCAATCATGGCATACACTTCCAAAAATAAAAAGGAGCGAATTATTTTAGAAATAATGTGAACAGGAACCAAAACGATTAACAGAAGCATTACAAAAAGTTCGAAGCGCCTTACAGACCAACCTGTTTACCAGGGTAAATGGCTTCATCAAATGCCAAAGTAGAATGACACAGTGATGATGCAACAAGTTAACACTGTAATTCAATCATCTTGACTGAGTATCAATATACTGAAAAGCCCCAGATGATTGTTTAAGACCACCATCCCCTATATTTTCAGATGCTCAGCACATATGCCACTGCTCATACAGCCAAAATGGCACCAGCAGAAGAGGGAGGTATCAGTAGATTCATGGGAACTCCAAAGTTTGCAGATTACAAAAAAGTTAGCAAAAGTAATGCACAAGATTCACTGAAACAGTCCAATGAAGACTGAATATGCTTAGTGCACCCAGGAAGAAGGCGGAGATTTGTGTGAAAGCAAGAACAGAGTAAGAATTAGTAAAAGATGATGGAAGAAGACAGAAATATAAGGTTGAGATTGTCAGGATAAGTAATTTTGAGGTTCACACGGAGAAGCTATGATTAAAATGTCCCAGTGATGAAGTGCGAACTACACATGCAAATCAATGGGAAAATCCAAGATTGTAAGGTAGCTGGAGCTGGGCACCAGTGTGGCCACCTCACCCCCCTAAGAAGAGGGAAAACATCAAAACGGAAGACCCACCCCCCACCAAATAGCCCAATATGCTATGTGAGCAGGAAATGTTGGCTGTCTAACCAAGTGGGAAATGAAAAACCAGGAAGAGGAAATGGAATGCAGTGGCTGGAAAGATGAATTGAAGCACTTCACCCTGCAACATTTTGTTGTAGGTCACATTTGTGTGATATGTAAAGGAATCCAAAAGTGATGCATGATACCAATGTCAAATCTCAGCAAGATTCTTGAATACTAAACATGTAGCTTAGGAACACCAAACAGCAAAATCACTTAACAGTAGGTCAGGAACACTGGTCTTTTAAGGTGGTTTATTACTTTGCCTGTTTTAAGAGACCTTATTCATCTTTTTTTTTTTTTTTTTGGTGAATCAAATAATCATGTTGCAATCTCCTAATCAAGTAAAGCATCTAGATTCCATGAAAAGTTACAGACAGTATCACTATTTGTGATGAATACAAGTGCATAATACATTTTAAAGTTACTTTGCCTATCAACAAAAAATGATGGCACAATACCTTTAAGTTAACATTTTTAACACTCAAACCTCAGAAAGAACTCCATGCCAATTTGCTTATGTTCTAGGGATGGCCACTGCGGGTTACTTCAAATCATCTTTCAGGTGCACTCCAGCTCCAGGGATGGAGAACTCCCTGCTTGTGAGCCTAATTAGGCCTGCAAGGCAGTTCCCCACAAATCATCCCCACCTGCCCCACAGCTGACATATGTGACAGGTATGGGGCAAGAGTGGGGCAGGTACGGATGAAACTGCTTAAAGTGGGCTCCCAATTATTTTGCAAGTGGGGTTCCCCATCAGTGCCACTCAGCTGAATGATTCTGACAGGGAGCATCTGGCTACACTATTGAGAACTCCCTAGTGCAGCTAAAGGAACTGGAGGAAGTGGGGTTCTCCAAACAGAGCAATTCCCCCTCTACAAAAGAAAAAAACCACCAGTGTAAATTATTACATACAGACTGCTAATGTGGGTTGAATATTTAACACAAGTTTTTGATTTATATACCTGCTTTTAAAATTAAAATGTAACTTTTCCTATAACACATCTTTTTGGGATGCAAACTGAGGTATATCATATTCTGCTGTAAACAGAGTGGGGTGAGGGAAACTGTTAAAAATAAGGCGATGTAAGAATAAAGTCGGGTACTAGTCTTAAGACTGTAATTCAGAATATAATATAGATCAGGAGGCCCATGGATTTGGATTGTACGGTCATATTTACCAACCTCATGATTTGTAAGATAACCCTGTGGCTAGGCTGAATTATTTCAAAAATAAAATAATACTTTGCACTATTCCTGTAATACATTACTGTATTAATGAAAAGGCAAACTTCACTGTGCATGGTATTTACAAATATGAATATTAAAATTGTTGGTTGCACATCCTTCCCATATTGTCTATTACTTCTTTGGTATGGGCTCTCATGGTCATATTCAGATATCACAACATGATTTTATATAATGTATATATCATATCTAAAAGCACGTATGTAAAACAGGGAGTGTTATCATTAAGTAAAAGCTGTTGGCTGTACCGCGCTGCCAATGGTATTCAACTACTTGTGAATAACTTATTAATTCATTATTGAGATGAAAGATTGTCTCAGGACACCTTAAGTGCTCAGATTTCAAGGGAAAGCATAGTCAATGACTCACCATGAAAATGCAGAACACCCCCACTTCAGTCCTTCCCTTGGAGGAACAAACCATAATCCCCAATTTAGTGTTATATCCAAACCAGAAATTGTGGCTTATTTTGCTTCAAGCAAACAATGATGTAAACCCAAAGTTCTTGGCTTATCAACTGCAGTTTGTTTCAGCACAACAAACGGCAATTTTGATTTGGATATACTTTTAAATCAGGGATTGTGGCTCGTTTTCCCTCATGCTACAGGAGTGGTAAAGTTGGAATGATAAGCAATGACTTACCTTGATGAGCAAATTAGGCCACTGTTTAAAACTATGTACATGATTAAGAACTAATATAAATATAACTATTATTTTGTATTGATTGTACTATTTGCATTTATTTGCATCTTTATTTTTCACCAATTGAATTAAATAAAGATTAAAAGAGTGACATATGACATGATCCCACTACTACAACTGATATAGTATGTAGCTTTCACCCAGGTGATGAACCAATGATTGAATTAATAGCATTTGCATATTTCCCTATCAAAAACAGTAAAACCCACTGAAACAAGTCCCCGAACAAACAAATTGCAATGCACAATCACATCTCCAATATTTTAGTTCAATCTTTTTGTTTAAACCTAGGGTGGACAAATATGCCATGTACAATTTTTAAAAAATGTTATCAGACAATAGTAGATTGTAGAATATGCAGGCCTGAACAGGGTATTCTGATGGAGAGTCTTATCTAGAGGAAATAATTTCCGTCAGTACTTCTGGCTTTGTCCATTGCTGAATGCAGAGCATAGAAAGAAGAACACCTCTGATTCAGGAGTCACTGCACTTGAAATACATATATAAAATAGCTTTATACCTCCCAATTGTTGATTCAGTTGTAATTTTCTTAGATTTGTTTGTACCTCTATAGTGTTCTTCTTACATAACTTCTGTGCCATTCATTCTGCTAATCCACTCAGATCCATGATCCAAAGCACTACACAGATAAGCCCAGAGGACTTCAACAATAGCCCCCATGTTTATGGCAAACTATTTCTGAAACTCAAAAGACCTATCCAAAGCAGTTAGTGATAAGGCATGGGTATCGGCTGTTCCAAAATGACTCCCACTGGCTGCATGCAACCCTTTTGAGCATGCCTAAAGTAGCTGAGTAGATTATAAGCATTTATTTGCTGGTGCAGAAAGCCTTGCAATCTGGCTGCTGAATCCTACAGCAAGATCTTTGAATTTTTTCTTAGGCAATGCCATACTGTTAGTAATTCATGTAGTATTTTAAGCAGCTTGTATCCATTCTTCCCAATTTCTATCAATTAAAACAAATATTAACCACAACAGTGGCAAATAGCAGCCAAAAAGAAGAAAAACAAGTGTAGAAAAGTAAACTAGAACAATATACAAATATGTGGCAATATATCAATTTTTACAGTGCTCAGAAAATTGCTCCCAATATGAGGTTTCCTAGTACCACATTCAATAATACTGATGAAAGGAAGCTTGGGGTGATATCAAGCATTAGTCATACTTAGAGCAGACCCACTGAAATCAATGGAGTTAAGTGTATTGATGTCAATGGGTCCAGCCTATGTCTTAGTTGGATACCATGTTTCTGTTCATTACATACATTTTTATCAGCCTATGATTAAAAATATATCAAGAAGGCAAGATTAAGAGTTTCTAAATGCAAATCTGAGTCCAAAACTTCAACTGGCAAGTAAAAAACTAGATATAAAAATGTTCACAAAAGCATTGTTTTAAGCCACAATAGTGATCATTCAACTGATCATAATGATTAGATACTAAAAAGTATCTTTAAATATAATCTGGGGGCAATCCAGATATTTAAAGTGCTTGGAGTGGTTTTCGAAATCTACTAGTTGCAATTGGATGTGACATATTTCCAATGTGTAATACCTATCTTTAGGGCAATTTTTTTGATTGGCAGGTCGATGTTGCTTGGTATGCACCCATAATAGTTTCCCAACAGCACAAAGTTCTTACACAGTACTTCCAAAAAAGCCCTGATTGCTAAATAAAGTACTAGTAATTGGCTATTAAAAAAAAAATTCAGACAGTGGTCCCATGTCACTCCATTCACTGCTCACTCCAATTGTAAACAAGATGCATAGACTCCCTGACTTGTCCTGCTTCAGTAATATCACTTAAATAACATAACATTGCTAATTATGAATGCACATTTAAAAAGTACCACTTTTTTCTTTACAAATGTCTATTGTGGATTAAGAAAGGACCATTTTAAAAGTGGCCGTGCGCTGTATATAAAGCTTCAATTCCTTTTGTTACCTGTTGGGATTTCTTTTGCCAAGACTCATTGTCCACAGAATAGGTACCGATGGTTCATAAATGAAATTGATTATTATCTTGGCACACCCAAAGTCCCTTCTGCAGTGGTAGTTAATTTCCTCCCTTAGAAAGCTTATTCCTTTAGTAGTTCCTTCCAGCGCTAGAAAATTTGTTTACTTTCATCTTCTGGCACTTTTAGTTCTTTAAGCGAAATGGAACTGATGTTCCTCACCCTGCAAAACAATCAGATTCCCAAGCAAGTCTTTTCCCTATTAAATAATAAATATATTGTCTGTACACAGCTAATATCCAGGCAATGTACATTCTTAAATACTCTGAATCAGCATACAATCAGGATTTTTAAAATGTGAAAACTACTCCAGTTTCTTCGAAATCCATTTGTTGCAGTGTGTCTTTGGTTAAGAAATTTTCCCAACAATTGGATTTTCTCTGGAAAAAAAAGAGGAAAAAGAAACCATGTCTATTAGGTGATAAAAGTAGCTTAAAAATATGAAAGCATGCTAGCTCAACCCCTCTCTTTGCTATGGTCCATTTAGGATAACATACTAGCGGGAAATACCTATTTAATGCATATAAAATGGACCACTGAAGATGGAAATATGGAATGGTGCAATATGATGTGTATTACTGATTAAATGTGCTTGAAGAGTGTCGTATCTTATATTTGTGCAGCTGGTTCTTGCTGCCTAAGATTAAAATCTTACATTTGTTCCTATTTATATTTTGTTAGTTTTGGCTCAGTTCTCCAATCTGTTAAGATCATATTGAATCCTGATTTTGTCTTCTGTGGCATTAGTGTCTGTGGCATTCCAACTTAGTGTCTTCAGCAAATCTGATGAGCATCCCATCAATTCCTTTATCCAAGTCATTTATAAAGACGGTGAACAACAACAGGCCCAGGATGGAACCCTTCCATTTGTCACTTTTTTCCAGGATGAGGAACCGTTAGTGAGCACTCTTGGTTTGGTGAGCAAGCCAGCCACAAATCCACCTAACAATTACCTTGGCAATTCCACATTTTACTGTTTCTACAGTAACCAAGAATAGCATAATTGATACAGCTTATTTATGCTAAATATGGAGATGTGTAATAGTAATGTGTCTGGGTTTGAGTCAACTATTTCTCAGAAGCAGAGCTAATTTGCATGGTTTACCTTGAGAAAAAAAATTGGGTGATATTTCAGAGTACATTTGGTTTGTCAAGAGACAGATCAACCCTAAAGGTAGAAGTACCTACAATACTTACTCACTGCCATATTTAGCACTAGATGATCTTTTCTTCCCATGTCTGTCATGATGCTCATCCAATTTTTCTACAACAGATATTATTTGCTTAAGTGTTTGAAAAGTTGCTACTGAGTCCTCAATTTTGAAATTAGAATAGTCATCCGGTTCCTTCCGCGGACCTTGATAGACTGCTATACTTTCACAAGCCTCTAAAAATAAGTACATACAAGCAACAGTATTAGGGAGGCCTTAATTTTTATTAAACAAAACCTGTATTCTTCTACGTGTTCAGAAGCAGAAGCATATGTAACAGAAAATGTTTTTTTAAAAAAATAATTAAGAAAGAAAACTACTTTACTGGACACAAAAGAAATCTATTTGCCACTTGTTCTATAACCAATTCTCATAAACTTAACAATTTACTAAAGGATGTTTTTTTCCTCCCACACTACTATTTCTAAGAAGTCAGCACTACTTGAATTAGTATATCTGTACCTTCCATCTTCTGCAGCTTTGGCATGTTGATAGCAAAAAGGGAGTAGATTCTCTCCGCTTCTCGATCCCCATCAATCTCTATTTGGATGTCATTAGGCACACCCCTGCAATTAAAAGTTTATAAACTATATACATATACATACATCTCCACCCTTCACTGTATGTTACAAACCATTGTCTAAAGCAGTTTAACACATGCAACTGGCTCCCGCCATCAATGCTATCTATTTTCCCGATTACAATGTTGCCTGTTCCTTCCACCTGCTATCTGTGAACTAAAGGACTGGAATATATCATATAGGAAGCACACATCTCTCTAGCTACAAATCCTAGGTTAACTATTATGACAAGCAGCCTTAAACATACACACACTATTCTGCTAAGAGGCCCCTTTAGGCAACAAACATGCCAGGGACTGACTGAAATCCCAGCAAAAATAGGCAGAGACCAATCTTATTTCTATTTCCAAACAAGTATACATCTTTCTTTGCAGATGTTACTTACACAGTGCATGGTGTGCAACCTTCTGAGTTCTCTGATGTAGCCTTACAGCAAAGCCAGTTTCCATTCAAAAAAGCAGACGGATGATAAACACTCAGTCTGCTTTCGTTGTATCTGCTCTTCCTACAGAGAGCTTCTATCCACTCACTAGCTTCCACACAATTATTTGCTTGCACGTAGAGTGGCTTTTCAGCATGTATCACTTGAAACATCTGAGAAAGAAAATATCCTTTTTATTCAGCAACCCAGAGTTTATTCACAGGACTCCAAACGACACAAAATTCTCTTCATTTGCTGTTTTATTTAGCAATTTTGTGAAATTTCTGTTCTGTTGCTTAGTAGCAGGACTGCAATGCTACACCCTTCATCAGCTTAGTTCTCTCGGCAGCCACATTGTTACTTATCGTGACATCCTTCTTCTTGTCCATCCCATCTTACATCATAAACCAAGAAACAGACTCAACTGTGGCAGCTACTAGCACAACAGTCGTGTGACTAGCAGAAGCCCCATTCCTCATGTACTGCAACAGCAGGTTCTAACAGGCGCTTTGGGTGGGCAGAAGAGCTTGAACAGTGTTAACATAACATATACCCTGCTTTCACAACAAAATGGCTTGCACAACAGCAACTCTCCTGCTTCTTGAGCTAACATTATGCGGGATCCTGCCCCTTATATTTCAAGCAGCAGCTCCTTCTGGAAAATAATCATTAATAGGAAGAATCAAAACAGTATTCTCAACCAAAAACCTTAATATGAAAGAAAGTGCACCCCAAATTGAACCTGCCTTGTGTTTATTAATGCCCTGTGGGCTTAAGGATGACATTGGTTGGATGGCGGCTATAAAAGTAGTACAGGACTCAAAAAATGTATAAACTGGTCACTTTTTGCTATACAGACAAAAACCATTTTGGGTGGGGGTTACATTCTTGACCCCCACTCACTTTTCTGGCCTCTTCTGGGTTGTGGATATGTTTGTGTGGTTGCGCACATATTGGACAAGCGTAAAATGGCCACTGCCTGTATTAATTTCCTCCCCATTGTTGTATGATATTTGCATATACATTTTACTGTCACAGTATCAAGTTATCAGCAGCTAAGGTAACTCTTTTGCTATATAAGGACATTGTTAAGTTGTAATGTATTGACTGCATATATGAACGAAGTATTTGTGGGTAATGTTTTTCAACTATTTTGAAATTAAGCATTTACCTTTAAGGACCTTTGCCCTCCAAATTAGAAGTCTATTTTCAATCGAGGCTTTAATAATTATCTATTTCACGTAAGCCAGTTCTTTAGTTTATTTATAAGCTTGATGTTGTCCAGTATGGATCCAGGACAATTGGCTAGGCCGTGATATGGATATATGTATCCATCCCCACGTGTATGTGTGTGTATAGCTGGTGGATAGATATTTGAGCAGAAATTTTGTTATCTGCGGGATAACAAATGTTATAGAGTTTCATGAGTTTCAATTCATAGTTTAGTAGATGCACATTGCCTGCTTAGACATCTTAACCAGTATTTCTTATTTAGACCTCCTAAATCAGACTTCCTCAACCTCGGCCCTCCAGATGTTCTGAAATTACAATTCCCATCATCCCTGACCACTGGTCCTGCTAGCTAGGGATCATGGGAGTTGTAGACCAAAAACATCTGGAGGGCCGAGGCTGAGGAAGCCTGTCCTAAATCTATTAACTCAGGGTACTTTTCACGGCATTTCCCTCAATTATATGTTAAGTTCCATCTACAAGAGTGGAGAACCTCTGGCCTGTCCAGGCTAAATTTGACCTGGTATGGGTCCCAATTTGGCCAGTTTCCTCAAACCATGTTCAGCTGCCCCACAACTGGATTTCTGTGTGGAAAGTTGATCATGCAGCTGATCCCTGCAGAAAGCAGGCCAGATATTATGCCCCCCACCAACATCAGCAGAAAGATGATAATTTTGAGTCTTTTCATCAGTAGGGTGTCAAAGCATTGCACAATCATCATCTGATGTCATTGTTATTTCATTTAATTGACAGGATGGCAGCTCTGTGGAGCTCTCAAATTTGGCCAATGAGAGATAGGGGAGATAAGAATTTGACCTGCCAGCCAGTTTAGGTTGCTCAGCTCTGATCTACAATATGGTTGATAAATGTTTCAAAAAGATGGGGGCATTGCAAGTAAATATGATAATAATATAATGTTATTTTCCAAGAACAAATGCCCTGTGGAGCAGTTAGCTTAAAAACTAAGTGTATTCTTAACTAATATTTCAAAACTAAATCCAGCTTACGTTTTTCCTGTTAAAGGCATTCTCATCAAGCTTTTCCACTGCAAGGATGTTTTTGATTGGAATGGTGTAAATAGGATCTTTATCTGTGTAAATAAGAATGAGTAAATTGGTACAAACTATAGAAAAGAAAACTATTGATTAGAATAATGCTGGAGACAAAATCTTAGTAAAATTTGGAATTGAACTCTAGCATTCCATTTTTCATTTCCTATGGAGCAAGAGCAATAGAAAAAGCATATGCCTGCCAACTCTATTATGGTTAACACATATATGCAAGTGCCTCTGTTAGGTAAGAAAGTAAGTAGGCTTGGATAGGGCTTTTTTTCAGCCAGAACTCACAAGAACGCAGTTCTGGCACCTCTCAGGAGGGCACCATTGCCATCATAAGAGAACAAGGGAGGAGGCGTTCACGGTGAGTTCTGGCACCTCTTTTTCTAGACTAGCACTGGGTTTGGAAATACGAATTGGAATTTAAAAATACCTTCAAAATATAGAAGACAACATATTTTTACTACTTTATACCACTTTGAACAAAAACAGGATTCTGTTTTAATGAATTCCTTTAATTACCATAACGAAAGAACAAAGTCTGCACTACAGATAAATAGACCACATCCTGTAACTTAAAATGCTGAAGTTGCAAATAAGCAGCACTAATACCTTGTTGCTTATGGTAAGTGAGCTCTCTATCTGTCAAACAGAACCAACGCTTTTTGAAATTCTTTTTCCCAATACGTGTTCTTCCTTGTGCTCTTTTATACATTTCCCTGTGAACAGAATACAAAGGATTATTAAGCAGAAACCTTCAAAATGCTTCCCATAGAGTTCCCAGTTACACTTACACACAGGTCCTTCAATCTGCCTACTCATTATGCAAAAAAATACTTATCTAATTATGCTCAAACCACTCCACAGATTCAGATATCCAAACATCCAGAGTTTGCCAACTTCCTTACTGTGTGCTTTGGTGGCCAGCAGTAGCCATTTGGGAGCAGAAACCATGCAGGAAGCAAGCTCAGACAAATCAGGGAGCAGGAGAGACTGAACTAATCAGTTTTTCCCTTGTTTGTCTTTTACTGGTAGGCTGCAGCAATTTTAGGAAGAAACCATGAAGAGAGTTGGGACAAATCCTCCAATTAGATATGTTCCCATAGGAATCAATGGAAATTGTGGACTCCTTAAACAAACGCTCACCTAACAAACAATTTCCAGGGAATGCATTGTGTTTGGTAAGGGGACCGGCGTATCCTTACAAGCAATATAATAAATAATAATAATAAAATAATAATTTTGTTATTTATACCACACCCAACTGCCTGGGTCTCACCAGCCTCTCTGGGTGGCTTATAGCATATATCAAAACATAATAAAACATCAAACAGTAAAACTTCCGGATACAGGGCTGCCTTCAGATGTCTTCTAAAAGTTATGTAGTTCTTTTATCTCGACAGGGAGGGTGCCACTACCAAGAAGGCCCTTTGCTTGGTTCCCTGTAACTTCACTTCTTGCAGTGAGGGAACCAGCAGAAGACCTTCAGAGGAGGACCTCAGTGTCTGGGCTGAAGAATGGGGGTGGAGATGCTCCTTCAGGTATACTGGGCCAAGGCCGTTTAGGGCTTTAAAGGTCAGCAGCAACACTTTGAATTGTGTTCAGAAACACACTGGGACCAATGAAGATCCTTTAGGACCAGTGTTATAAGGTCCCTGAGGTTACTCCCAGTCAGTCACCGGTCTAGCTGCCGGATTCTGGATTAGTTGTAGTTTCTGAGTCACCTTCAAAGGTAGCCCCACGTAGAGCGCATTGTAGTAGTCCAAGCAGGAGATAACCAGAATATGCATCACTCTGGCAAGACAGTCTGCAGGCAGGTATGGTATCAGCCGGTGTACCAGGTGGAGCTGGTAGACAGTTGCCCTGGACACAGAATTGACCTGAGCCTCCAGGGACAGCTGTGAGTCCAAAATGACTCCCAGGTACGCACCTGGTTCATTCAGGACCAGGGAGTCCCACACACCTGCCCGTCCCCTGTCCCCCCAAAACAGTACTTCTGTCTTGTCAGGATTCACCCTCAGTCTGTTATATAGTTATAACACTAAGTGGACCACCATTTCTTTGTCGGAAATTGAACAATTTATAGTTGAATATGAGACTTTAGTAGGATACAAAGTTGAATAAAAAAACCCAGAACTATTAGGAATAAATATGATTTAGAATCCAGAAAGACAATTTTTAAGTCTATAAAAAGAAAAAAGATCCTGTTTTTTCTTATTTATTTAATGATTGGGGAAAAAAGAACATATTTATTTGGTTATACTGACAGCATCAAGAATAATATACAGAAATAAATTGAGACTACACGTGATACCAACTGTAAGCGAGTGAACTGATAAAATGTGGGGATTTGCACTAATGGAAAAAATTGGTATATTATATAAGGAAGGGAGAGAACAGCAGAATATTTTATAATAAAAACTGAAGTCCTTGACTGATAGTATAAAGAGGTCTTTGAATATCCAATAATAAAGGGTGTTTTATGTTACATTGAATTATAAACATTTAACCTTTGTATAATGCAAGGATATCTTAAGACACTGGATTTTGAGTTTAAGGGTAGTATTCATCTAATGAAACCTGTCAGCGGAACCACTGTGCTTCCCCTGCACCTCTCCCCACATCTCCCATAATTATTTATTGGGGTCAAGAGAACCCCAGAACAACATGCAGAGGGAGGAGAGTTCTGTCTAGCAAGCTGAAATATTTGTGCAGACAAAATGTTCATCATAGAACACTGAATTCTACCCACTGATACCGATTTATAGTAAGCATATATAAAAAAAAATATAAATATTTATAATGGTGTAAAGAGCACGTTTATGTATAGTTGCTATAGTAACATCCTCAAAGTTCACGATGTAAGATGAAGAAATCATGTTTATTATTTCTCTTTCCCAGACTTGCTCACATCATTCCACTTTAAAAAGAAAATGCAAGGTGGTTGTTGCAGCTCTGCAAGTTCTTCCCAACCATCAATTTAAGGCTAAGTGGGGACGCGGGTGGCTCTGTGGGTTAAACCACAGAGCCTAGGACTTGCTGATCAGAAGGTCGGTGATTCGAATCCCCGCGACGGGATGAGCTCCCGTTGCTCAGTCCCTGCTCCTGCCAACCTAGCAGTTTGAAAGCACGTCAAAGTGCAAGTAGATAAATAGGTACCGCTGCAGTGGGAAGGTAAACAGCGTTTCCGTGCGCTGCTGGTTTGCCAGAAGCGGCTTAGTCATGCTGGCCACATGACCCGGAAGCTGTACGCTGGCTCCCTCGGCCAATAAAGCGAGATGAGCGCCGCAGCCCCAGAGTCGTCCACGACTGGACCTAATGGTCAGGGGTCCCTTTACCTTTACGCTACAGGGTGATTAACTACAATAACTATCCTCTCCTTGCAGGAATCTTGTACTGATAAAAAGGGGTATTTTGTATACAATGGTAATGTGAGCAAGGAATTATGCACATATGTAAGTAGGCTACTGCCTCAGAGAGAGTTGGCACTTAAGTAGTCAGGGAAGCAAAGGTTCTAGGCTGGAACTAGTTCAAAGAGATGACAAAAATAATGTATTCAAGCAAAACACTTGTCAGTATAAAGTACTTTGTACTTCAGTTACCCTTCTTTTAGATGAATCGACTCGCTCATGACACTTGGCTCTTTAGTTTCAGTAGATGATACCTCATCTAAAAACTAAAAGAGAACATGTTAAAATAATGTGAATTGTTTTCCATACACAACTGTAGAAGCTTTTCAAAAAATCAATATACATGAACTCTAAGCTAACCAAAGTTAATTTACAGTTCTAAGATGTTGTTTCTGCATTTTACCTTCACATTTGATCTAAAATATTGCATCTTAAAAACTTTGTTGCCATTGTACTTTAGCAAAACATTTGTGCATGTGAGGGGTACAGGGTGGCATTGTGCAGTAAACAGAGGATTAGACTTGTACCAGGAAGATCTGGGTTCAAACCACTAGCCAGCTGTGAGCAATTGATTCGTCCATCTATTGATCTAACCTACCTCACAGTGCTGTTGTGTGAATCAAAAGGGATAGCCTCCAAGTACAGTTCCTGACATCCTTGGAGGAATGCAAGAAAAAAATGGACACATGCTTTAACTAAAATAATGTGTGTATATATATATATAAAATACCTTTTTGACAGCTTCAATATATGCCTCTTCCTGAAACATTTTGAAAAATTCACACATAAATGTCTCCTTGAAGCTTGACTAAAAGAGAGGAAATGGAAGTGAGTAAACCTTAGCAATCAAGATACCAGAAGCAAAAGAAAAGAATAAATCATCAGGTACTTACTAGCTTGCTTTTGGACAAACTTCCCCAGCTCCCCAGTGTCTGAATGGCTTTTGATATAAGGGTTAATGTTCTAGATGTCTGTGCATCCTAAAAGAAACATATAAGAAACAGGTAAAGTTGCCATTTTACTGGTGTCATAGTATTGTTTTAGGCCCCTGCTAAAAAAATTTTTTCAGGCAAGCCAACCCAGACATGCACATGTGACATGTATTTTAATATGTGATTTTATAATGTAAACATTTTTTAAACTGATTTGATTTAAATTTTGAATCTTGGGTCACCTTGTTTTTAACATCTGATTCTATTATTTTTAAGTTATATTTTATGTAAAGCACTTAGAAACTTGATGATTAAATTGTATATAAATCTTGTTAAATAAGTAATAGTATTACAATGAAATAACATCTACCAAGTACTTTACTGCACAGCCGCCACATGGCAGCTTTCATATAAGCATCATGGAGATGGACACAGCATGAAGCAGTGTTTTGCAGACTCCAACAAATTTTCATGAGCACAAGGGCCTTTGATACAAGCAGAAGCCCGTATTAATAGAAGTGGCACAGCATGGGGGAAGGATATAATTTTTGCCAATGCTCCTGCAGCTCCTTGTGCACCTCCCATACTGTTCTGGAAGGTCTTCAATCATTCAGAGGAGATTTGTTTGGGAGGGCATGAGGAGCAGGTGAAAATCTGTTACTGGGCAATGAGAGTATTATTTCAGTGAGCAGAAGTCCCCTCATGAGAGGTACTGTTTCAATCTATTAGTAGATGAAACATCTTACATTATAGATTCTGGTTCTACAGTTTGATACGTCTCCACCAGGCAAAAAGAGCTGTACTTTATTGCTTAAAAGGGGCCAAGGTTTCACAGAGAAATTCTACTTCATTTATTTATCAAAATGCATTTAAAAGATGTATATACCAGTTCATTGCAAGAAAACCTTTAAGTGTTTTATATAAATATCCATACTTAAGATGTTAAACATTTGTGCTAACTTTACAATACACAGACCTGTATAATCTGACACTGAAACATTTCACTTATTTGAATATTTAAAGGCTATGCCCTAACATAATCTTTGAATCAGAGACTAAGCAATATTGTTTTGCTCCAATTCATGTAACTAGCTGAATATTTATTTTGTAGCAGAATAGCGTCTTGAATTAAATCTGACATTTCTATTAATGCCCCTTCTGAAATTGTGATATATGGTCCCCAATATAACGACTGGATGCTACATGAAGGAATGTATTTCGACCTCACCAAACCACATAGTTACCTAGTTTTGCCTAAGGACACAGCGGTGCCACTTCTATGAAATTAAGTCTCTCCTCTTTTGCTAACAAGGATCAGAATCCTAAGAGGAGGTATGAGTGAGAGGGAACAGTGACAGGCGAAAATGAGTACAGTGGATACATGGTGTGCTGGTAAGAAGTGGGGAGCATAGAAAGGACATTGCTCCAAGTACATGGAACCAGGAACTACATGCAGTGGTGCAGAAAATGTTTTGGAAAAATGTTTTCTGTCATAAGTTCATTAGTAATACTGAATGGATGCCAATTGCAAACATTAGGCAAGCTTGGCAGCTTCAAAGTTGTAAATAATGTTTTACAGGTAATTAACTCTAACATTGTCTTTAAATCTTTTTAAGTACTGCAGGAAAAATGTCTACATAACAATACATATTAAGTGTGCATTAATTTCTCCCCTCAAATATTTGTGGTCAAATGCTTTGTGGCATATGGGGGGGGGGATGTTAAATCACTCTTTGGAGGATCAGAATATGTTTCTGATGCAAGTTAGCCTATGCAACGCGAATAGGAAAAACTTCCAATTCAAAGTTTTCCAGAAAACACATGTCACTGATTACATGAACAGTAGCTACAGAAGAAGAAGAGTTTGACATCCTGCTTTATCACTACACTAAGGAGTCTCAAAGCGGCCAACAACCTCCTTTCCCTTCCTCTCCCACAACAAACACTCTGTGAGGTGAGTGAGGCTGAGAGACTTCAGAGAAGTGTGACTAGCCCAAGGTCACCCAACAGCTACATGTGGAGGAGCGGGGACGCAAACCCGGTTCACCAGATTACGGGTCCACCGCTCTTAACCACTACACCACACTGGCTCTCAGTACAGTAGTACTGTTCAGTATCCTCTAATTAAGGAAGTACACTGCCATAAAGCAGGGGTAGGCAACCTAAGGACCATGGGCCACAAGCAGCCCACGGGGGTCGTTTAACTGGCCCCCGAGCCGCCCACTCGGCGAGTCCCCGTGCACTGCGCTAAACTGGCACAGCGACTCACTTCTGCAGTGCCAGAAATCCCATCTGCACAGACGCCGGAAATTGCAGGCACATGCGTTCATGCATGCGTGCAATCCGGCCCACAGAAGGATCTCTGCTGGAGTGAACCGGTCCAGGCGAGGTAAACCTTGCCAACCCCTGGCCATAAAGAGTATATTGATTTTTAATAGCTTTTCCATATGTTTAACATCTTAGATCCAGGTAGTTCACTCCACTACTACTTCATAAGCAATGTTGCAAAACTGATGCCTTTGAATACTGTTGCTGAGACTCACAAATGGGAAAGAGGGTTGTGATGGGCTTCCCATATGCATCTGGTTAGTCGCTGTGAGAACAGGACACTGATCTAGATGGGCCTTTGGCCTGAACCAGCAGGGCTCTTTTTAAGTTCTTATAAGACAATCTACAAATGAGCATCAATAACCCAAGAAAATAAAGCTATTATTGTGGAATATTTTCTTTTTTGAGATGAGCAGTGCACAATGCTTTTGAGGCCACTTTCTATGCTATGTTCTTACGACAATGAAAACATCTCTGTGTAGGAAAAGTTACATAGAATGTTTCACATGATACCAAGCTATAACTGTCCCATTTGACATCCTGAACAACATTCTCTACATATTACCAGAATATTAACAATATAGCTTTCCATACACCCCTTCAAGATAACCCAGACTTCTCTTTTACGGCTTTCTGTCACTGTTTGAGATTACTTTGAAGTCAATAGAAAATGCAACCATATACCATACAAGTGATCAGGGTGCCAGCTACCTACTCATATCAATTTTCCAATTATTATTATTAATATTCAGGCAGGATAATAGCTCAGAACTGTGGGGACTTAGGGACTATGTAGTTACCTAGAGTTTACTTAAATTATATCCTAGGGGCCTAAAAACTCACAGTTCAACTCTCCATTCACATTGCAAACACTAGGCTTATTTCTATATTTATCTTCCTAACAAACCTTGCCTAGAGAGTTTGGACAGAACATTATTAAAACTTACGGGATGATGAGGTCGTAAATGGAAAGTATGAGGCGATACTACAGCTACAGCAAAGAAACGAAGAAATATAAAGCTGCTCACTGCAGAATATTGTACATGAGGGTCATCTGCAGAGAAAAACCATGAAATGTAAGATGTATTACAAGTTGGTAGGAAATGAAGATAATGAAAAACTTTAGCAGGATAATGTCGTTAGAAAAAGAAGTACTGTTCTTTGGCAGAATAAAGAACTAGCAAGTAGGATGAAATGAAAGTGTGGTTATGATGCAAGGTGCTTTTGCCATTTGTTATTGGGCACAAATAAGAACTGTAACACATCTGGTTGTACCTAAACTATGATTTAGTCATGTACACAAACCTTGAGCTTGTGAGCTCCATCTCCCCTCCTCCAGCACTATTGCAGAGAGGAAACTGGAAGGGTTTGCTTCTGTTTTCAGTTAATCATGGCTTATTATTGTGTCTGAACTAAAAACTATACCAATTCTTCTCTATGTTTTATGGAAACAAGCCAGGATTTGAAGTTGGCTTGTTTACTTAAACCATAGTTAAGACTTTGATTTGCTTCACAGCTGTGCTGGAGAAAAGGGAATGGGGAGCTCATAAACGCAAGGCCCATTAATGTAAACCAATCAGCCCCAGCCAGCATGACCAATGGTAAGAGACATTTACAGTTAGGAGTTCAACTTATTCTGGAGGGAACAGGTTCCCCATCCCTTATGTAAACCATCGTTTATCATTATGTACAATTGAAGCAACTATTTATATTTTATATCAGATAAATTATACATTCTAATAGTTTTCAGAGAACACATATTTTACTCTATACCAAGAAGGCTATTTCCCCTTTTTTATGTTGGGGGAGATGTTGTATAGTATATGTATGTTCAATATAGAATACGTATAACAACGTACTATTCAACTTGCTATTCAAAGCTTCACACATTTTAACCAATAAGTAACACTAACAGATGCATGGCTGTATTTCAAAATGTTGTCTAATGCAACATTTTAAAACACGATCTGTGTTTGTATTTTTCTCTTATACTGTATGTCTCTTATCTTGTGCTCTTTTCATACTGATGCTTTGGTATAACAAGCATGCAGTTCTGCTGATGCCAAATAGTATAGATTAACAAATACATATACTCCGTACACAGCTTACAGAAAGCAGATCATGTTTACAATAAACATTTTTAAAGTCTATTGAAAATGTAAAGTTGCAAATTTAGTCATTTCAGTTTCCTTATGAATGCTACTGGACAACTCTTTGAGAACACTTCCATGGACTTCAAGAAGTCTTACATAAGTTTCTAATTAAAAAAATACACTTACTAGAAAATCTTTCAGCAGCCAAGCGCCTCAGAGAACAGAACACATCACACATTAATTTAGGGCAACTTATACTTGACTGTACAACTGTACTGAATACTTTGTCAACATAGAAGCGCAGATTTTCCTAGAAGGCAAACAAATTATTTCAGAAATCCATACTGTTTTATTCTATTGTCAAAGAAAAATCTAATACAAAATTTTACATACAAGTTCTCCATTCTAGCATAACAATGGCAATCTTTTGGGAACAGAGGCAAATGTAGATCATATACTTTAAAGGTCAATAAAACACACTGGCATATGTACAGGTTAATCACATCTTACGTGAGGGTTACATTCTAGAGATATAGAGTGTAAAGCCAAAATAGAGTATAGTCAAAACAACCCTGTGGAAACTTGGAAATGCCCCCCATAAAAAGCACAGCACACGTTCTCCAAGGCCACTCTTACTCTCTCCCCTCCCATGCTCTCCCAAGGCAACTTGTACTCTCCCTCTGCATGATCTCCAAGGTGGGGTGGCAATGACAGGTGGGATTGCCTATGCCCCCCCCCCGCCAGATGCTCACCCCTTTTGATTTATTTTTTTCGGCCAAGCGCATAAAGTTCAAATTATGCATGTAAAACACACATAAGTTGCGAGTTACCTGTATACATAGTTACACAATAGAAAAGTGCACTGACATCTACTTTCACTGCTGCCAATGGTACAAGCTAGCCAAAAGACAATCCATATATCACTACCAATGCTTACTGTTAATAATTAGAAACAGCATTTTTATGGTACAAAGTGGCTTACAAATTCTATCTCTATTGCAGCTCACTAATACTTTTATTTGAACAAAGAGTAACCTGATACTTAATAGCACCAACTCTCAAGGCTACCATAATGGGTCCAGGTTTTGAACCCAACAATGTAAGGTGCATGTTCAGTATTATGAACTGAATTATGAACTAATTTACAGTAGTACTTATTTATACTGAGGTCTACATAATGGAAGTTACCATATACAGAGAACATTGGTAACTGGAAGTCAACACAAGTGGAAGAATTACACTCAGATTCTAAGCAATTTTGCTTGATGTTGAAGTTTAGCATGGCTAACATTTATCACTCCAAAAATTGATTATACACTAGCTCAGGGGTGGGGAACCTTTTGCAGCCCAAGGCTGCATTCTGGCAACCTTCTAGGTCCCATATGCCAGTGGTAGGAGACACTGGAGGCAAAAATGGACAAATCAATTAATGTAAATTTTACCTTTATACAGTAGGCTGGTTTACACACCTCTGTCCTTCATTAAGAAAAGCAAGAGGCATTATCAAAGTTCAATAACACATTCTAGCCAGGCAAAAACACTCAAAGAGAGCACTAAGCAGGGCCAATAGGGGTGTAGCCGAGAAGAGTCCAGAGGTTGAGACAGACAGGCTTAGAGTGCTGCCTCAGGGCCAGGCCTGAGATTCCCCACCTCTGCACTAGGTCCTTGAATATAAGCTGAACAAAATCACTTAAACACACCTGGTGTATTTCAACATTATCAGCTTCTTTCAGTTTCAAAGGATCAATTTCGCAAGGTTTGGGATTATCACATATCTGAAAACAAGAGTAAAATTTTAGTCAGTTATATCAGGACAGGGCATTATTCAGGTCTGTTCTCCTTTACTGAGCCAGAGGTAAGAAGAGGGGCAAAACCCATCAATGTTCCCCAAAAGCTGCCTGTAGGCATACTGCAAACTTTTGAAAAAAAGATGGCCACTGCATGTTTATGTTTCTAGTGGCTGCACTCACACCTTAAAACCATGCATCCTCAAGGAGGAAGGTACCTTGATTTCCCTCCTTTTCTTTTCTTCCAGTCTTCCTTAATATGCTGAAAAGGTGCACCCACAGTAGCAATCTAGTAAAGTTAATAAGTGCTTTATTACCCCCTTCCCCTCATGATCCTGGAGACTGGATTTCAGGCTAGCCCCGATGAAGAAGTTTTATGTATATGAATTGTTAAGAACAGACACCAGCTGTTTCCTTCCTGTAACTGACTTATATGAATAGGATCAGAACTACATAGGCACAGGTGCACGTACACATACATGGATGATACTGAAGAGATCACTTCCAGTACATTTAGGTATGAGTTGTCTTAGGCAACTTCATTCATTTAGCAGTAGTATTCTTACTTTTGAGAAACACGTCTGCATACTACAGTGGTGCCCCGCAAGACGAATGCCTCGCAAGACGGAAAACTCGCTAGACGAAAGAGTTTTCCGTTTTGGAGGTGCTTCGCAAAACGAAGCTCCTATGGGCTTGCTTCGCAAGACGAAAATGTCTTGCGAGTTCCTGCGGGTTTTTTTTCCTCCCCCCCCTTTTTCTAAGCCGCTTATCTGCTTATCCGATAAGCTGATAAGCCGCTAAAAGCCGCTAATAGCGCTAATCCGCTAATCCGTCAATGGGCTTGCTTCGCAAGACGAAAAAACCGCTAGACGAAGAGACTCACAGAACGGATTCTTTTCGTCTTGCGAGGCACCACTGTATATGCATTTAAGGGACACAGCATGCAGATTACAATCATATGGAAAGCCACCACACTTGTCTGGAAGCTGTAGAGATTTCCCATAATATGTGTAGTGGAACCCTTCTACACTTTACAAGAGTCACGATAACCCGTCATGCCATGCAGATGTTTTGTGGCAAGCAGGAACACAGGTATTATGTGGTCCTTATTAATAAAGTGCAGTTTTGTTGTGGTGCTCACTGGCTGATATCTAAGAAACAACTCTGCACTGAGTCACTGGTTAATAAAGCTGGAAGCAGTACCAAAAAAATAATATTTAACCAACCAGCTTTGTAAACTTTAATGCATAATGTTACAGTACCTCATCAAGAATTGGTTTTAATGTAACTTTCAGGTAGTGCTTTCCCACTATTTTCATCATTTCATCTAGGCATCGAGTAGCTAAAGAATTCCCTCTGAAGATTGTATTTGCTTCCCTGCAAAGCAATATGAATCATTAAGAATTCAAGATGGAAGGAATATATAAATCATAACCTAAGTTTTCTGTGAAAAGTTTCTAGCAATCTAGCTCATATACAGATGGTATTCAGAAACCAGAGTTTAAAACACCTGCAATATCTGCGATATATTTAGCTAACTAAGATTAAATAGGTGTCTATGCCTACTGGAAGCCGAACTAGTTATAAACTTTAAGTCATCCTTATAGAGCTGTAAAGAAAAATCTGTCCTAAGCAGACACCTATCCTATTCACAACTGACAGAAATCAAGACTAGGAAAGATATCTTCAATGATTAAAGCTAACAACTTTTAAAATGTAGAAGACACAAACCTATCATCCTAGGTACCTCTTTTTCAACCAGTTTGGTAGTATTGGTAGTGAACTGTCAATTAAACATCCCTAAACCTATCTTCAAAAACACATCTGAAAATGTCAATTCCTTTACACAAGTACATTCCTATTTGACAAAAGGACGAACTGTCCTTTCTTCTGGTTCTATCTACAAGTAGAATGTTGTGCTGTATCACTAGATATTTATTCAGAGTCAAAGCAGAGCTAGCAATATAGCCAACTAATAATGAAGGTTCAGCAAGTTATCCACAGTAATGGGATCACACAGACACACACCTAAGTTTAGTCTGCCACCTGAGTTCCACTATAAGAGTTCCACAAACTATGGCTAACCTTATTAACCAGTAAAATCTGTGTTCACCCTGAGACCGGGGGGGGGGGGTGTGACATATTATTTTTGGGGCCATACTGATCTTCAGAGAAGTCTCCCAAGTGCTCCACACTGATAGGGCAGTGAGGGGGAACAGTGTCTGGCAGACACTCCCTGCCCTTCCTCAGGTTCAGGAGATCAATGGACCTTGCCAGAATTTTAGTTCAGTTTAGTTCTACTATAGTTCTTATTTAAGTTTACTTATTTATTTCATAAAATTTATACTGCTTGATTATAGAATATAGAAAACCTCAAAGTGGTTTACAAAATTTCTTGGTATATTGGGGACCGATGTATAGCAGAGGCAAGTTCATTTGTGGACCCCTGTCAAGCATGCATTTTGCATTACCATCAAGCAACTTGTTTGATACCTTTTGCTAAGGTAGTTTGGAGCAGCAAATTTTACAAGTTTTACACGCTTACTATTATTACAATTTATACCTGCCTTTCCCCCAAGGTCCCAGGGGCAGGTTACAACAATTAAAACACAATATTTAAAACAGTTTAAAACATCTTTAAATTACAGAAATATGCACTTGTCATGGACACCAATACTGGGAGGAGGAAGAAAAGAGGGAAAATGAAATACTTACTGGGTATCCGTCAATTCTAACTCTGCCACTGCAGTGATAAATTGTACTAGTTTATGATGATGTATCAACAACCTTACAAGAGGCAAAATGGCATCATATTTATCTCGACATACTTCAGCCAAAATGTAAGCAGAAGAAGCAGAAATAGGCTATAAAAGGGGGGAAATATAACTGAAATAAGTACCAGTTGTACCAAATGGAAAGACAACAGAACCACCAGAATTTGAATCAATTCCAAAATGTAGACGTATAATGTTCTAAATTCACCCTGGATTATGCATGCCTAGAACATTTTCTTTGAACTGCAATTCTCAGCCAGCAACATCAAATAGCTTTTGAAATGCCACCTTTTCAAGACACAAGGAGTGGCTTTTTAAAAAAATAGTTAAATACTCTCATGATTGTACAGTGTACCTCTACAAGAGTATTTACCTATTTTTAAAAAGTAAGTGTTACCTATAACTACACATACTAAGATAAGTAAAAGAATTATAAGTACTTATAAGTAACAGTATTATTTTTTATATATCTATATCTATCTATCTATCTATCTATCTATCTATCTATCTATCTATAATTATTATTATGACTGCAGTGACAAATCTGGGTATCCTTTTACAGCCATGCAAGGTAGAATTGTGACACCGGCCAAGAGGCAAATATGATATGGTATAACATGCTCTTAAATGGTTAAACAGTCCCCAAAGCAGGTTACCTCAACTTCTGATGACTTTAGCAGCAAGTTTCTGAGGGAAGCATAGTACTGTGATGGAAGCACATAGTCTTCAGCATAACATATATTCAGTCTAAGTGATCCATGATCATCCGTTTTGGACGACTTATTTCCATTGTCTCTTGGCTGTAGAAGGTACCTTAAAAAAGAAAATCCAAGTGACAGAGATTCATTTTGCATTTTATTTATAGTTCACCAAGTAAAGTTAGGTTTAGAATAAAGAAGCAGCTATAACCTTGCCCTTTCCTTCTTTCCTTTTATTTTAGCTAACTTGAATTTGCTTATTAAGATAATTTTTTGACTTTTTAAATTAATACTGAAGTACACCAAGCATTTACTTGCATCAACTATTATTTTAAGCATTACCAGTTTTAGGTGCTTGATGTAAGCAAGTCAAGAAATAAATGTATTAATATATTTCAAACATATATGCTTAACTGGCATTTATTTACTTGCATGTTTTTTAAACAGCCTGCCATCAAAAGTGTGTGCAGAAAAAGGAAATACCTAACAAAAAACAATATTCAGATTATCACAATACTAGCAATGGATAAGGAAAAAAAGATAAGGGATAAAGGAGGTGGTGTCTCAGGGAAACTGATCCCAAGCTGTACAGGGGCTTCTATACCAATAGTGAAATTTAAATTTGGCCTGGTAGAATGCTGTGAGGCAGTGCAATGCCTAGAAGAATAATGTCAAGTACGATTCTGCAGGAAACAACTGTAGCACAACTGTTTGTTTCCAGTTACAAACACTTTCATACAGTCATACAGATAACAAAACCTATCCTTTTGTTTTAACTATGTCACAAGCTGCCTTTTGCCTAGTTGTCTTACCATGCTTGGAAGGAATCACTTCCTAACACCTTGACAGGAATTTTGATTTCTCCTAGGAAAAGGTCTTGTACCAAGTTACCATTGTTCCATAAATCAATCCTGAAAGTTAAATAATAGTTAACCATTTTTTGTCATAATCATTTTTCATATAACTGTAAGAGTCATTATCATCACATAGAGAACCACGCCAATTCAGCATGCACACAAACAAGTTTATAACCTCACACGCAATAGTTTAAGTTAGACAAAAAGTGTCCTATTTCTATAAAAGGCAACCATGTCAGCATATTGGTTAAAAGTGTGGCTTTATCAACAAGATAAAAGCAATATTGGATGAACTGAGGCACTAATAAAAAGAAAAGAGTGACATTACCATTTTCTTCTCAAGCATTTGCAGTTCTATTTGCATTTATTAATATTCCTATTTTTTGCTCTTTCTGACTAAACTGTAACACTTCAATGACACATGCACTGGTTTTTATTTTTTAGTCCAAGCTCTTACAACCTAAAAAGCTGTAAGACTCCCAAAGGCATGCACTCTATGTGGGTTGTTGAGTCTTACCTCACTGACATTTCTGTTAAGACAGCACATATATTAAGAAGAAAAGAAATAAAATCCATTGTGTTGTGGCATGATTGATGTTCCCTTGCCTCCCTAAATGAGTTGCCTATTGTGATTTTCACTCAGATGTTCCAAATTACCCTCCCTACATAGTTCAAGCAAGTTAAGGAATAAACTATTCCTATCCTCAGCTTTTCAGATGATAATTCTTTCTCCTTGGGTTTCAAGTGGAGTCAAGATGAAGAAAGGGACTCGGGTGTTTCCACTCCCTTCCTGCTCCCCTCCCAACCAGGGGAAAGCACTGAGCTAAGAGATAACTTTTTCCCATAGCAAAGAGAGCAGGGGAGCCCAATGCCAGCTACAGCATATAAAGAAATAAGACTTGTTTTAGTTAAGTAATACTGAATATACCACAATTGCTATATAAAACAGGTAGTCAGATGTTCTGCTAAATTAACTGTTCAAGTTATGAAAGTAATTATCATGAGCTCTCTAAGGCTGCTTTAGACTTACACCCACCCTGCCTCCAGCCAAAGTTGGATATTATTTATCTGGACAGCTTTCTGTAGTCCTTGAGTACTGTTTTTATCTCCATCATAAAAACAATTGACAGTTTTGTATAAAAATGAATAATCGGTTTTAATATACTAAGGAATATACCTGACTTCCAGCTTCTCAATATCTTCTTCTTCCACCTGAAACTGTGATTTTTTGGTGTAACTACTGGACCTTGTTACCTGCAAGTAAAACTCATGTAAGTAAGTTATTTCTCCTTTTGCATTTTGAAGTCTACCAATACCACACATTTACTACAAAAAGAATCAAAGTTATTCTAATATATCCCAAAACTGTGTGAGAAAACTCTTAATATATTTAGAGGGTTATAATTGTAATTGCCCTTATCTACAATTTGGATCTGGCGAAATAAGGCACCAAGGATTAAACTAAAGGTCGAGAAGGTAGTAAAGGATCACATCCTTCCATCAGCTACCATATAAATTACCATCAGCAATACTGTTTTGAAGGCTGCCCAGTCTTGATGCCTAAGGGTGTTTACTTTGCACTCAAAGGTCAGAGAACTCTTTCTTCCCTTGCCCAGAATTCTAAATGGCAGAATAACTGCACAGACATCAAACTGAAGAAGCATGAAAGCAGAAAAGCAAAGGGTTACATTGTATGTTGTCATAGTTACCATTTTTCAACAGGATGAGAATAGCTAGTTCTCAAACTGATCCACTAGAAATGCTAAGGCTGGAGAGTCCCTGAATCTTCAAGTGATTCAGGTCCCCAGAATCTGGAATGCATACCACTTTCACCTTCCTCTGTCACCGGATCAGAGAAATAAATCAAAATTTCATTTGTAGGTCTACATAATTTATGGGTTGTATCCAACTAAGTAGACCCGCTAAAATTAATGGACCTAAGTTAGTCATATTCATTCATCTCAATGAGTCCAGGGCTAACACTGGATACAACCTTATGTTTGTGCTGACATGCTGCGGATTTAAAATATGGGTGGGAATGACCACTGCCTCCTCCACCCACCAAAACCCAGCTCTAGCAATATGTGGTGCATACAACAGTAGATAACTTGCAGGCATTAGCTCTGAAGAAAGGGGGGGGGGCTTGTTGTGGAGCTAGTGCCTCCACTCAAGAGAAGCTTTGTAGGTGAAAGAAAGCTAACCCCTTCCTTTTCCTCCCAAACAACCCATGTCTGTTTGTCACAAAGTGATCTTCTAACCGAACTGTTTTGGCTTTGGGGCCCAAATTGCTGGTTAGCTGCTGGGATTTGAGAACTGATGGGAAGGAAAAGGGGAGAAAACTCTGTTCCATGCTAATCTTCTCTGTATCATTCTAATTTTAGTATATGTGCTGCCGAAAAGAGCATGGAGAAAACTCTGTTCCATCTTCCTTTTCTCCTCCTCTCCCCCACCAATTTCCAGGGCTCCTCCCATATGAATAAATGTCAAGTGTGGTAGATGAAAATTACAGACATGCATACCACAGCTGACCGTGTGAGCAAGAGGAATGTTATAAGCCATTCCTGGATATTTTACAAGCTGCATATTATTTCATAAACACAATAGTGTCAATATTGTACAGTTATCAGCCAAGTATAATTCACAACCACAGCAACAATGATTTTCTGCTTTCTATTCTGCAGAAGGATTAAGCTAATGACCTTAAAGGCAGAAGACTTTGTGGATATTTGTGGATATTTTCAGAACTGAATATCAAAATTAAATTTTAACACCATAAACTAGATTTAATCTATAGCTCCACATTTACATAACTAAACTATTTTTTAAAAAACAAATCAATTGTTTTGAATATGTAGCTTTGCAACACTTGCTGCTAAATCAGATTTGGCAGGTGATTAGATTTTTTTTAACCTTGTAAAATGTGCTTCACTAAGTTACAACCATTAACAGAAGCATTCAGGGGAAAGCCAAACCACAGAGTTAGGCTGCGAAGAAACCTTCCATTCAAGCCACTGATATGTAAAGCAAAGACTGCATTTCTAGCCACATACCTCAGAAATCATAATGGAGAACATCTATGAACAAATACTGTGCCCAAGATTTCTGAAGCAAAAAACTGATCAGCGATTGGGAAGAAATGAAGCTTTATTACAAAAAGATGAATAAAGCAGCTCATATTTTGAGCTGCATGAGCTCATAGCAGGAAAATTCAAACCATCCTTTGAGCTACACATATTTGAAATAGCCTCAAAAATGGCTACCTAAGATTTGTGCACAACTTACAGTCCACATATTTGTCTCCAAACTCCTGAAGCTTACTGTTCATTCCCACTGTTCTTGACTTCCTAGCAATTTTCTTCTGGTCTACACTGAATGCTCTTACTTAAACTCAGACCAATCCAAAGATCTCTGCCTGTGTCCTTCATAGCCTGCTACCTTTTATACAACTAACTTTTCTTCCCTGAAATCCTCCACTACAGATTTTCTCTGATTGATCTTCATTATCTGTCAAATCACATGTTCAATATTTCCACTGGGAAATGCCTCCTCAGTTCCTCCTTTCTTTTGGGTGGGGTGGATAAGGCTTCAGCATGCTGCTCTTGGTGCCCAGCAGTTCCTCCTTCTTAAAAGACCTCAAACTTCATGGTTTTCAATACCACCTATATGCTGTTGACATCCAGCTTTACTTCTATGTCTCCTACCCTGTCTAATCCATCTTTGCCAACTTATTCAATATATGTATTTGGAGATTTTCTATCACTTTCTCAAACTCAATATGTCTAAGACTAGACTATATATCTTTTCTTCCAAGCTGATTTATGTTTTCATTCTCTATTATTTTATTTTGTTTAAAATCTGACCCTTTGACTAAAACTCTGCCTATCTCTCTGGTGACCTCACATATTAAGTCAGCTAACAAAGGAGAAGATAGCATAAATGCACAGACAATACACCAAAAGCTTATTTTGATAGATGACTTACCTCAAAATAAAATGTTTCATTAAATTGTGGGTTGCTTGTTTTCTTCTTTACTTTTGTCTTCTTTTGGTCATTCCTATTCCAATATGGTACAGTTTTACCATACAGAACTTAAAAACATACAATTATAAAAACACTGTATTGATATGAATGAACCATGCACTTAAACTATGTTTATGAAAGGCCTATCTTCAAGCAGAAAAGGCATTCTTTGTAAACTGGATGCATTACTGATAACTTGAATTTGTGTAGCCCTGCTGAAGTCAATATGAATGTTGTACATAGGTGTACATACATGTGGGAGGAGTATATATTCCAAATAAATAAGAAACATATGTAACTAGTATCAGATAATATGCCTGCCATTTCTGAAAAATCTGGTCACGGAGTGGTGGCCATTTCTGGTGAAGAGGGTGGATCTGGCCTGAGAAATTTGTACTGCAGGTCTACCTTACTGTTGCTTCTCTGTCGGTAGACCAGCTGTCTATCTACAGGTGGACCTGGCACCCAGACAATGTCTTTCCACACATTGCTGATATCCTCAGTTATTTTCCCAGAACAGACTTGGGGGAGGAGACACCCTGGGAGAGAAGTCCTATTGCACAAATGGAAGTCCTTTGGCAAACATAACTACTTTGTCAAAAGTTGTCAAGAAATTGATTAAATTTTCCACAATTGTGTTAATAACATTAGGCTTCTCTACATTAATCAACTGAAAATTGGTGCAATAATTCATTTCCTTTTCAACATCACTAAATTTGTGTAGGTCTAATTTTCCTATTTTATTTAAGACAGTGTGAATGTATGTTAAAAGTATTACCTTGAAGGACCCACAACAGACACTGTAGCATAAGGATCACAATTTTGTCCATTAATAAGAGGAAGTCCATGACATTCCTTCAAGCTAGAATTTTAAAAATGCAAATTAATTCAGTTGCAGTTTCAAGTCTAATGGATAAAGACACACTGACCATGTATGACCACTACTGCCTGGTCATGAATTTCTCTTTTAATAAGGTGCTCAAGAAGACACTGTTGGTTCAGCTTCAGGCACTCTTGGGAGATACTGATTATCTAGACTCTGGGTTAAGGCCTAGTTTTGGGACTGAATTGGCCTCAATCACTCTTGTGGCTACCTTCATTAAGACAAGGAAAAAGGGAGTGGGATCCTATTATTTCTTGTGCAGAATTCAACTGCATGTTTAAAGTTTAGTCAATTTAGTCTACATTGGAGGTCTAGGTACTCTCCAGGAAACCATCTATTTGTCTAAGATCAGTCATTTCCTCACCACTTTTATACTAAGTTAACCATGCTAATTAATTCTTGGATTCTACAAGAGGTGTTGCCTCCTTCCTGTGTGTGACCTGTGAATACAGAAGAGAATGTCTGAAATCTTGCGAAACCAGCTGTGACTGCTCAGCACTTCACAAAGCTTCATTACATTGTCTCTTTGAATGGTCATCTCCTAATGTTTGTGGAAGCCTTTCCTCCAGCAAGCTAGCCAACAGCATTTTGGCTCACATCCAAAGCATGTTTGGTCCCTTCCTCTTCCAGTTAAACTGGTTTTGTCTATTAAAAGGCAGACTGTGGAGATAGTATACTAGAGAAAAGAGAACTTTTGGGGGTTAGAATGTGCCTTGTCTTTTATTCTCCTAAGTAGATTCACTACTGTTCTACATTAGCAGCCTAGTGTTTCTGACTGCTCCTAGAACAAGACTAGTGAAAGTCAGAAATTGGCTCAGAAACCTGGTAATTAACAACTGCCAGAACAAAGCTTGGAATATAGCACATGAGTAAAACTGATTAGTTATAACTATCATGGGGGAAACAGTGTGTCAAAGAAAAAGTTATTTATTAGCCACTGTAATTCAGGGGGTGTTGCTGAAAGGTAATTATCATATTTTTTTATTTGAGAAAGTTAGTGGTGGAACAGTTGTATTTCCACTGTATGAAATGGCCCTTAGAAGTCCCACAACATACAAGCCAACATCCTTGCAGACCTGCTGTAAACCTTGGAACATCTTCCACTGATGTAAGCAGTAGAGGGAGAACTCAGACAACATTGGTATCTGCATCTTGAATGCATCTTTGTGCAAGTTATTGTCCCTATCACAGGCAGAGGTGCAGCAGTGCATGTGCAGTGAGTAAAGACAGTGGCAGAAAAGATGGACCATCTTGTTTGTGCCTCAGCTGTGAAGTCCATTCACATCTTATGGGACACATTGCCAACTTCCTTTCCCATTACTCCTTTGTATAACTTGAGACACACTAATCATGACACCAATGCTAACCAAAGGTGTATAAAAAACACCACTGATTACATTGCTGCAAGCATTCAGCAACACTACAGAACCAAAAAAGGTCTACAAGAGTCTCTTCCACATGTCCAGTACTTGGTGGTGGTTTTACCTTCAGCAGGAAGGCAGTCAGTCAGTTCATTTTATGCTGAAGTGGAATCTTTGAAAACACATTTGTTCAACTTGAATTGGCTAAGTTTGCTGTACTGAAACCTTTAAGCTTATATTTTTTAATTGTGTTTTCATGTGTTTTATAATACTGGAAGCTGACTTGAATTACCCTGTTAATGTTCATTAGCAAGCAAAACAAGAATAAGAATTGATAAATGTTCTTACTGTACGACTAGCTGCTGGCAGACTGATCCATTATCTGTAATCAACTCATTCAGTTTTAATTCGAGGTGAACTTTTCCCTGTCAATTAAAAAAAAAGGAGTTTCAGTTGCAAGAACCTGTGTGCTGAATTTATAAAATAAGCTAGAACCTGCTTAATAAGAGCAAGACAAGAGTTGTGAGGCTCTTTAGCATCGCTAGCATGAAATATGTGATTGACTGAATAAGCTGTTATGTGAGTAGGTGTCAGACAAGTATTAGGCACTGTATTTTATATTTTTTAATGCAGAAAATTGTTATCAACTTAGAATACTATTTTGGTATTACTTGTAAATAATTTTTCCTACTCAGTTTTTCCATTATAAGATAATTACATTATATGAATTTTAAGAGTTATGATTCCTTGTATATGACAGCACTTGGTTTTTTAAAAAATGAAAATATCACTATTTTAAAATGAAGAGCTCTTATAAAATCTTCAAGGAGGACCTGATCATCTACATCAGGTGAGGGGAACCTTTCACCCTCCAGATGTTGCTTAACTACAGCACCCATCAGCCCCTGCAAGCATGGTCAATGACCACTGAAAATGGGAGTTGCAGTTCAGTAACATCTGAAGGGCCAAAGTTCCCCACACCTGTTCTACATTTTGTAGAGATCCAAATCTTAATCACTTCAGAATAGCTTCAGGTAAAGAAGACTAGGCTATGATGCAATATTCATAATATCACCTTTAAAAATGGCAGTGTGTCTGTGTGTGTGTGTGTGTGCGCGCGCGCGCACACACACGCACACACACACACACACACACACAGACACTCCACCTCGAAAATGAACTGCTAGTAGTACTTTGTGCCTATATGAACACACCCTAAACAAGGTAGGCTTGTTATTTTGGAAGCAATAAAAAAGTCACTGACAGAACACTTCCGGACTCAGACACTGAGCACCTCTATAATTAACTGCTATTAGTGCACTAAAGATTCTTTCTAAAGTGCTTAGGTATTCAACCTGTGAAGGCTATCAAGTGACAGTTGTCTGAAGCAGTTCCCCTGAAAGCAAAACAAAATGAATGACAAGCATAATACATAGGGGAATCTTCCTGGCAATAAAATGACACACAATCCAGTCAAAATTAAGCACATGCTTAACTTTGTCAAGTCAACATGCCTTGTAAAGGCCTAGCTTGGTGGGTCACACTTTTCCTACCAAACTGGGTTGATACTCAAGCTTAAAAAATATATAGCTGCTTCACTGCCCATGTTTACACAGTTGTACTGACACTGGAGTAATACGCCAGACAACATGTATTCCGTGGGGCCACTGCATAATTAAATGATTTGGTGCAAGCAAATTTCTACTCTCTTTAAAAAGAAAAGTTCAGGGGAAAGAATAAACATGTATGGTGAAGGTCCAGAAAAAAACAAAACAATGAATACATTTTCTGGATTAGTGTCAGTACTATCCCAGATTCATATTGCATACAGTTACTATACCATTTTTCCAAACCAACCTCCATGACTCCTCTATCAATCTAATTATCACCAAAATATTGCTTTAGATGTTGCAATGCACATATATACTGAGGCAAACCCCAGCATATCTCAGGAATGGTGAGCAATGTCTATTATTAGAGGTTAATCTAGCAGGGACATTTCCTCCAGCATGACACCCATGTCACAATGCCATGTAGTTTGCTTTGCCTGTAACCAAGCCCAAAATATTTACTTGGAAATTCCAACATTCAGCTGCACATTTGCCATTGTTATCATACACATTACTGCATGATTCACATATACCTAAACTATTTTCAGGACAACTAAAACTGCTGTTTAATCAAGAAGCAGCTGTCTTATTTCGTAAGAGCTGTATATGCTATTTCTAAAACAATTAAGTTGGAATTAGAGCACCTCTAATATACCACAGATAAAGAGAAAGAAATATACACAGCTACATTACCATGCACAGGAAAACAATCAACACTTGCAAAAGAGAATTATAAACTGTTTCATCATTGATAAGTTAGAATTTTATTTTTCAACTATACTATGAAAAGGGATTGAAATGTGTGCCCACCCCCAAGATGTGAAGGTCCATGAAAAGAAAAAAAATAAGAAACAGTGGTCCCTCCCCCCAAATCATTTTTTCCCCTGAGCCTTCGCATCGTCACCCCTCCTGCTGACTGTAAAGTATCGTAGCCTTCTCTGGGAAGAGTACAGAAAAATAGAAATGATTTGCAGCAAGACAAAGTGTAACTGAGGGATCCACACAGGACATAGCCAAGCCCTATTACCCCCACTCAACTTTGGTGCCTACAGTTAGTGAATCACACCATTCCAGGGAATAGGAGGCACACACAGGCTTCCTATATAACTTCCCTCTCCACTCTGTAATCACAGAAGAGATTCAGAATGTCTTACAATATGGAGCATTTTTAAACTATACATACATTTGCTGTAGTTTGAAAAATGTTATAGGCGATTTTTGTAAAATATATTTAATTCACATTCAGAACTTTTGAAGTGCCCTAAGAGAAGGAAAATGAAATCTAAATTGAAATATTTTAAACTGGCACACAAGAAATTAAAGATATACATGTCCAGTTTTCAATTGTCCCATACTAGTTTTTAAGACTGATTTTTGTGAACACATTGCAGACAGGCCCTTTTTCTGATGGACTAGGAACAATGCAGCACAAAAACTGCATTCATTTCATGCAGCATGGGGAATCTTAAGTAAAATTACAAATAAACATGGGGGTGGGGAAGACAGACTTTCATTGACACAATACAACATTAACTTTTACAACTATTCAATTTTACCTGAACCTCTGAATTGGAATCAACAGGCTGAAGCATAAACCATGTTTCCTTGCCAGAGTATTTGCTCAAATCTTCTTTTTTGATAGCTACTTTGCCTAAAAGAAAGAAAATAAAATTACCTATTTGACAGTACATTTTATTCAGTGTTGGGTAGAAATGCTTATTTTTAATTTTAGCTCTAGAGATAGCTCTAGAGAAGATTTTAAAATAATCATCATACAGTGTGTCCTAAGCAAAGCAGTCCAGTAGCAGCAGGTGTTGGGGATGGGAGTCTTTATTGGCACTGTTTGAAACTAAATGAAAAACGTTTTAAAATAAAACGCCTCTCTATGGGGCCTGTAGGTCAACTGGGAACACATGTTGTGGCAAGATTGAGGGCTACTGGGTGGGCGTTGGTCTGCTCAATCATTTAGAGAGAAAACTACCAGAGACACTATGTAATACAGTGGAACAGTTTTCGAACATCTCGGCTTCCATTTTCAAACATGCCTCAGAAGTCGAATGGTCTTCTGTAATGGATTACGTTCGACAACCGAGGTTCCACTGTAAAGTGTTGAATTACAATTAATGGTGGCATAAGGCAAGTGTAAGAACTTCCACTTGTGCAAAGCTCGACCCCTGATTTTCACTAATTCTCTTATCCAATGTACAACTTCTCCCAAGGGTTGGAGGGGTCCTCCAGAATAAAAGATATGATGCAGCAGATTGCATTAGGTAGGAGGATCAGTGAAAACTGGATGCCCTACTTTATGTGAACATGTTTGCCTAATGCCATCGTTGGATACAATCCATAAAAATAAACACATACATTTGAAAATAGTAAGATACCTGTCTACAGTTTTACCTTTAATAAAACAAACCCACCACTGAAGATTAAGAGGCATATCAAACTCTAAGTTGACCCACTGAAATGAGTTGACATGACAAACCAATTTCAGTGGGTCTACACAGATTATGACTTAGGTGGCTACCATCCTAACTTCAATTTATAGCTTAGTCAGCAGAATATGAGATGCTTAATCTCAGTATCGTGGGTTTAAGCCCCATGTTGGGCAAAAGATTTCTGCACTGCAGGGGCCTAGATGACCCTTGTGGTCCCTTTCAACCCAACAATTCTATGATTCTATACTTACCTATACGCAGATCCCTCTGTAAAACACTTTTCTCATAAATATAAAATGATAAACACTGGAATGTCCTTGGTATTTCAAAGTAGAACTCTTCTCCAAAAAATGGGCTGGGGAAAGAAATCAAACAGGTTCTTAGCAAAGTAACTGAATATTTTACAATGTTTCACCACCATTGTAACTTGCTGTAGAATCCTATTTTATGTAACTTTTATAACTGGATTCTCCTCTTGAATGTAAGCCTCTTGCAAGGAATTACCGTATTGGCCCGAATATAAGCCGCACCTGAATATAAGCCGCACCTTTAAAACTTGGGGGGGGGGGGGGAGAGAGAGAAAAAAAGAATAAATTCCTGAATATAAGCCGCTCCATTCCTCACTGCTCCTGGCTGCATACTTGGCGGGGAGAGCCATGATGCACTGCCGGCAACCTTTCTGCTTCCTCTCTCTTTCGCTTCCCGGCCTTGGGGGAAAGGATGGGGGACTATGTGCAGGACGGGCACCGCTCTGTTGCACTCCTGGTACTGTTTGCCCCACACTCCTGGCTGCATACTGTAAGGTCACGAATATAAGCCGCACTTTAACTTTTCACAGTCAGAAAAGTGAGGCTTATATTGAGGCCAATACGGTAGTTATTTCTCCCAAAATGCTAAACAGTACAAAACATTTTCAAGAGTCATGTTTATATACCCACACAAACAACTCACACAATAAAATACAATTAGATATTAAAATATATGACAAGTTTACACAAGGGAAGGGGGTTATTGGTTTGCTTTTGTTTTTATTACAGATTTTGTGTGGTTTTTTTATCTTGTATTTTTATGTTGTGAACCGCCCTGAGATCTACGAATTAAGGGAAGCATACAAACTTAATACATGCTACTAATAAATAATAATAATAATAATAATAATAATAATAGGTAGGCTTGCCTAAACACGTATGTTTTCAGGAGCTGATAAAAAAACCCCTGGAAACACTGGGCAGAAGTGGCCAAAATAATATGGTAATAGTGCTTGGATGAGAGTCTACAGCACTGATTTATTTTGGTTTGTTGTCAAGTCTCTCTGAGCAATCAGAATGCAATGGAAGCGGAAGATAAAAATTTTCAAGTAAATAAATGATTGGATAAATAAATGGTGAAATGTCTTTAGGAAGTCAATAGGTACTAGCATTTTATGTAAACCGAAGAAATCAGAAGGCTTTGTTTACTATTATTTATATTCACACCAGCCACATTATCTGATGGAATTTTCTTGTTTACCTTATTCAGTTTGTGGATCATTTTTTTAAAAAATTGTTTCCTTACAAGTTTACAGCCAATGCATTCAAAATGTAAGGGTAAGTTCTGCTTTAACTTTGGCTTCAGGGCCCAGAGTGTACAATAATGCTGAAACTAAACCGAAGTTGTCCTGGCCAGTTCCTTGGAGAACCACCACAAGCCTCATATAAGAACAGGGTCTAAGTTTAATAAAACTCTGATTCTAGGTTTTTGAATAAAGGACCATTTATGTGAGTGCAATTCTCCTTCCACAGAGCAAAAATTTAGGTCCAAGCCTAAATCTTTAACACACATCACCACTTAGATACTTACATCAGAATTCTTAACACCTTTAAAAAGATTAATAAATTTTCTTTTTTCTACACAAATAAATTGCTATTTGATGCCCAAAGAATAATGATCGCATGCTTGCAAAAAAACAAACAAACCTGTTCTAGAAGTAGAAAAAGATAATAAACTATCTTGTTTTCAGATCAGTAAGTGTTTCATTGTTGTTTTTACTCAAGAAATAAAACCAAAAGATAATGTAATTATTTTGTCACTTAGTCATGCTAAATTTCATTGTGATTGGAGCCTGACTGGAGGACAAGAAAGTTACCGTATTTTTCATCCTATAAGGCGCACTGGCCCATAGGACACACCTAGTTTTTTGGGGGGGAAAGTAAAAAAAAAATTATTTCCGACCCCAGCCCCCAGAACAGGCTGCCGCCCGCAAGCCTTGCGAGCCCGGCGGGACCTCCCACCGGGCGCGCAAGTCTTGTGGACATCTGCCCGAAGCACGGGGCGTGCTCTGCAGCGCACCCCGTGCTTCGGGCTGCAGGCTCCCGCCCGCAAGCCTTGCGCGCCTGGCAGGACCTCCCGCCGGGCGTGCAAGGCTTGCAGATAGCTTCCTGAAGCCTGGAGAGCGAGATGGGTCGGTGCGCACCGACGCCTCTCACTCTCCAGGCTTCAGCGAAAGCCTGCATTCGCCCCATAGGACGCACGCACATTTCCCCTTCATTTTTGGAGGGGGAAAAGTGCGTCCTATAGGGCGAAAAATACGGTAAATTCAGTAGCTCCTCTTTATACCCTCTGCCTCCTGTGTGCAATGTTTGCTTGTAAGCCCTCTCTCTGGAAGTGGCTTCTGCCAAACAGATGTGTAGAAAAAGTTAGCACTGGAAGGACAATTAAGTAGGTGTACCAGGTGGACCTCTCTGAGAACATTCCATTAATGGGGCACCACTACTGGGATTCCCATCCCTCTGGGAGTTGGTTTGGTTCAGGAAGATCAACTAAAGTTCTTAAGACAGGTACACACATATAGGTAGATAACTCTTCTAGTACCCCAGTCATAATCAATGAAGGGCTTTTAGAGAAAACCAGCATGTTGAACTGAGCTCAGAAACTGAACGGTAACCATTGCAATGGGTATAGCACAACATATATAGGGATATACATACGTATTTTAGCTCAACTTTTATCTTTTGTATCAGGTTTTATATTTAGAGAGCCTACACAAAATATATTCAATATATATCCAGTTCACAGAAGGAATTACAATAAAAGTAGAAGATTGTCAAAATCAATGTCAGTTCTGTTCACATACTTTTCTGAAGATAAACCCTTCCATGCATGAAGGTGGTAACACTAGAATGCATTAATTCATAAAACCTTCCACAGGGAAAAAATGTGCGTGCAGGAGTAACACTTACTACTAAGTTGTCTAGTTACAATTATCCATGGGGTCATTTCAAGAAGTTAACATGTAAACACCACAGGTTGTCACAATTAGCCCTGACTATTGTTATTCATATTTTTTACCATACTGCTAAAGAACTTAAAAGTTTTGCAAGTTTAGTCTAGTTTGGAGCAGTGTTCCAAGTCCTTGTTCAGATGAGAAACTAAACAAAGTAACATTATGAAAACAGGCCTTAGAAGAAAGCTTTGGGCCGGTGTGTTCCCCCACTCTCTGGTATGATCACAGCGGAGTTCATTGAGATAGACCAACTTCCAACTATACATTATTCGCTTGTTTCAGCTAGCAGTAATTAAGATTAGCCGTAGTTTGTGTGGAACATTGCTAGCCACAGTTAATCCAAAACAGAAAAAGAAACTTCGTCTCCTTGGAGCCATGGCAAAAGAGAGAGTTTCTGAGCTTGAGGGGCACCAGGTCTCATTCTTCTAACACTAAGGCATGGTTCAGCATTACATCTGAACACAGTCACTCTTCCAATGCATTATTAATGTTTAATTTATTAAGCTGTTTCTGTAACCCATACATAAAAAAAATCAGAAACTAAGCCAAAATGGACAAGCAATGGGGCCGGGGGGAGGAGAGAATAAAATTACAGACCAGCTGATTTTTTTTTACATATTAAGGGACTGGTTAATATTCCATTTTAATCAAAGATATATTCTCATCCTAGCTAAGCCTGCCATTGTGATAAAGCTCTTACCTTAAACATTTCTCTACTACCTGAGTGCGAAAAACCTCTTCTTGATCCAAATTGATTGTACAAAAGCAGTCTCTCATCTTGTTTTGTCCAGAGTATGGCACTAAGTTTTTGGCTTGACCTAGTGACAAGATTAAATTAGTTTTGAACAAACATGGAGAGAAAAATTACAAGGTTGTCTATAGCCAAAGTATGGAGTTGTAATTCAGAATGGAAAGCAACAAAATATTACACACTCTGTAATGCATCCTTGTCTGAATTAAGTGACCAAAAGAAGCACAAAAGAAGAAAAGGAAGTTTGGGTATTAAAAAAGGAAACTGAATACAATATTTCATCATAGCCAGGACTTTGGCTTTGTCCTTTAAAAGGCAGACGCCACTTCCTCTAGAATAGCATCACCTGATAAGAACAGGGTCACTACTGGCTTAAAAGTGAAGGCTTTATTAACATCACTTCCTGCAACACTTGCACTTTCCTTCAAATTCCATCTGGGTAACCGGTTAAGCCTGACATGGCTGGTTAATGATTGCAACTGAAAGCAATATGGCCACAAGTCATAACACAAACAGAGTCTAGTATTTTTTCAACAAACAAATTTTGTATTTAGTAGTCCATTATAAAGTTATTATGTTTACCCTGGAAAAAAATTGTTTGAACTATATCTAGTGAACAACCAGACTTTTGAGTTACTATCACATTGAAAAGTCATAGTACTTGCTACCAAAATATTAACACAATGTAACTTCCTCCCTGCTCTAAGCAAAATACACAATACTTAGAATAAAGTTAGTTTACTTAGTTTAAGACAGTTTGCCCAGAGAATGTTCTAATTTCCTTATAAAATAAAACAAAGTATCATTTTGAAAGCAGTCAGGGATATCAATTTTCCTTAAAGATAAATTACATCTATCACTACCCTTAATGGTGCTTCTAAGGATATCATTCTGTTTGAACAACAGAGCTGTCTAAACTCAAACATACATTTTAAAGCAGGAATGGGGAAAATGAGGCCCACCAAATTTGATTCACTGGCCATAATAGGAGCCAACTCCTTGGGGCCTGAGGTCCCATCAACCCCCCAATAAAATATTTGAGGGGGACACCCTCCAAGTTGATGGGCATCAAATGGTATGTCTTATTATTGATTATGTGGGGCACCCCCCCAATTAATTTATTTAAGTTGAGACCTCTGCTGGCCATACTCCTCACCCCATTTTAGAGCCTTATTTCTACAGCAGCATTTTGCAAAATAAAATACATTTAGGTAAGTACACTTATGAAATCTCAACACCAATGTGTTAGTACTTTATGGCACTGACATTTGTCTGCAAATTTCCTACCAGTTCCAAGCAATCAGCTTTTCCAAGTGACTACTCCTTCATTGTTAAAGCCCTAGAACTAACATAGAATTGGCCTAAACACAAAGGTTTGCTGATTTCCATTTACTAAGTGATTTCAAGGATTAGTATGGCACAGTAAACCATTTTATATTACTGGTTTTTCAAACTGGAAAAGCCTAGTTTATCCAGCATTTTCAATGAAATAACCAGTAATGGTGGACAAACTTCCTTTGCAAAGTGCAGCTGCAACAGAGTACTGAGTGTATTTGAGATCATACTCTCAATTCAAGTTGGGCAACAGGGAAACCTAACAGATTTGATGACTGTCTTACATAAACTGGGTGCAACCTCTAGAGCAGGAATGGGAAACACCTGACTCTCCAGATACTGTGAACTGAGCTTCCATCATCCCTAAATATTGGCTAAGCTGGCTGGGGCTGAATAGAGTCCAGGAACATCTGAAGGGCCACAGGTTATTCCTTTTTTATTTACTTATTAAACTTGTACTGTATAACGCCCTTTATCTGAAGATCACAGGGCATTCACAACATAAGAGTACAAAATGAAAACACAAAACACAAAAAGCCAAAGTTTTTGTCGGGCACCGCCTCAAGGTAAGTAATAAAGGTGCCAGGCAAATCTCCCTGAGGAAAGCATTCCACAAGCAGGAAGCCATCGCAGAAAAGGCTTCTCGTGTTGCCACCCTCTGTTCCTCTCATGGAGGAGGCACTCAGGTAAAGCCCTCAGATGATGACTGCAGTGTCCAGATTGGTTCATATGGGGAGAGGCAGTCCCCATTCCTACTATAAAACAAGCCCTGAATTCCTCTGCAACGCACTGGAATCCCTTGGAAAACAAGCTAACATAGAAAGAGCTCCCTGAAGGAACGAGGATGAAAACCATCATTTTACATAAAATTATTAATTGTAACTGTTCAAAGCTATCTCTAGCCCTCAAGACACTATATAGCACATACTATCAATACACGTAAGGGAGAGGAGGCAGACAGAGTCCAAGATTTAAAATGCAATATGCTATGGATACAAAGTGTGAAAATCAGCATGGCCTAGAGATCACATAACCTACATGTGTGCAAGCCTCCCTTGATATGCAATATATTCCACTTGTACACTGATGCAGCTGGGCATGCTTCCTCTGCTGTTCCAAATTGCGGTCAGCCAAGTGTGCTAGTTACTCTTGCCTGTAGTACACACAGCAATTTGGCAGTTGGAAGAAGACATTTTGGCAGTTGGAGGAAACTGCTTCATTAGCACAAGAAAGCCTTTTTGCACCTCCACACTAGTTGCTAGTCTAAGATCAGCATAAACGCTCAAGTGTTGTGTTCTGGGGTGAGGGGGTGAGAAAAGAAGCACACATGCAGGTATGTACCTGCATTTCCTAGTTATGAAGTATATCAGGTGGATCAGGCCCTTCTTTTCTTTGTTAAATTTTTGAAACACATCACTATCACTTTTAATTGCTGTAGATACTACCGGTACTTTCCATGGTCAAACAAATTCCCATGGGGAACACTGCTAGTTTTCTCTTAAAAGAAGATGGGTATGTATGTGAAGTGGGCATTTTAGCATATATGTGTTATATAAATTAACAAATAATGATGGTAATAATAGGCTTAATCATTTAAGCCAAAGCTAATTTGTCACAGCAAACAGCTGTTAAAGTACAGAATGTATTGGCAGATAAAATTAGCTACACATTTTCAGCCAGGGGCTTCCTATCTTAGCTTGGCCACACAGCCCCATCCTATGGATATGCCACTGCATTCAACTGCCACTGAGATCGGTAGGATTTACTCTCAATTTAAGTGTTCATAAGATTGCACATCTCTCTCAACTTCAGCCATTTCCATTTTCATCCCAAATTTTTGGATAAAACTGATTATTATACAGAGATGTTGTAAGAATTCAGATAATATGTGTTAAGTGCTTTGATCAATTAGTAAAAGCACTTATAAAATACTAAATATAACCACATCAGGTAACAAAAGGTAAAATTAAAAAGTAAGTTTAAGGCACTAGGGTGTCAGGTATGCTTGTGGCCAGCTGCCCATTATAAATGCCTTGATAAACCAATGTACTATAGATGCCTGAAATGTCTGTGTCGTATTTCCAAATACCTACTTCACAAGTATGAACTGCAATGCTTCCATCTGTTTATCAAAATAAGCATGCAGAATGAAATGCAACAATGGCATTAAAATGTGCTTTGTAGCATTCATGTAATTATTACCCCTTGCTTCAATTGCCAAACAATAAATCAGTCAACCACAGCTTTAACTGATTAATCAAGTGTGTGAAGGTCCATCTATTTTAGATTATTTTGCTTCTGCTGCATTACTGCAATAGGAAATGAGAAAGAAATATTAAAAGATGGCAGTTCCCTTTAATGACAGGTAATGATATTTATTTATTTATTTATTTATTTATTTATAAATAAATAAGTTCCTTCAATATTTGTAAAGATGGCAGAGATTTTAGTAAGATGCAAATGTAAGGTAAAGGTAAAGGGACCCCTAAACATTAGGTCCAGTCACGGATGACTCTGGGGTTTGCGGCGCTTATCTCGCTTTATTGGCCAAGTGAGCTACAGCTCACTTCCGGGTACAGCTTCCGGGTCATGTGGCCATCATGTCTAAGCCGCTTCTGGCGAACCAGAGCAACGCACGGAAACGCCGCTTACCTTCCTGCTGAAGCGATTCCTATTTATCTACTTGAACTTTGACGTGCTTTTGAACTGCTAGGTTGGCAGGAGCAGGGACCGAGCAATGGGAACTCACTCCATTGTGGGGATTCGAACCACCAACCTTCTGATTGGCAAGCCCTAGGCTCTGTGGTTTAGACCACAGCGCCACCCACGTCTCTTAAGATGCAAATGTACTAAACTTTAATTAGATTCATCAATTTAAAATTTCTAAGGCAACTGTTCCAAAGGGTGATAATATACTAGTTTAATAAATGGGGTTTTTTTATTAAAAAACATAAAACAAAATCAAGTAGCATATGCTATTTTTAACACATGGAATCTTTCAAAATGTAAGTTTTCACAGAAAATATTTTTTCTACAAAAAATTATGGGTCGTTAATCAGAGTTGATTTGATGCTGAATATGCACATTTAACCTCATAAGAATGCTTCTCTCGTCAATGCTGTTCTACTGAAACATTATGAAATCTAGTTCCGCATCAAAATGGAAGCTAAGCATGCTGCAAGTCATTCTCTACAAGACCGAATAAAGGCGTGAGAAAGGAAGTGGGTTACGTTTGACTTACATGAATGTACTTCGATCCCTCCCACCATCGGAAAACCACTACATCCTGTTTGTCCTAGCTGCCCTAAAATCTACGTCAGCCCCATAACATTATCATTTTCTTGCCCCTTATAATTTATCAGAAGGTTTTCTGCCTTCAAGTTTAAAATTTTCTTTGCCACATTTGGTCTGGCTAACATGGATCCTATTACCCCACAATCCCATTAAGGTATCCAAAAGAGTTCTAAGCGACTACTTCAAAACATTCTGTACAAGCTTCCCCCTACATCACATTTCACAAGAATCGCATGTGTTGCATTTTTCTGATAAGATGAAATACCTTTAAAAGATTGAATGCGGAGTGTAACTTCTAAGGATGTCACTTTTTGCAAGTAATGTCTAATGGCTCTCAAAACTAAATATTTTCCATTTCAGCTAAAGCCAGGCCTTCCCATGAAGTTATTACATCTTCCCCTAGCTGCAAGGAATGCACTTCCCCAACTATTTTGCTAGGTACAGCCCAGTCTACTAGCTTACACACTTACAAGCACCTCTCGTGCTTGCTATTTCTACCCTATCATAACATGGATTAGAGAACCAAAGTGTCACTGGTGCCATCACCAAACTTCCATCAAAACTACACTTGGGACTTCAGGTGTGCAGTACTACTTCAGCATTACAAGGCCTTGCAAACACACACAGGAAGAACAGATCCCTAGAATATGTGCCAGGAACTGTAGATCGCTTTCACATCACCCACGTAGCACACAATTACCATGGCTAGGTTTCAACTCCCTTTAGGATATTGTTGACCACAGTACATTCCTGATTAAATACCAGGTAACTATCTAGCACGATGCTATTTCTGCTCTCTTCCCTACTTCATCCAGCAAATATGTTTGGACCTGCAACCTGCTTGTTCAGAAACCAACCCTTTAAATGCTCCAATAACTTCATATCCTATTCCCTTATACTGCAAATATTCTTCTATCTGCCAGGTTCATCTGTCCCAGGGACCGTATCTTACTGAATGAATTTCTATTATTGCTTTCTATGCATTATACGCTCTATAAACTTTATTCTGTCCTTGCTTTCCATATCCTTAATTTATTTTTTTTTAAATAGTTTTCCCTACAACAGAATAAAATGGCTATCAAGTCTTGTGGCACCAAAAAATTTACTATGGCATAAGCTTCTGTGGGCTACCTTTGACAAACTGGCCTTAAGTCCCTGAAAGCTTTATTAGTCTTGGCACCACAAGCCAGTTTGCTACTGCTATTGGTGTGTGTGGGGGGGAATACTACACCATCCTCCTTTACACAAAATTCAGTTTATGTCAGTTTATGTCCTTAATATTGTCATGGCCTGCGTATTATAAACGCTTTCAAAATATTGAGATGAAATACGTGCCTTATGAAGTACCATCCAAATGCCAGCTATTAACTAGGATGACTTATTTCCAAGGGCTTCTTCACACATAACTTGCCTTAGGCTGCAAGTCACTTTGGGGTAACGTGACCAACAAATTTAATAAGTAACAATAAATTAGGCATGCAGCTTAAAATATGTAGCATGCACACCTAGAAATATAAAATGCAATCCCAACAAGCAGACATTTACAAACCCTTGCACTCATAGAGACCCACGGGAAACCAGGATTGGGTGCACGGGGCAAGCGGCTGTCTCTCTCTGTCAAGTGAGGTAACTTAGCAGGCCAGGAGGGCTGAGGCCGTTTCGCCCAACCAACGCAAGGAGTGGAAGACAGTGGCTTGCGCTCGCTGCAGTGCAAGATGCCCAGTTCACACTATCACTATTCCCCTTTGCACGGATGCTCTATCCGTGAGAGTTTTTGGTTTTCTGCTACTATAACAGCGTCGCCCTGCCCACGCCCCACCGCCTACCCAGCAGAGCCCCCCTTCTGGAAGCAGCCTGTATGCTTTTGTCTCTCGCTTCCGCCAACCCCCCCCCCCCAACCCAACCCACCCTCAGCTTTTCTCTTTCTTTCCCTCATCACGGCCGCCCACAGGTGTGCGCATCCCACAGGAGACACTGCACCTCCATGCAGGGACCACCTCCCCCTCCCCGCCTGGAGGGAGGGAGGAAGGCCGGCCCTCCCCTCCCTTGAGGTAAGGGAAGCGGCACAGCAACGTCTCCAAGGAGCCCGGGCAACAGCGGGGGCTGGACGACTGAGGCGGCGGGTGAGTCAGGGAGGCCGCCCCGAGGCAAAGGCCGTCTTCCTTCCGGCTCTGCCTTCCCCTTGCCGCCCCGTCCCAATATCTCGCCTTTTTCCGTGTCCGCCCTTCCACACGGACAGAGAGTGACAAACGGGGGGGGGGCTCCGTTCCCTTCGACCGCCCCCCTCCCCACCACCCTCTTCCCGCGACGACTTACAAATCTTCCCGCGGAGGGTCTGCAGCACTCGCACCTCTTCTTCGCTCCCTTCGCCGGCGGCCATGGCCGGGAGCGGGCTGAGGGGAGGACAGAGCGCCTTCTGCACAGCGCGCGCGGCCGAGGATTGGGGGGTGGGGGCGGAGGGGGTGGGTGGGATGGGAGAGGCCAAACGTCTCCCGCACGCGCTACTACCGCTCGCCCAACTGCGCGCGCTGACTGATGAAGCTGTTCCTTCTCCCCCCCTCCCCTTCCCGGTGACAACAGGCGGAGTGTGTGGGGGGGGGGGAGAGACCCGATTAGCTCAGCCCCGCCCACCCACGCTCTTGCCATTGGTTAGCGCGGTTGGAGAGGGGCGGGGAAGGGGGCGCGCGCAGGCGCCCTGTCGCCGCCTAGTCCTCTCTGAGGTTAAAAAAAAAAATAAGAGAGAGAGCGCGTTCCTTCTGTGTGGCAGGCGGTTGTGTTGGCTGCTCCGTCGCCGGCCCCGCCCGGCTAGGCGTGACTAAGAGGAAGGCTGGGCCGGTCGGAATCATCACCACCATAATCGTGGCCAAGAACCCAGTTCAGATCTAGGGAGTGCCCTCCTGGTGCACTTTTCGTGTTTGTTTTTGTGTTTGCCGGTCATATGTAGAAGCGTAAGCCTCCTTATGAGGAGCAGCTTGAAGGAGCTGGGTATGTTTAACCTGGAAAAAGGAGACGGAGAGGAGATATGATAGCCGTTTCCAGATATCTTAAGAGCTGTCACATGGAGGAGGGAGCAAGCTTGTTTTCTCCTTCTCTGGAGGGTAGGGCTCGAACCAACGGCTTCAAGTTGCAAGAAAGGAGTTTCCGGCTAAACATTCGGAAAAACCTTTATGAGCTGTTCTGCCGTGGAACAGACTCCCATGAGATGTGGTGGACTCTCCTTCCTTGGAAGTTTTTCAACAGAGGTTGGGTGGCCATCTGTCATGGATGCTTTAGTTGTGATTCCTGCATTGCAGGGGGTTGGACTAGATGACCCTTGGGGTCCCTTCCAACTTTTCAGATTCTATGAACTCCAGCTTCCTAGGAGATGTTCATGGTCACACAGCAGTAAACATTGTCGCCAGGCTTCAGCCACTAGCCGTTCAAGGTTTCCTCTCCACATACAAAAAGTAAACAAATCAAAAGCAGATACTAAGGTAGCCAGTTGAATTTTACCTGGCTGACAGGTGCTTTTAGACCTAGCCTGGGTTTGTTTTAATTATAAAAAAACCCCAACCCAAACTGATCTATTGATGCAGGTTTAAATGCTTATATTAGAGACAGAGAGTGCATGAGATAGCTCCCTCCCAACACCCCCCCCCCATATATTGATCTTTGCTATTGAGGTCTTTTCCCCAGTCAGTTTGAAAAAGGTTTTAAAGAAATGGCCCATACAAAAATTGATCAAGAGATGACAGGTGGCCTCCTTCAAACACAAAAAATGGGCTTTGCTTTGGGACGTTTAACTACCCTGGGTTACACTGGAATTCAGTTTGGGTTACAAAACTTGATCCTCAAATCCATTTGTGTGATACTTTCCAGAGCTTCGGGCTGCTGTTAATCTGACTAGTAGAGCCATAACTTTAGGGTAAACATACCCAACTGCATAATTTTGGTCCCAAGCAAGTTTTTCAATTCCTGGCAGCTCCTGAAACTCAAAACAGAAAATATATGCCAAAGAGTGGTCATATTAGTTTCTGCAAGGAAAAGAAATGAAAAATTCATAGGTTTATTGTAGCATGAAATAGAGCCCAGTTCATCAGATTTCATGCTGCTAATCTTTAGGTATGGTAAGACCTGGTTGTTTTTACTAAAATAAATTCTGATGCCAGTGCAGACAAATGGTTGAGAGAAGACTTCTCTGCCCTTTTTGTTTGCAAAACCTAGGGATGCAGATGTGTGGATTGGGATGAGTCCTGAGGGCCACTTTCAGCCCTCAATCCTGAGGTTCCTGACCCTGACCCAGGCACAAACAGAGCCATGAATGAAAACCCAGCTCTCCAGAATGAAAGTCCAGTTCTTCAGAGATCAATAGATTCTACCATGAAGGCAGTTGCCAAGGCAGGTATGTGCAGGTCTCACTATGATTTCCACCAGGTCCAGCCTACACTGCATAAGCCTATATGTCAAGCTGTAGTTGCAAGCAAAAAACCAGCCAAAATATATATGACAATACGATTTTTAATTCAGCTAGTAGCTGGTAATCATCTATGATAGGAAGATCATAGAAAGATCATCCAGTAAGATGCTTTAATAAATCTAATGGCTGTTTTGGGTGAGCTGCAAGTGTAGCATATGAATCCAAGTTAATATGGTGTAAGAAAAAACACCACACCACATGTTTTTGAAAGATATATTTTTAGCAGGATAGGAGTAGGAGGATATAAGCAGAAGCTTTCAGAACACTGAGTGCAGATGGATATATAACTGTTAGATGCTGCTGCCTCACAGTAGAAATATAACATTAGCAAGAATAAATTCCATTTCAATGGGATGGGTATAGCAGAAGAACAGGGGCATATTTGGAGCTGTATCAGCAAATTTTGGTATTATTATATGACTCCTAGGATTCATTCCCTCTATTCAATCCTTAAAGGCAATCTCAAGCTTTCATATTTTACACTACAAAACTAGTGATGTAAGGGCTTTTGTATACTTCATATTTTGGTGGATTTGGTCCCATTGTGGCAGCCATCTGTCTCTAGGAGTACATAATAAAGATCATTTAACATGGATCGCTTATCATAGCCTTGAACACCTTTGCAGTTCTACTCTACTTGAAACATGAGGGCTGGTAGTGATGCTGGGATCCTACTGCCTGATACTGTGTATGCTGTACACAAGTAGAAATGCTGATCACAAATCATTTTGGTTAATTTCCTCTGTCACATCACATCTGAAAATCAAAAAGAGCATGAGGAAAGAACAGGATATGGGAATCAGAAAGGGGAAAGCTAATACATGTGTCACTTTTCCTTTCTGTGTGGACTAATATCATCAGCTCTCATGAGAAAGAGAGATTGGAGAGTTAGGTTTGGGAAGGTGGTGGTGTGAGGGCTGCGGGGGCATCAAATATTGCCAAGGGCTGCCAGGGAAGGTCTCAAGGGCTGCATGCCACCCTAGCCTAGATACTAAATTTTTGGTTTTATTGTAGCCATTGTCCATGCTTGCTGGAACTGAGGGGATTCATAGTTCATCGGCATCTGGAGAGTCAAATGTTCCCCACATGTGCTTCACAGGCTGATACTGTATTCCATCTATTCCCATATTTCTAGCTTTTAAAAATATCCACAAAGTGACTTACAGTTTTTAAAAACAAGCACAATAAAACAATATACAGTGTAAAGCAAAAGGGCGGCAGGGAATAAAATAAACCGATCATAAAGGTACATTAAAGCCATATGGTTGATTAAAAGATGGGGGGGAAGGATGGTCGTTCCATTGCTTAGGTTTTGTAAACTACTGTGAGGCTTTTCTTTACATTTTCTATACATACATTCATATGAATTTTATGAATTAAAAATAAAATAAATGACAAATCTGATGGCATCAGGCAAAACCTTTCTTGGGAGAGAATAACAAAGCAGAAAAACTCCCTTTAGTAGTCACCCACCTGACAGTGGGGAAGAGTTTACTTGCTGATCTTAATGGGCAGGTTTATAAGCATTTAGCTTGGTGGTTCAGCCTTAAAGGTAAAAACCAACACCTTGAATTGCCCATAGAAACAAATGGAGCCAAAGACACTCGTTCAGTATTGCTGACATGAAATCGCAACATAAAGCTGCAGTCAGAAGTCTTGCCCATTAAGTTTCTGAACACTTTTCAAGGACAGCACCTATACCACACAATGCAATAGTATGTAAATGCAAAAGTCTGAATTAGTTAGCAAAGCAGGAGTGACTATGACTAGATTACCTTCTTCCAGAATGGTGCAAAGTTGGCAAGCATTCCAAAGATGGTAAAGATACTTCATGCTGTAGACAATAGCTCAGTCTCTATACACAGATCTGCATCTAGAAATATGCTGAAGCCATAAACTTGATCCTTAAAAGGGAGTGCTTCCCCATGCAGAATTAGTTGTACACCAACGCCATAGGTGAATCACCCTCCCACAGTACTCTCATCTTGTTTGAACTGAGCTTTGGTTTCTTAGGCCTCTTCCAGATTCCAGCCCATTATTTATTTTAGGCATCCAGTTATCTTATTATTTATTGTTTAGGAGATGAATTTCTCTATGACACTAATTTCCCTTGCAAGATGACAGTATCATGAAGGATTGGTTCCTAAAAGAGAAGGAAAAGTCACAGTGATCACAGTTTAATTCTGAATCAGAGGAGCTGTCTGCAAGGGGAAAAACCAGATGGTTATCCATATTATGTAAAAAGGATGAAGCACGGCTTGGATTAATAGACTGTGTCATCTGTTATTCATGAAAGTGATTAAGAATAATAGGTGAAACAACATTTACAGTGCAATTTTATGCACATCTACCCAGAACTGAGTATCACTGAGGTTAGTGAGGTTTACTTCCAGGTAAGTGTAGCAACGACTGCAGCCTTAGCAGGTCATTATTAGTACATCTGCATAACATCACAATTATTATAGAACAAGGAAAGCTTGATCGAAGCAAGCATTATGTAGTTTATGTAATTTGGACTATATACAATTTTTAATTGGATAATGTTTTATTACAAATCAGGTTACAGGCAGTATATATAATTTTAATGGAAATCAGGTTCATGCGGAAGAAGTTTTAGCAAAACAGTTTTAAGAAGTTTTAGAAAACAGCATAGAACAAGGCACACAACTCCTTTCCAGGGAAGGTAGTTGGCAGGTCAAAGTCAAAGTGAATATTTAGAAAGGGAGATCCGGGCAAAGCTGCTCTCATACTAAATTTATAACTTATTGTATTATTCCTTGCTGTATCTTTACAAAAGCTCTACATCTCTTTCATATGAATATATATGCTTTGTGTGGGTTGAGGCTGCTCTGGTTAAATATTCTTTTTAAAAAATATTAATAATTAAATTTATATTCTACCCTTCCTCCCACAGGAGCCCAGGGTGACAAAAACAGAAATGCTAAAACAAGTAAAACATCTCAGAACAATTCCAATGCTGATGCAGACTGACCTTCCCAAAGAGGTTTGCCAGTTACCAACATTGCTATTGTTTATTTTTGAAACATTTTTTTAATTTCCCAGGTATTTCAACTGATCCAATAAGAGCAAATCAGTTTTAATCTGCTCATTTGATCTGTGTGGATAGTGTCATTATATCATTTAGTTACTAGGTGGCACTGTAATTAATTGTGTCTGGGTGGAGGCAGACGTTTCCTGTGTCTGTCTCTCTTA